TAAGCACTGTTTTCATGTGGCGATGTGGCGATTGTAAGCACTAACAGAGACGCTTGCAGGGAGCGCCGGCAGCCCGCTCAGGTAGCCCCCTTGTAAGTGGACAGCACCCAGCTGCGCCGGGACCGCGGTGCACAAGTGCTCTCGGCCCGGGACCAATGCCGGCTCCAAGCCAATCACACGGGCCGAATTCTCCGCACTCAGCACTGACAGCACCGTCGCGGGCCGGGCCAGCTTCCCCGCCGCATTGCGTGCGCTATCTTCCGCGGCACACGTCCCCTGGCCTTTCCGCGTGGCCAACCCTCGCCGCACCCTCGCAGCACCTGTTCGGCGTCCACATCGCATCGAGAGGGCATCCACAGACGAGAGGAACCGCGAAGCGAACCGAGATCGGGGCGTGATCAATCGCTGCCCTGCTCCACCCGTCCGATCTACACCACTCGCCTTTCTCCTCTTCTTCCATCCCGAGTGGCCTCATCCGCCCAACACCAGCCCGAGGGCGGCAGCACCGACTGCACTCACCACCATGGCGTCGTCCTCCTCCCGCGGCGACGGCCTCGCGAACCCGAATGCCCCGCTCGAGCCACCACCGCAGGCGGGTGACACGACGGCTGGCGACGTCGATATCTCTGATGGCACGGACATTGAGCACAACCAGGATATTGAGTTGGATGTGAGGGACTCCGCGGCACGCCGAGAAACGTACAAGGCCGATGCTAACGCAATGCGCGCTCCAGACCTCTTCCGACAACGACTCCGCATATGCCGGTTCAGTGTGAGTTGAGATGGTGCGCCAGGGATAACGACTGCGATCGATCTAACGGTTCCCCTGCAGCAACAGCTCGACGTGGACCGCGTCGTTGACGTCGAGTATACAACATTTCCGCGAGGAAAATGGGCGCACATATCATTCGTATCGAGATGGGAGTGCGTATTCCCCCTCCATATGAGCCACCTCATCGCTCCCCCAATCGCGATCCCCATGGCTAACCTCCCCTCCCCCTTCCATAGAATACATCCTCCCAAACGACGACTCCGAAATGGACCGCCTCGACCTGCAAAACATGCTCTTCTCCATGACCATCGGCGGCGCCCCCTGCCTCGCTCCCCTCAAAAACCCCCTCCACTGCCTCGACGTCGGCACCGGCACCGGCATCTGGGCCATGGACTTCGCCGACGCACACCCGGGCTGCGAAGTCATCGGCATCGACCTCTCCCCCATCCAGCCCACCGACGTGCCCCCGAACCTCACCTTCCTGATCGACGACATTGAGGAGACATGGCACTACCGCCACGCCTTCGACCTGATCCACAGCCGCATGATGGTCGCCAGCCTCGCCGACTGGCCGAAATTCTTCGCGGCCGCCTTCGCGAACCTGCGGCCCGGGGGGTGGCTCGAGAACCAGGACGTGTGGACGCTGAAGTGCGACGACGACAGCTTCTCGCTCGACCCGCCGTCGTGCAGCCTCGCGCGCTGGTGGAACCTGATCTGCGAGGCCGTCGAGAAGATCGGCCGCTCCATGGTTGCGGCGCCGTTGCACAAGCGGCGGATGATAGACGCGGGGTTTGTGGACGTGACGGACGAGACGTACAAGTGGCCCATCAACACGTGGCCCAAGGACGAGAAGATGAAGCTGATGGGGCTGTGGAGCCGGGAAAACACTGTGGAAGCACTCGAGGCGCTGGCGATGGCGCCGTTGACGCGGATACTGGGGTGGGAGAAGGAGGAGGTGCAGGTGTTAGTCGCGGAGGCGCGGAAGGATGTCATGAACCGGGATATTCATGCGTATTGGAGCATGTGAGTTGCCCCCCTCTGGGTTGATACGCTCGAGACAACAAACTGACAGTGTCTAATCTAGACGCTTCGTATATGGCCGAAGACCCGAATAGCCCTTCCACCTCCCCCACCTTGACGCGCCTACTCCACACGCCGTTCGCCCACCCCGTCAACGGAGGATTGAGTAAAAACTGCTCTCCTCCAAGAACCGCCTGCCATCCTCCGCGGCTGTAAAACACCAAAAAAGAGAAAGGAAAAAAGCATAATCACGAGGCCCACGTTCCCCACGACCTGATGCCCTCCTCGTCGTCGTTTTAATCAATACCCCTATGTATCGCGAATAACTCGCTGATCTAGCAAAATCTAAAATCCAAACTATTGCTAATAACCACGTTCTGAGAAACTGTATGAGAGATGGTTGTGTGAGTGAAGATGACTAATTGCTTCGGTGTGACAGGCTAATATTATTTCTCGCGCCGACTGTTGTTTGAGAAAGATGTGTGTAGACTTATGAGGGAAGGGTGTAGAGAATTAGGAACTACACAGCTATCAATAGGCAGAGACATCAAAGGAGGGAGAACAAATCTAAGGAAGAGACGACCAAGAGGGGGGGAGGAAACCGATCAAGCCCTATACTCACGCCTCCCACAACCCCGTCGTCGACCCTCACCACCACACCAACCCCCCCAACGATAGCGATATCGGTATCATAGCCCCGGGACTCGACCACTCCTCCACCATCTCCTTCTGCGGACTCGCGTTTTGATCCCCTGCCTCAGGCCCCTCCTCCCCCCTTTCCCTCATCTTCACCTCCCCGTAAATCTGCTGCGAAGGGCTATCCCCACCACTGCCGCTCTCATCTCTCGCCATCCTCGTCCCTGCAAGCCGCAGCCTCACCCTCGACCCTCCCGCCTCAGCGTCCAGCCCGGTGCTCGACGCTCCCCCGTCGAAATAGCCCCCGAGCTCCGTTTCCTCCACCACGCGCATAGACCGGATAGGCTCAAACGGCGAGCGCGAGGGGTAGATGCCCAGCACGCGGTACGCTTTCCAGGGCGGGGATTGCGGGTGCGAGCGCGAGCGCGAGTGGCGCCGGGGCGGTGTCGGGGGGGAGAGGAGGGTGTATGGGGGGTGAGAGTGGGAGCGGGAGAGGTGAGGTTGGGGCGGGGAGGTGCGCGGTGAGGTGGAGGTGGTGGGTTGAGTAGCCGTGGCTGAGGCGGTGGCGGTTGGGGAGGGGGTGAAGACGTCCAGCATGGTCGTGTCGACGAGGTTGGGGGATTGCGGGGGGTGCACGAGGGTCCTGGGGTGGGGTTGAGGCGGGAGTTGGGTGACGGTTAGGGTGGGGTCGAGGGCTTCGATGGATGCGATGGTCATGTAGGCGAAGGACAACTGCTCGACGCGCTCGACATGGTTTGCGAGGAGTGCGCGGAAGATAGCCCGTTGCTGTGGTGTCGGCGCCATTTCGAGCCAGGCGGTGATCAGGCGGATGCGCTGGTCGCCGGTTAGGGTCGTCCAGAGCGCTTGGAGCGAGCTGGGGATTGGGGGCGCTGGCGGTGTAGGGGTCTCAAAGGCGGTGGATGTTGGGACGGTGGTGCCTTTGGTAGGTGGGAGAGGCTCGGAGGGCGTTGGAGTCGCGGTGGGTGGGTCGGAGGATGCTAGGATAGATATACGGGGTATGGAAACGCGTGGTATGGGTACATGTTGTTCGAGTTCTTCTGGAGAGGGTAGAATACGCGTGATGGTGGAGGGGTCTAGTGGTTTGTCTCCTTTGGCTATGGGTGTGGATAATGGATCATTTGGCATGGTTCCTGCGGCTACCATGAAGTCACACGTCCCGTCAGACGAAGAAGCCCACCGACGAGCTCGAGCAGATGAAACGCTGGGCGCAGAATCGGCTATCGGCTGGGTCGCAGGTTGGTTCGAGATGCTTTCCTCAACCGCTGGAACGGTTTTATCATTCGAGCTGGGCGATGAAGACGCATAAGGAACCAGAGCAGGCCTAGCAGGCAGCTCGGCATCCACAGCATCGACATCCAGTCGCGTCGCAGGCTGACTCGTCGGTCTAGCAGGCAGCTCGGCGTCCACGGCGTCGGCATCCATTTGCGTCGCAGGTTGGCTCGTCGGTCTCTCCGCAGCCAAATGGGCCAGGTTGGCCGAGGAAGATGCATAGGACGGCAGAGCAGGTCTCGGAGGCCACATAGCTTCAACAGAACTGGAGGCTGGCTGTGTCGTAGATGCTGAGAGTACACAAACGCTATTAGCCCTGCTGACGAAAGAAACAAATGAGATAACTACCAGTGTGCGATTCGGCACCCTGAGGTATCCCGTCTTGTTCTCTTTCTGACCTCAACCGCTTCCTCTCCCGAGCTGCCGCCTTATTTAGGTTCTTGCGCTTCTGGACCATCTGTACCCACTCGTCCATCGAGGAACGCCGTAGGAGAGGCTCCGGCGCCGCTTAACCTTGTAGATTGCGGGAACTTCTTGTAAGTTGATCACCGGTGGCAAGGTCGTAGTAGCAATGGCGGTGTGCCGCTTCACACGTCGCGTTGGTTCTGAGGGTTGAAGAATCCAGCTTTGTGGGCAACGAACGAAAGTACTGACGCCACGCAGGAAGACAAAACGCTGAGGCCAATGCCATGAAAGCGACGTTGGCAATCCAAGATGCTGGCGATGGACGAGAAGCGGAAGGGAAGCGTGGGGATGTGGAATTAAGGTTGAGCACCCGATTAGGAAGGGACGATAGACGAAGCAGGCGCAGCCATAAGCCCACGAGCTTAAATGGAGTGCATCTCTCATGTGGGGGTCTTCTGAGGCAAAGGAGAATAGGGGAAAGGACGAAGGCAGTTGGAAGTGATCAACTACGTTAGTTGTCGAATTTCGAAAACGTGCTGACGCACCCTTGACAGTGGCATGAAAGTGTAGAATGGCTGAAATCCTGGGACATTATTATAGCGTTGATGGCGCATAGGGTGGTATTGTAAAGAAAAATAGAACCTATTGAGAGCGAAACTGATCGCACAAACAGATCGTACAGACTAGCGCCATGCACACGAATTTATGCCACCCCTTTAACCTTGCGATGAGACTCCTGTGCCCAGAGCGCCACCATAAGAGAACACTAAATTAGATGACTCCAAATCAGAGTCCAAATATAAATATATCTTTCCTGCTGTCCACATTTACATCAGCGGCCCTCTTTAATCCTCACGGTTTCAGCAAAGTGTGGGAAGGCCTTTCGGAAGGCAGGTCCCAAACTCCAATTGTTCAGGTTCCGGAGATGACTCTCAAAGGCTGGGTTGATGAGCCAATGGTCGTCATCTTTTGGGCCAGCTCCTGGCGTGCTCGCCGCACCCCCAGGCGTTGGTGGCCCTGGCGGTGAGCCCGCGTGGGCTGTGGTGCTATACGGAGACGTGGCGGAGAATTGGGAGCCTGGCGTTGAGGCGGCTTTTGCAGATGAAATAGGGAGAAGGCAGTCGCGGGCCTCATATGGCCAGTTAAGAGAGATGGTGGTTGTGTAAGAAATGAAGAAAGTGTCGAAAATCGTGAAGGGTTGCGCAGTTGTTATTCGATCACGTAGTCGTGGCCTGTAACAAGAGCGCCGGTTAGCAATGAACTATTTGAATCAAGTCGGACCATCTTACCATGGCAGATTGTCCATCCAGCATGGATGAGGAGTGAATAGCTGACTTGGTCTGGGCGTCACCCATTCTGGTAGCCTATCGTAGTTTTCCTGCGTGGGGTCAATTTCCCATCGCATGACAAGAAACATAATAAACACCACAGCCACTTGCTCAGGAAGCCCGCAGATATCTGGAAACGTGCGCAAGATGTCCGTGAAAAGTTTCGAGAGAGGGTGAGCCTCAATCTGACGATCCGGATACACTAGCGAGGTAAAGTTGGGGTAAAGCGGGCCAACCAAGGTCTTCAAGGGCACCCCCTCCGCGGCACGCTGCCGTCGGTCTGCCATGAAGTCAAGCATTATTACATCAAGTGGACATGTTGGCTCAATATTTCGCGGTAGGGTAGAATGAGCGACCATAATGTGGTCGGGGTGGCCAAGCACCATGGGGCCTGGTGGGGAGTGCTGAGCAGGACGACTCGCCGTCCCCAATTTCATTCTCTGGCTGCCCTCAAGCAGGAAATCCACTCCAAGTCGTTCATCATAGCCCATATCTTGGGATATGTTATGCCGTTCCTCGTCAAAGGGAGGAATGGCCCCTGGCCATCCTCTGACGTTACTAGTTGGAGGATCGCCAGGAAAAGGCCATGGTCTGCTGCTTGAGCTCTGAGCTCCCGGTGACTGCGCGCTTGGGGCCTCGCTCGTGTGTGATATGCCGTTCTGAGAATGGGTGTGGTCGTGCTGATACTCGCGATCTAGGTGGTGGGAGATTTGGGAGCCTGCTTCTGGGGGCGGAGGGATGGGTAATGGGCTTCGCTCCGCAGCAGCAGCTAAATCTGTGGAAACATCAGCATCAAGCTTCTTGTGAACGCTTTGAGCTTGATACACACCATTGAGGCCCTGGGCGCGCAATATGGGCTGGATGATGGTCAGGACGGATGCCAGCCTCTTGCGGATGTCGTCGTTCTCGCGCTCAACAGCCTCCTTCGCGCGAAGGACAACCTGGAGCTCATGGTACGGCTGCTGCGACTCTAATTCTCGAATCCGGCCATTGAGCCGGTCTATCTGGTTTTTCGTGCGCTCCCTGATGGCACGCTGGGCCTCGCGATCATTTGCGCGTTTTCGGGCGAGCTGTTCAGGAGTGAGGTTGGCGACGCCGCGCGAGGAAGGATTCTGCGCAGTCTTCCGTCTCTTCGCGGGAGCGCCACTGGGGTCATTCGAGGTTACCGAAGGCGTCGACGTATCCGCTTCTTCTGCCATACTCCGGGGCAAGGTGATCGGGGCAGACGGTCTGGGTTTGAGAGTCAGAGTATACAGCAGCCCTCTGGCGCCTGACTCATGTCCTGTTCTCTCAGTTGCACTCTACCCCACGGGGCTGGCATTTCCGAGTCAGCGGATCCGAATCTGCTTCCGGATCATAACCATGTGAAAAGCTGCGAAGGCGGCGAGAGTAACTATATCTTATAGACACAATGGGCATTTATCTACCTATTTCATTAGGGAACAGCGGCCAGAAGGCGCAAATACAGCCTCGAATGATGCGTAGCGTGGTTGTCGTTTAGCGATGCCTCGTTGTGGAGAAGAGCTTTCCGTGCATGAGCTCCTAGCCCTCCACAAGCGGGGCCTCTTGCCTCGGATACTGTATTCCTGCGAGCAACACCGCCCGCCGGGTAGCACAGGTCCTTAATCACAGAGCTAAAGGTAGCCATTGCCGATGATGGTAAGTTACGTTTTTCTTTCACTCTCTGCGCCTTTCTCATCCCTCACTCTTCACCACACTTCATCACCATGTCGGACGCTCAGGTCCAAAATGTTAGCAAGATAGGCATTGCCTCCATTACCCTCCGCGCAAGTTCGTGCCTGGTTGTCTCTACTCTTAAAGCCTATACTAATCTTGAATTTTGACAGTGGCCGCCGCGGTCGTCCGCCTCGGGACCTCACCCTTCAAGGGGAAGAAGGGGGCCTCTAGTTACTTCAAAGACGTCACCTTTGCCATGATGCGGTCGCAACTAGGCGCCCTAAATCTCGCCCAGTTCCGATATATGAACCCGTGGACCAGCGACGTGTACATACAGTTTGCAAAGGACAGTGGCTTCGCACCGGATACCATCACGCTACCGAGCGGCACACAAGCACATTGGATTGGAAACAAGAATGCGCAAAAGACAATAGTTTACTTCCATGGTGAGCGGGAGTCCGCTTATGAAGTTGGCTGAAGAGTGGAAGCTAATTGCTCTTATAGGCGGCGGGTACGTTTTGCCTGCCAATGCAGGCCAAATGAAATTCCTCGCAGACATGAAGGATGCTTGTATCGCCGCTGGACGGGACACAGCTGTCCTACTTCTAGCATATACCACTGCTCCGGAAGCAAAATACCCCACTCAATTGACCCAGGCAATCGAGCTTCTAACACACCTCATTGAGACCGAGAAGCGGGACCCAGCAAACGTATGTTCAGACGTAGCGACCCTGCATGCAGGAATAACATAACTAACTTCTTAAAGATCACTCTAGGCGGCGACTCGGCTGGTGGAAATCTCACGATTGGTGTGCTCGCCCATCTCGCCCATCCCAATCCTGCAGTGCCCACCCTCTCCCTGCCCTCTAAATTCCACGCCACTTTCTTAATATCACCATGGGTCTCCTTCAACACTTTCATTTCATCATTCGAAACCAACGCCGAGAAGGACGCTTTCGACGGCCGCGTGCTACGACTCTGGTCCGCCGCTTTCCTCGGCAGTGACTCCCCCTTCGCCGGCGACTTCTACTCGGAGCCGGTAACAGCTCCAGCGTCTTTCTGGGAGGGCGTTGCCAACGTAGTAGATGAGGTGCTTATCTGGGGCGGGGCAGATGAGGTCCTGATTGAAGGAATTGAAGAATTCATGGCGCGATTCAAGAAGGGTTTCGGTGGTGCGGGCGGGAAGGTGACGACGGCCATCACGGAACGCTCTGCGCATGAGGAAATGATCCTCGATGTCATGTTCGGGTATAAGGAGAAGGGCAAGAGCCATGTCATCGTGGAAGACTGGGTGAAATCGCGCCTCTAGACGGTGGGTATGTAAGCTGACTATATAGCTCCGCTGTAATTATATTTCAAGATCAACGACTCGATGTCTAAGTCAAAAGCAAATAATCTCATCCTAGGTCTGTGGGTCATACACTGCTAATGGTAGGGGCCTCTCAACACACTATCAGGAATTCGAACCAGATGTGCGCTTGTCGTTCTAAGTGGGTTGTATAACTTGGACCTACTAAGAGACTCTGTAAGTCATTTTCCCTAGGGCGGTATTCCGAGTGGAGTACGCTTTCCCAAAATTCCGTCAAAGAAGCCCCGCATCGGCCCTTCCTGGTGCACGCCACCCGTTTCTCCAGCTCTACATCGTCGGCAATACTTTAAACCACTCTCGTACTCCACCTCAATCGAGCCATTCGCCATTAGGACCATATCTCTTGATAATATCGCCTTCCTATCCAATACCACACATAGATTTCAAAGCGCGCTCCTCCTCTTACAAGGGTAATACCGTCAACGTCATTTGGCACAAAGCCGCCAACGCCTCTCCTCAGTCTTGAATCCCCCACAGATCTTATGAAAGGCATGAGCGAGCTCATGACAGAGGGTAAGCGCGAATTGAAGCTGAGCGTTAGCGTCTGGTATCCGGCTAACCGCTCTTGATGTGCCAGCAGGAGACAACGCTTAGTGTTTATGTTGAAGCCCACTACAGGCGACTCGGGGGACTCTCCAGAAAGCGATTTTCAGTTTGTCGCTCAGTAGACCTTTTCTTTCATCGCGGAACGCCTTACATGGTTTTGTTCCAGAAAGTGGCTCCGGCAGCATGCATATCGCCTGCCCAGAACATGAACGTAAGTCTGCTGGCAAGGAGATTAAGGTATTCACGCGCTACCTCCTCCAAGGAGAGGTCTGCGTACTCCTTTGGGATCATATCCTTATAGGCCGCCACACGCTTGACCCTGAAGTCCTGTAGTTTCTCATTCCGGATCAGCATTGTTGCGAGACGGAATGCGGGTATCATCATCTCCCAAAGCTTATCCATCTCCACTTCACTAGCCTTGTCGTGCTTGAAGAGAGGCCCATCCACGTCGTTGCTTATATTTTCTTCATCAACACCAAGCACCCAGTTGCTTCGCTGAAACACCGGGTCGATTTCGTTGTCAAGCAGGTCGCTCTCGTCTACCGGCGGAATTGGTCCTATCATGCCGTGTTTGAGAAGCAAGTCGTTGAGGATCGGCCCGGTATATGGGCGCAGCATAGTAACCTTTTGCGGCTTCTTGGTCTCCACGGGGCAAGTTTTGATTGGCACTTGTTCTTCTTCAGCCGCCTCGCAGAAGCGATGCGAAGACATCGTGTCCATGGTTGGGTGTGTTGCCTTCGGGATGTCAACGGCTAGGAAGGTGGGTGAGATGAAGCTTTGTAGACTTGGGTTGATGGGGTGGTGTTAAAGTTTGAGGAAGAGTTTGTGACTGTTGAACACTCGCACGAGGGAAGATTATATGCATCGTACGAGGTAAGTGAATGCGCAATTTGTTCTATGGTGAAAGCATAATATCAAGCACTGGACTCTTTCGTGGCGTTACAATGAATGCTAACTTCTATCTTCTGGTCGGCCAACGATATTGAATAGACATCACGTGCACGGCACAAGAAGAAACGGTTAGTATAGGTTTACATGAAGATTTAATGCCATTGTATAAAATGGAAAGCTGTATTGAAAGAGACGCAAGCGTAGGCAGAGTTGTCGGTGAGCTAAGACTAATCCGCAGACCAGCCTGGCCCATCTTCGTAGTCACTCGAGTCCTACACTGTAATGAGTTTTTTTTTTAACGACCGGCCTTCATAACGACTGCGCAGCTATGGTGCTGACTAATTCCGTATTGACTCAATCTGGAAACCATGTACTCCTGGCAACCCTGCTGGGTTCGCTATCGCACTTTTCCCCATGCTGTTCGACCACGACGTCGTGTTCCTTCAATGAGTACGCCAGCCAGCCAATATTTGGAAAAGAGGCTTCGGTCAGTGTCAGGATTCGGTCTTTCTTAGACTGATCAGAGCGCACAGCCATGAGGGATCCATAGTCCAAAAACCCATTTTGTCTCGATTCTTCGACGTAGTCCCATGTAGATTTGAGGAACAAGCGCTGGATCCAGTTCATCGGGATAAAGAATTTCGTTAAAACCGAGGTGCTTTCGGGAGCCCGCCAAGAGTGTGCGTAAAGTGGACTAGTAAAGGGGCCAGCCCATGAGCAGAACTCCCTCGTTAGGCCACCAAAGACGAACGTTTCCCAGGCATTGCCAGCCTCTGCTTCAGGATCCGTTGGCCGCACCCTCCTCTCACTAGCCCGGAAACCGCCGCACATCATTGTGAAGGCGTGGGCTATTTCGTGGCATATGGAAACCGCGAATTGGAACTCTAGTCTCAGCTGTTGGTCCCTAGTTAACCGCTTTTGGTGACATAGAGAGAAGCACTTCTGGAAGTCGGTGTGTAAGCTGATCGTAGGCCAACAGAATGATCGAATTCCTATCGGGCCATTGTGGAACTTGAGTACGGCTGGCTTGCCGTCCATGGTCGAGTTGAGAACCCCCTTACTTGGAGTTGCTGGCATAGTAGCTGCCTACATGCCTAGCCAGTTACAACTTCTACAGAGAGGGGTTGGGGTACGGTGGCCTACCGTGCCTACCGTGCCTACTGCTGTCTCTAATTAGTGCTTCTGCCTACGCGTACAGTCACTTCCTACGTAGTATATAGTTTGGCCTTCGGGCCCCCGAAATAAGACAGAGTTCACGTCAATTTGCAACCTGAGTCCCTTGTGCTCTAGCGTAGCTAGCCTCTTGTGATTCGGATTCTGAGCTGTGGACATATCAGCTCCCCCACATGGCCAAGTAAACAAGAATTTGGCCCTGCCTCTGATAAGATCGAAGAACGCCGTCACTATCTCTTCCAGTGTCATGTTGGCGTATTCTTCACCAATGACGTCTTTGTATACCTCAACGGTCCTAATCCAGAAAGACTTCGGTGCCGAGACATCGTGAATCAGTATTGTTGCGAGACGGAGCCCAGGGACCATCTGCTCCCATAGGATGTCCAACTCAGCTTCACTTGCTTCGTCGACTTTGAACAAGGGCCCGTCTTCCTCGGCCGTGATGTTCTCTTCGTCGATTCCGAGAACCCAATTACGGCGTTGGAAAATGTCATCAATATCGTTGTCAAGAAGCTGGCTCTCTTGAACAATTGGAATTTCTCCTACCATGCTGTGCTTGCGGATCATGTTGTTGAGAATTGAGCCGGTGAGTGGGAGTCGCTCGGAGGTCTGTGGAGCTTCTTTGCACCCCTTGAGCATTGATTTTATCTTTGCTATGTCACGCACTTTCTTCCTGGGAATGGGCCTTGACGTGTGGTCGCTCATGCTGAAAGATGCCGTGACTGGAGGCGGTGTTGATATTGGATCGGTGGTTGGTATTTTTGATATTGCGGACTGAGATGGTGGTGTGATGTGGCAGGGTTGCAGAGAAAAGCTCTGGTTTTGATAAGTGGTGGTGCTTTCGTTCCAAATTCACCTCATAGTTCTTGATGCTACACTGAAGTTGGTTAATAACTCCCGGACGATCATCAGTAGCGAAGGGATACCACGTGTACGGAAAAATATATGTATTGATGTCTTTTAGGATACACAATAAGCGATTAGGCCTCGCTGGTATGTATATTCCTAAGTATCGTAAGCAGATTTGTTTCTCCATTTGTGTTTATTCGGCTCCAATGGACAATGTCTCACAATAGCTTTCCATACTGTCTTGTCACTGTCATGGGTGCATCAACACCGTTTCAGATATCTGAAAGACGTTATGGCGAGATAAGAGTCCTCTCAAACAGCCCCCGGGAAGATGTATTTGATTGCTAATTCGCTGGGTAGGAAAATTATAGTACCTTAAGTCAGAACCCGAATCTGAACCCTGCCGAAATGCAATTGTGCAGATCCAATTCACGGCCTCCGGAAATTTGCATTCACATCTCCGAATTCTATACCCTCCAGAAGCTATCCAGCACGTTATGCTTATTGGAAAAGAGAATCTATAAGAGTCTACGATTTGTATGGTCGCAACGGAATGTCATGCAACATCTTACTCATACTGTTTAGTTTAGCCTATGCAGACCTTGACATCGTCTGCCCAAAGGCTCCTGTGCCCCCAGGAGGCCTCCAACATCTTATCAAAATGTGCAGCACACTCCTACCACGTCGCTGAGTTCATGAACCGCTTAATACAAGACGTCTAGGGCTATACACCTACACCTCCAAAGCTGCTAGATCCTGAAGCCTATTCACAGATTGTCTACGTGCGTAGCGCGTTACGATGACGCAGACAAACCTGGGACTTCGAATTCTCCGGCTTTCCATCTGGCGTCAAGGGTTCTGAAGTCCTTGTCAATCTGCGGATCGAATATATTTCGCACAAGTCCGTCTGGATCCGCTTCCCACAAGCAGGTAATGAATCTACCATTCTCGAACAGAGTAATCCCAGTCCATCCATCCTTGTCTTGATGTCTGGCGATATGTCCACTGACTTCCAGATACTCTTCATCGACACCATCAGGTAACGACAAAGGCTTCCGAAGATGCCCGAAACTCCCGACTGGTCTTGGAGGGCCCCGGTAGCTATGAGAAGAGATTTTTTTCCCATGCTCTAGAATGACGCAGTTAGTTATCTCGTTGGCCTGCTCGTCCAGGGCGTCGTCTTTTATTTCCAACCCCTCCAGTACTGGATCTTGCAGCAAGAACCCTGGTCTCAGCTGGCCAGATCTACTCAACGTAAAAAACGTGCCCTCCTCCCACGTTGATTTTCGAAACCAAGTTTGGGCCCAAGTGGGAGATATAAACACGCTGCGACAGCTGCGGCTATAACGGTCTGCCCAGGGAATCATCGTCAGCCTCGTCTTATTCTGACACCATCGGCCGGCGACGTGAATCTGCCCTTTGAATATGTATTGTTCAAACGAATAGCCAACTTCGGCGGCAATATCTGTCGGAAAGACCAGAGGTTCCTCGTCCGGTCTCCCTCTTGCTATTTGAAAAAAGGCGTGTGCCGTCTCGTGCACAAGCACGATAGCTGCTTTGAATTGCTTTCTCAGTGAGTCCGCGGCAGGCAGCCTAGCAAACTCATCACGACTTCGATAGAAGAAGTGCCGGAAGCAGGCATGTAGCGCTATGACCGGAGCGCAGTAGTTGGTATCGCTGTTGCGTCTTGTTACCTCCACTGGCCCTTTCAACTTCTGCAAGTTCTCTCCGGTAGTATGCCACATGAACCGGAGAGCTTCGGGGTGTCGGAGGGTACAACCCCATGGCAAGCTCCACGGAGAGACACTATCGTTGTTGAAATGAGTCCCGAAAGTAAGATGGGTCCTAGTTGCCATCTTGCTGAAGACATCGCGAACTTTCTCGTTTATGCCGGGAGAGTTCTCATCGATGTCTGCATCCGGACCCACACTCTGGCAAAGCAGTCGCACCCAAAACCCCAAGAACTCGTCATGTGTTATCCAGTGCGTAGCTAGGCGCAGAACCACCCTCATGTTGGCCCAAACCATGCCCCTGTCTTTCGCGTATTTGTTACTATCAAGGTACCGCAGCGTCGGTTCGTTCAGCGAGCTTTCGTCAACCCCGAGCGACCACCTTGAAAGTCGGTACATGGGGTGGATATCACCGTCTAGAAGCTCGTCTTTTGGCAACGGCTCTATATCGACCCACTGAAGACGTTCCAGTGCGCCCTCGATAACAGCATTCCAGTCCTCCCCGATGTTGCTTATTGATGCGTCTGGCTTAGATTCTCCCTCCTCGTTGAGATGCACGGGTCCCTGAAACTCCATGCTCGCCTCGGTTTGCAGTTTTCCGAATACCGGCGCTTGAATGAGGACTACGTGGCGTGAGGTCTACGTGGTGTGAGGTTAAACACTCTAAAGAGGTGGTGCTTTGTTGGTTGGGAAGGTGATTGTATGGAGACTAGTCGTGGATGTTCATGCCACGAAGTGGAGGAAGATTCATCAGAGTGAATGTAAGGTGATATCATTTTGCACTCTGCTTGAAGCCCACTAAGCGTGGATACCAAGACGTTTTGATCCACTATCAGATGAAAAGTCATCAAGGTCAGTCTAACTGTCATAGCCGCCTAGTTGATCTAAAAGCAGAGACTCTACGAACAAACCCACGAAGGTGATATAGAGATACCATTTGATTAAGTACACCCGGGGGCGTACCGGTAAAATTCGTCAATGAACCACCAAAAGCTTGCGTACGGCTGTTTGGATAAGATGCGGCAGACTTCGAGCCAGCCAATAAGGGCTCTTGGTTGAAGTGCTCCTAGAAGTCCAGTACTAGGTCACAAGTTTGGGCACACGGAGACCTCACTGCTCGGGCTCCACTCTTGCTCTCTCGACAGCACTGTAAGGAGGACCCCAGCTAGCATGTCTTCGGTCGGCCAAACGGTAGCCCTGTATCCATTAAGTCGATTTTTAGATCCTAGTTTGAGGTTAGATGGCCTATCGGGACACGACACCTCAAACAGATGCAAAGAGTGCCCAAACTTAATGGCACAGTGTAGTGTTTACCGAACATGAGATTTCTAAAAGGTCTTACGCTTTGTTCAGTTGAAACCGACTATGGAATCTGCAGTGTTTCAAAGCACAGGTCTGTGACAAAGCCTCTGCAAAGCTTTATAACTACGGCTACTTCGAATCGACTAATCCAGGGTGCAAACAAAATGCTGAATGGCCAGTTCTAATATTAAAATACTCTGATAATGTACAGCACATCTCTCTCCGCTGCCTGCAAGTTCTACGATAACGCGAACCCTTCACCCCTCAAACCGAAGATCGTCACCTTCGGCATCTACAAAGTCCAGCAATACCTGGCGTACGTCGATCCCGAAAGGTTGTATTGGCTGCAGCAAGTCGGCAACTTGAAAGAGATACTGCTCGGAAAGGCAGAGATGGCAAGAAATCGACGCGATCATTCCTCGAAACGTTTCGTCTACCTAATCTAGCTTCATCCGGCGCTCACGAGGCTGCATCAAGCTGAAACGGCACAAGAGACAGCTATGGATCTGCTCTTGAAGACCTAGAATCCAATTTTGCATCATGGCTTGCCAATCGCGCGACCGCACCCTTTCAGTCTTACTGTCGGGTGATCATTTGTGTAGCGATCGTAGCAGATGACGCACGTTTGCGAATCCGATCTTTCCATATTCATACTGTCGCAGACCATTGGTGTCGAAATATCATCAATCCGAGGATCTGGACCTATGTTCTCCGTCTCCACATCCAGCAGGACTCCCGGGACGCTTTGAGGATTTTCTAGGGCATCCCAGTACCTTCGAATCTCGCCTTTCAGAATCCTTACGACGGACGAGAAGTGTTGATTCGCTCCACCTTCGCACATGTCCTCCCAAATGCCCGCTTCTTCCTGATGACTTTCAGTTATGCAAAGATATCGAAGCCCTGTGAACAGTTGTGTAAGATGAAGAGGCATATTACGAACCGGGTAGTTTTGATCCCAGGTGGCTTCGATATCTGAGATTTGAGCTGCTAGAATGCGATGGATAGCGTGGTTTCCACGGATAAGCGGCATATCTATCGTAGACCATTCTGAAGGGGGAATACCGAGAATGCGATCAACTTCACGATGAATTGTGGTAAGTCAATGCTGAAGTTTATGATGGTACACAAAACTGCGACTGAAGTTACGCTTTTATACTGCAGATTCTCAGATCGCTAAGATACCGCTACGTGGTACATTGTGCAGAAACCCAACATCGAGATCGAACTGCCCTTTGTTCGTACTAAACGAAGCCTGGAGAATGAACAAGATTATATCGAGTATGAACAATGTCCCAGTATGGTCGAGCTGTCCACTGAAGAAGGGTGGATCTGGTGGATATTGTCGAAAGCGGGCGAGCAGGCCCCATGGCAACTTCGGTACGACAGGCTTTTTACAGTTTTCGAAGTAAACATCGATTATACGCCAGTTTAACAGATCCTTTATACTATTTCTCACCGATCAGAATTCGTACTTGACTCATTTGTCCTTACAATGAAATCGCAACTAGAGATTGCCAAATTCTGCCTCAATACCGATTTCGCCAACATTAGTATCATCTACTTCGCATTGCTCAATTAACAACGCTACCTCACATTGCTCATCCCAATGCTAATTTCACAATGTATGATGTCCATGTTAGCCTACAATCTTTCCGTATCTACATATAAGCAACTCTCAAACTCAATCTCCTCATCTTTACCTTATCCAACATTTCTTTGGATACATTCCAACCATATAACCACCATGTGCCTACTAACCCCGCAAACCTTCTCGTGTAAGCACGAGACCCAACACTTGGTACGCTGCGAGCATTTCTACCCCACAAGAGATGGACCTCGCTGCCACGGGATCAATCCCCCCATTCTCCCGAATGAGGATGTAGATCTTCCTTGCTCGAAATGCAAAGACCGGATTCGAGATCTCTTCCGGCAGGCCGAAGAGATCGATGAACGGGCTCTGGGGCTTGCAGTGCGCGAACATCAAACTAGCATCCATGCTAGAGCACTGTTTCCCCCAACAGACAGTCGGCGAAGATGGCTTTTCCAGTTCGCACCAATCAACGATGCTGGCAACGAGCTTCTAGAGACTCTCACTCGTTACCATCAAGACTACACTAGGGCAAACCCGGATGCATTCAACCCACGTAACGTGCCGCATTTTATTAGTACTTGGACGGCCAAGATAGTTCATATGCGGCTCCAAATATCCTATGATTCTCACAGGATATCGACAATCGAGCACACTCAACTGAAAACATTGTCGGACGGTACGCTTCCAGCAATGGGTCCAGAAGACCTGGAGAAGAGAAAATGGCTCTTCCTTGAGTTTCTCGCCTTAAATGACTGGCAAATGTGTCAGATGTTTAAGGGGCTGACCGAAGATGAGATCTTTCATAGGGTCTTACCTTAACTCTGACTTCTACCAGGCTTGCGCTCTTACGAGAAACGTAGACCTTCCTCTCTTCTCCTCCGATACTCTACTATCTAAGAACCATACCCATATTTCTACGCTAAGGTTACATTAAAATAACTTTGCGCCGTGCAATCAATTCAAATCTCGAACTTCCAATGTAAGCCCTAAAATTTCCCTTTCTCCCAATACAACCTATGTACCGTAATATCAACTATACCTCCACTTGTGGAAGTCCTCTGGAGTTACCTTGCACCTTGGTCACCAATTTGATCCTGACATATTGTTCGAAGACACCGAGGCTTTCCTTATTCAATGTAGTCATGTGAAGCCACAATTCATCTCAATCCATATTGATTCATGATCCATCCGTGTCAATATGAACATATCTCCAACTCCCTCATCTCCTCATCTTTCCTCCCCAGAACCATTCCGAGACCCTAGTTCTAAACCACAGTCTCAGCAGTCTTCCGAGAAAGCCTTCCCAAGACACAGCACGTGCAACACATCCTCCACCCACAAGGATGTGCCATTTCATCAAGCATAGTTTTGCTTGCAACCATGAGAAGCTCGAAGCCTCGACCTGTGAGAAATTCATCTTCGGAAACGGACATTGCGATCCAGAATTCCCGCTCACCTCGAAGATCCTGGAGGAGCAAACTTTCGATCGACGTTGCGAGCGATGCAAGGATCGAGTCTGAGACGTCCGCTAACAAGCTGACGAGGTGGACGAGAAGGTCGGGGAGTTCGTAGTTCGGAAATTCCAAATAAGCATCCACATACGAGCTATCTCCCCGCCCATAAACCCTAACAAGAACACTCAGGTTGCAAATTGACGTGAACTCTGTCTTATTTCGGGGGCCCGAAGGCCAAACTATATACTACGTAGGAAGTGACTGTACGCGTAGGCAGAAGCACTAATTAGAGACAGCAGTAGGCACGGTAGGCACGGTAGGCCACCGTACCCCAACCCCTCTCTGTAGAAGTTGTAACTGGCTAGGCATGTAGGCAGCTACTATGCCAGCAACTCCAAGTAGAACCACCTAATCTACTCACCGCCTAACGGATATACAGGCGATGTGCTACCAAAAAAATTGGTTCATTACGATCTGGAACCTGCTCGAGAGGACCCGACCGACTTCTATTATCGCAATATCCCACAGTTCATCTTCACGGCATGCGAAGCTTAAGACTATGCGTCTTCAGCTTGCGTACGATGCCCATCGTCTTCAAAACCAAGCACGAGCAAATAAAGGAGCTGGCGGATGACATTCTTCCAGGAATGAGCCAGCAAGACCTCGAGCAGAGGAGGCCACTTTTCTGGGAGTTCCTCTCCAATAATGGCTGGCAGCGGTACTGGAAGTTCAAAGGTCTCACGGCGGACGAGGTCCTCAACCAGGTCCTGTCGTAATGCTGTTTCCTCGAGTGTGGTAATTAAAGCAGCACAGGATTCCTCTTCTCGCCCTTTAGTAATATATTGCTGTGAAAAGCATCAAAACAAGTTATGGTAAACATAATGCGCCTTCCCCCGGATACGTAACCGAAATTGTATCCTCATTAGGTAAATGAATTGAACCCATTCTCCCCACAATCTTGATTTATCAGGCATGCAAAGGCGTCCTTCGTGATCCGTACAGTATTAGGCCATAATCAGGGCTAAAAATCAACCAACGAATTGTATAGTTCATTGAACTGATTGAAGTCTTGGCGTCAATCCGAAGGCCCTTGACTGATTGCCCACTCAATTTAACAATTGTTGATGCCCAAACCTATATCATAGTACTGCATACCTGATGGAAACCTTGTTCTCTCGCATGATGTGTGGTGTCCATCCTACTAGAACGCTTACTTGAGTCAGTGCTATGGTGCCATGGTACTCATCCAATTGCCCACAAAAAAGTATTTTTGCCTCCACAGCCACCGTAATCATCAAACAACTCCACTACACCATCCTAGAATTCTACAAGCTTCCCATCCAACTACAGTATTAACACATAAGTTTGTGCACCCCCTTTAGTCCAGGATTCCGGAGCCTCTTGCTGAATTTTGCTAACATGTTGAAGCACCCCGGACAGCGGCAACGTGGCCCGATCAGAAGCGACCGAAAACGCTTAGATTCGCACTCACTGGACATTTACATTTCATCCGAATTCTGATAAGGCACCGAAGCGCCTCGGACTTCGTCGAATAAGTGTGCACAGACTTCTGTTAAGGCACTGCATCACCTCTCTCAACGGAGATCGAATCGTCAAAGCCCACTACGAAATGGCCTCTACGACTCTCGACACTTCCATGGACAATTTCCCATTGCTAGATCTTCCCCGCGAGCCACGAGATCTTATCTACCATTTTGCGCTCGTTCGGGAATGTCTCTGTATTCCACAAGTCGATACTGTCACGGATTCCATCTCCCGTACGACCTGGAATGACAACCGTTTTGCAAGTAGCCAACAGTGGTTTCGGACCTATTCATTGTATCATGGGCACGACGACCTTCGTGGGGACGACACCCCACAAATGAATCTTCTAAAGGCCAATCGGCAACTGTATTCTGAAGCTTCCGAAGTGTCTTATTCCAAGAACATCTTTAGTTTCGATGTGTACTTCAGATTGGGTTTTTCGGAGCCTAATCCCGTGCTGGCTTTCCTCACAGACAGTCCCCAGACCTCACTGGAAAACATACCGTCACTGGAGATCGTAGAGCTCGGGTATAAGCCTTGGCAGATAGTCGAGGACCAAGGTCGCAAACTATGGAGTTCAGTTTGTATGTATCTGAGAATGACAAACCTCCAGTATATCGGAATTCAGACGCATGTTCCACCGGCGGCGGAGAGTCGGCTTCGAGAAATGGAAAGCACTAGTCAGGACCAAAATCTCTGGGCGCAGAGCCTTTTCGATTCGGTGTGGAGTTTGAAGAGTGTCCGATTGAGAGTGCAGGACGACTATCCATTCCCCGAGGACCTCTCGATTGTATCCCGGGAGCCAATCGACAAGGCGGAAAAGCTGAGCCTAAGCCGGAGCTGTCAGCGGATGACATTTTTCTCCAGTACATGTACCGCGGCTTGACAAAGCGCTCAGACATATTAGCAATCGAGTCATTCGTGTTAGCTCAGCGATGGGATATGTATGCATGGGCAACCCATTACTACTCACTTATATACGTTAAGAACATGATGGGCTACGATTTCAACATCAAGGTCCCGTCTGAGCTTGATGCTGCGACGTTGAGCTTGAGAAGGCCCTCCAATTTGGGAAAATCACATACGAAGCTGTGGGTTCAGGGCGACATCAAAGATGTTATTGAATCGCATGCAGGTGGGAATGTGCCTGACAGAACTTGACATTTCGGAGGTTCAGGGTGAAGTCGGTCGATATTACTTCAGCAGTACTAGGTCATAAGTCCGGGCACACGAATATGTTGGAAGCTACACATCACTCTGACACTCCTGGGCACATGATGTGCAGAGTCTATTCGGTCACGTGCCAAACTACTTTCGTATTTCCATAGTATCTAAGTATATACAGGCTCTGCCCTTCGTATCGAATACAATTAAGGATTCACTTTAACAGGATGTATCACTATCCATTAGCGTCATACGTCACTACATATCACTACCACATCTCTCTAGAAGCCCCTATACACACCTCCTTTCCCATACGGATAATAGCCTAGAGTTCTCGTCATTTCACCAGCAATCAACCACTGCACAGCTTCCACTCTTGCTCACTCGACGCCACTGTGAGGATCAGCCTAGCTGACTGGTGTCCACTTAGTCAAAGGATTAAACGGTAGCCTAATTTCCGTTCACTAACTTTTACATCGTGATGAGAGTTTGAAAAGTCCATAGGAGTACCCCAAGCAATCTTATGAAAGAGTGCCCAAACTGGTGTCCCATAAATGTAGTGTCAGATCGTAGCGTTTTCTACATTAGTGGATGTCTCTTCACATGTATAACAAAGTCTTAATGAAAATTCAATCACATCAATTTTCCAAGCAAGGCGGCTACAGTTAAGTATAGTTTCTTTGTGTGGTCGTCAGCTACAGTACATGAAGGAGCCTTGAAGAGCTACATAACTAAGAGGTATCCCAACCACTCGTACAAGTGAGAACAGCTCCATGAAGGCCATGATGTAGCTCTGAACACCAGATGCCCCAACCCCCGGCTGCCTTTCTCATACCACACTGCTGCCCCAAGCAGTCGCGTAGATATCGCGCTCACAACCTCAACAGCTCATCGGTGCTGTACATACATGGCCTGGTATTCACACCTGCGAAACTCATCTCCGTGCGTCTTCCAGAAACCTTCATGACATTTATCCTCAATCTCCTGAAGTGCCTTTCTGATTCCAGCATTGCTATCCGCCAACTGCGGCGGCATCTTCTTGTAGGCATCCAAGACCAGTCCGAACACATTCCAAGCCAACATTACATCACTTCCCGTGTAACGAGCCCTGTTTGGGTATAACTTGCCCTTTGTTTGAATATTGAGGAGTATCGACGCGATGATTTGGAGGATATATTCCGTGGGCAGCAGTGTAGAAAGGTTCATGTCTGTAGCCACCCTGGCTAGGATGGCTGCCCGTTTAATGTGCTCGTTGTTGGGGATCCTGACGTGTATGCACCTCTCGAGGAGGTCTCTGTCAGTTCCGTCCCTTGTGAATGGGTCGGCTCCATGCTCAAGCAGTAGCTTGAGTATTGCAACCCCATATGCAATGTTGCCCCAGGTAACACCGCCCTTGATGTTGCATGCGCAAGATAGCGCTAGGTCCAGATAGGTCCGAAAGGTGCCCGTTGTTGTGATTTCCTGGCCTTTTGCGCTAGCTCCGCCCTCTAGGAGCTTACGCATGCATTCGATATGGACATCGAGACGGCTGAGCGGTGGGTCGCAGGTAATGGCTTTGAATAGGGTTGTCGCGCTAAGATCGTGCCCTTGGAAATTGCTGACAGCTGCTCCGAATTCCAACAACGTGGTCGCAATCGTCAGGTTCTTGCTAGCTAGAGCGAAGTTGATAGCCGTGTCTGAATGGCTGCCGTAATCTGTTGATGGATATAGGTTTGGATCTACACCAGCCTCGAGCAGGAGACGGACCAGTGTTGGATCGTCATTCCTATCGTGCTTGGCATGATGATGTAAGGTTGGAAAGTACTCGTGGCTCTGATAGTAGGGATTGGCTCCAAGTTGAAGAAGGAGTTTGAACACGTGTCGATCTTGGGGGCGATTCAAGAATGGAAGGCCCTCTATTCCTTGGGAACATGCTGGATGTGTAGCATTTGCGTGATACTCTAAAATAAGGACATTGATGAGGTTGACCGCCTTCGGATCTAGATATGCTATTCCTGGGCGATGAAACTTTGTGAGAACAAATTCCAGGACCCTCGTCGCCTCGAACGCACTCATGCGACCAAGCTCTCCCGCTTTTTCAACGAACAAGAGAGTGATGTCCGAGCAAGCGTATCCGACCGTTGTGGCGATGAAGTATAGAGGCCAGTCGCCTTGGAGAACAGGGTATTGAGCCGGGTCCAAGGCAATTGAGCCCGATGGGCTCATGAACCTCGTTTCCCAAGGAAGTATAGGACGTAAGTACTCGGAAAGATCTGGCTGGCTGGTGCTGGAGTTCGAGCCGTCTTCAATTCCGGTGATGCCATGGGCAAACAGGTATCGCAAGAGATCTAGCTTCTCATGAAGTACAGTCCAGATTATTGCAGGCATGGTGGCATATGGCCAACCTAAGCCGGTTGTAGGTCGATCAGCGATAGCGCGCTTGTGGAGCTGGCCTTCGAGGAGTAAGCCATATCGCGAGTTGGTGCGCAGGAAATGCAACAAAGAATAGTCATCAAGATAGTCGCCAATGTCGAGGATCAGCTCGTTCGGAAGTGCGGATAAAGGCATAGTAAGGGCCGAGAATCTGGTGAGGTGCGAACAGTAGGTAGTGTTGTTGTGTGTGGTGCAATCGTGTGGAGCATGTAAACTTAAGCGGACGAGGCGCCTTTTATAGGCCCTGGGGTGTTTTCCGGCAGTGAATGGTAAAGTTGAAAGGTCTCCAAGCAGGCAATTGTTTATTGGAGCAGCAGAGTAGGCTGCACGAGGCCCATCTAGAAAGAAAATTGGTGCATGAAGGAGCGCTGGAGACGTCGTGTGTGAGCGTGAATCTGCCGTAGTGAGCCACGTTAAACATTCACCAGCAGTAAACACCTACTCCGCTGTCAATATGTCTTTAGAGCTATGTGAAGGCCAGCAAAGCACTCGACCGGCACACAAAAACCACACACCACCATCTTTTGTTGTGTAGTGCGTCCTGCTCACCAGGTATCCGCCATGTCTACCCTAAATCTCATGGAGGTCTCTCTCAAAGTCCCTAAATTCCTCGATACGCCACCGCCATCTCTTCCAACGCTTTCGAGCGACCTGGTAGTCAAAGTCGCAGAGTTGCTCGATATGCATTCTTTAGAGCACAGCTGTTTCACTACCGCCGAGGAGGGTTATTATACGACTAGCCGAGAGCAAAGATGCTCTACCACTAGCTACGCACGAGGAGGTCCTACCGGCAGCCCCGAATAAGGCTGTAGCACACATACTGAAGTGGCCCTTGTATCGTATAGCCATGAGCTCCGAGTACTACTGCTCGGAAATAACCTTACTCTTTATCAAAAAGGCGGAAGAGCTGAGTGCATACAAATCGAATCCAAAGGAAGCCACTAAGGCACTTGGTCGTCTGTTGACATCCTCCCTTGAATTAGAAGCGCGTGAGGAGCGCCAAATTCGAAAAGGCGATTACAGGGACGACGAGGACTGTACTAAGCGGACGCTAAAGCTGGTGAAGGTCTTTCTATCCCAGTACGGCGCAGACCCAAACGGAGTAGGAGTGAAACTAGACAAGGAATACATGCGGTTCCGGTCGCAGACGTTCCCCTATCTCACCAAGGATCCAAAGGTCTTCGGACTACTTATGAAGTACGGCGCCGACGTCAACGCGAACCACGATCATCCGGATAGAAACCCGAAAGCTCTTCCTCTGGTGACCCACGTTATCGTGATCTCGGACGATGACGATGACACCTTGGTCCGTATGTTGCTTGAGAAGGGTGCCAACCCGAATGCGCTCGGTGAATTGGCGCAAGCAGCCGTACACTGCATTGGCCTACGCCTTGGTGACAGGGAAATATAAGAACGCCCTAGCGCTGCTCGAACATGGGGCAGGTGTCGGCGGGACATGGAAGTGGAAAGGCTAGATAACTTCAATATCCTTTGAAGTTGTTGCACGCTATACGCAATCGAAGACTGAGAAGGGTATAAACCTACGATTCGGAGGTTCTTCAATGCATCTTGGAACGCAATGTAAATCCGCATCCTAGTCCCTTCTACCACGCCATCCCAAGACTGAGGGAACCTTACAGTGTCGGCATGCGAATGGTCGAGGCCGTATTGATCAACGGAAGCAGTGTCGCAGACGCTGTCAAGACTATCAGCTTGCTCCTCGAGTACGGCGCTGATCCCAGCAATAAGAATTCACAAGGGCAGACCTTCGTCCAGATGCAGCTCGACGACTTCGACCTGAAATCGCCCAAAGAGCTGACTTGGTTCCTGATCCTTGCAAAGGTGGCGGCTGCGACGGGGTGTGTTGAGCTCCTTCCTGGGGACTATTTCTTGAGGTACTTCGCGGCTGGCTGGAAACAGGCGCAAGCAATCATTACTCAAGCTGGCTGGCAGCGGGTTGAAGCGACCGCTGTTCGCTGGGCCGAGGCTAGATACCCCCAAAACACACCTATCGCGCTCGGTGACATCATCAACAAGGTATCGTGGGATCTGCTCATGGCTATCGACGATAGCTACAGGAGATGCCCCCAAGGTGGTGGTGAAGTCGGCTGCCAGTACCGCAAGTTCTGGCGCACTCATCACCACAGTGTGAAACGTTGTCTTATCGAAGATGACGGCAAGGCGCCTAGGTTTTTCTTCCCCTTTTCACCCGATATTGAAGCGTTGTGGCGGGATAGCGGGGCGTGTTCGTGGCAGACGGTGTTGAGATAGGGTTGGTCGGGAATGCACGTATAGACTGACTAAGCGAGTTATTCATCACTAATCCAAAATGCCGATAGAGAATTGCCTCCTTTGACTACTAGTTTCGAACTGCATGCCGTGATTAGTTAATTTGTAACCCAATGAGACGATTAGGGCGGATGACCTGCGGAAAGCCAAGATCAGTCATCCCACTGTAGCACCTCTAAAATACTGATCTAGTTACAAAGCGGCGGGATGAACATCCTGCACGCGTCAGAGAGACATCCCTAGGTAATCTAGTGGTTAACACTGGTGGAGTTAGCGGCGTATATAATCTTAAATTGGCCCAGTTTACTGAACGAGGACAAAGCAATCAGCCTCTGAACTAAAAACGAAACGAACCGAACACACCTTCCAAATAGACATCCACGCCTCCTGGAGCATCTCTCTGCATCCGGTGAACTAGTGAATAGTCAAAGCCACCAAATCAGTGGTTAAAGAGGGGTATTTTTCGAACATAACGGCTCCAAGTACCGTGATTTTAGCAGGCTAAGTTCAGCGCCTGTAAGATATACTCTAGAAAAGGACCCCCTCCGTCCTATTTCTACTTAATTCGCCAGTGGCGTTAGAACCGCGCTAGCTCACCAGGCGCCACGCAGGAGGATGCTGTACCCTGGCCGTAATGGTCGTAACCCCACGCATTCGTAGCAAGGTAGTCGTACTCGTAGTAGCCTAGCTCTTGGTAATCACCTCCTGGAACTTCGATGCAGTACGGAAGGCCACATGTTGCGTATGCCGAAGTCCACGGTATAAGAACCACAGCAAATCCCAGATGTTGACCAAGCTTCATTCCATACCTTGCTTCTACTAGACTATATCGAGACCTCTGAGACACTCAAGAAAAGTTATCGCAATTCAAGCCTCATAAAATTAACATGGCTATTCCTCAGGACACCACGACCTACCATGGCGTCTCCGGCGACGTGAAGCCCACCACAACCGCACTCCCAGCCCTTGGACCAAAGGAAATCTTGATCAAGATCACGCACACCGGTCTCTGCGCATCTGACCTTGCCTATATCCCCTACGGCATCGCCCTCGGCCACGAAGGTGTCGGCACCGTACTCGCAATCGGCAGCGAGGTCACCCAATTCGCAGTCGGTGACCGTGCTGGCGGAGGATACCATCGCAATAGTTGTGGGCACTGCTCTTACTGTCTTAGCGGCCAGGACATATGGTGCTACGAGCGAACCATATTCGGCGAGAAAGATTACGGTAACGGGACGATCGCAGGTCACTATGTTGGTGTTGAGACATATCTACACAAGATCCCGGAAGGACTGGAGAGCGAGCACGCTGCGCCTCTGCAATGCGCTGGCGCAACTGTATATAACGCTCTTCTTGGGGTAGCGAAGCCTGGTGAGCGGGTGGGGATCGTGGGTATTGGCGGATTGGGCCATTTGGCAGTGCAAATAGCGAGAAAAATGGGCGCGGAGGTTGTTGTGTTCAGTACCAGTCAAGACAAAGAAAAGGAAGCGAAGGGATTCGGTGCGAACGAGTTCTACTTGCTGGACGAGGTGGAGAAAGTGACGAAGCCGATAAACACACTAGTCGTTTCAGGGAACAAGTATCCAGATTGGGACAAGTGAGTCTTCGTATGCTATCGGGCTGTAGTTTACTGACCAAGTTAAGGTTCCTGGTAAAGAACGTTCTTGCGCGTGCTGGAACGATCATTCCCCTTGCAGCACCTCATGATCGTCTTAATCTTCCGTAAGCGCATTTCCTGTCATCGAATCCTGCTTCTTGCAGTAGCACAGACTAACAGATCGTAGTGCGTTTCAACTCTTCTTTGATGGATACAATGTCAAATCGAGCTTGGTGGCTTCGCGCCGCACGCATGACGATATGCTCGCATTCTGCGCTTCGCACGATGTCAAACCAGTAATTGAGAGATTTGAGCTCAGTGAAAGTGGAATAGGAGAAGCAATCGGAAAGCTTACCGCAAATAAGATGCGGTATCGAGGGGTGTTGGTCGCTCCAGAGTAGGCCGAAAGGGCTGTATCGCCTTTATGGCACGACAGCCTTCGCTTATGAGACAGCCTCGGACAGAGACTGGGTGAAGGGACGTTGTAGGGGGTGATGTTTGAAAGCGTCAGAGGGACAGTAACTGATTTATGTGCTTGTACTCAAATTTTGCTTTGCCTTGCGTGTGATGCCAGTGTGTACGCTGTTCTAAGACTGTTTTGAGGATTAATGCGAGGCATTAGGCGGAAGGTATAACTTCACGGCCCCTGATATATTCAACACACCACTGTATGTAGGGTTTCCACAATGGATCGATCTGACAAAAAATCTCTTCCACCAAGCGAGAACTCCATCCTTCAATGAACCAGTATCCCTCAAGTTGGTTGAGATGGAGTATAATGCAATAATGAGCCAAGATCGCAAGAGCGCCGGAATCATGCCGTTTCAGCAGCAGCATGAAGTCAGAAGAGATCTTGATCGGCCAAGTATAGACTATGCGGATTGGGCGATCTCCAGGGTCGTCTCCATGGTTGGTTGCTTGACGAATGTTGTAGATCGCTTCGACACAGATGCGGCGGTAGGTTGGTTCAAGATCAGGGTCTTCAAGTAATGCCGTCAGCTGATCCACATGCGACAGCATCTCCACCATCAACGGCAGCGGCGGCGGATCGAGCGCCGTGCGAACAATAGGGCCAAAGGTTCCTTGAAGAATTCGGACGAATGCAGAGCTTAGGATGCTGTGGTTGCCTCGGATCAGCTGAAAGAGGCTGACTATGTCATCGATGGGGTCATCGGTGGTTTTAGATGCAAACGCGGTAAGGGGCATAAGCGTTGAGGTTATGAAGAGGGCATCAGAGTTCTCTGGTATTAGTCCTGGTAGAGCTTTGCTCATGGCACGAATGGATTTGTTCTGGTGGCCTGCTGCGATCAGCGAGTATTTCGGTTGATCGGCGGGTCGTATATGGGCAAGATGGAAGGCCGCGAAAGCTAGAACCTGGTGCATCAGGAACGGATGCGATACCGCGAGCTGAGGTATCTCGATTTTCCATAGGTTCTTGATTTCTTCGTTTCCAGGGACGGACCAGGCCGCAAATGCAGTCCAATGATGCATGAGCTCCAGATCTTGGGCCCAATTAGCAGACTCGATGTAGTCCGCCCTATTAACGAATCTGGTTAAGAATGGAAAAGAGTCCGGGGTGGAGAGCTCGGAATGAGGGTCTGCGTTTCCGGGTATAGGATTTAGGACAAAGTTGATAGGCAGAGACGGCGTGGGCGGGGGGCGGGCTGGTCCTCCATTGATAGTCTGATTGGTAGGGCTCTGAAATAAGGTCAAATTTCTTCCTGGATAGCTTGGGAAGCATATATCACGGGCTTTTGCCGTGATATTCAATAATGCTCCAACTCACCCTGAGGTCGTCTTCCTGAATTGATCCTTGGGCACTTGAAGATGGCGGCGTGCTGCTCATGGACTGTGTCCCACCAGGGGCCCAAGTCAGGAGGCTGCATGGCACGCCATGCCTCGTACAGTTACCGCAAGGGCGGTTCTCGTCGCACTACAGGAGGCGAAGCATCAGCCATTGGGTTCCCATAGACCGTCTTTGAAAGAACGCACTTTGACATGGCGCGCTTTGCATTGCCGGCAGCCAGCGCGCGACTTCTTGTGGCCAAGTCGAGGAGGCATGGGAGGACGAGATGTCCAGGTAGACAAAATTCGGATTGGAAAATGGGTAGCCTACACTTCAGGCTCGCCTACCACAGCAACATGCTATGGCAGACTGACTGCCCCAATGATAGATGCCAGACTTGGGAAAACTAATAAGCGAGCGTGGTGATGCACAACGTGATGGTTGATGGGATGAAAATGCGAATGCGAGTCACAGGCGGATCGCTGCGGTTGGAACCTAGATGATTCTAACCCGAAGGATCAAAGACTGTGGAAAGCACAGCCCCTTCTCCCACCCGTGGGCAGTGCCTTTCGAGAACGTCACTCATACATCTTACATACTTTGTATGTGCAGTCACCCACTACCGGCTGAGCTCCTGTGTCGCACTACCGCATAGCTAAACGCACACGACGTTTGTCCAGGCAAGATTTGGCCTAAAGCTGAAGAGCTCGCGATCCATCATCTCCTTACCTAGATTACTCTAAGCAACATCTCTTATCAGTTAACGAGATGATCAGACAGTAATAATATGCTCAGAGTAGTTACTGCCCGGGCAGATATCTATCGCAAGGAGCTTCATACGGCACGTGATCTCCACGTGAAACTCCCCAATTCGGACCACCTGAAAAGTCCATGACACCAACGTTTCTTTGGAGGAGGATTCCCAGGAATCAAGCCTTTTATTTTTTTCTCCGTCTTTGTGATCTACCAGTTTGGTGCTGAAGAGAAGGACAAAAAACCCATGAGCAGTTTTCAACGTTGAGGGGTTCAAGAACCTGGAAGCAAGATACATATGATCAGGCCTATCTCGTTTGTAAACTACCATGGCACTTCTATCATTCCGTTCCCTTCATTCTCCCAAAGAGCACTCTTGTAACTTCCCCTCTCGCTCAATGCCAACTCAACTGCAACCTCCGCCCCGTCTAGCGGATCCTTCGGTCCTCGGAATCCATTGAATGCTGTCTTACAATGTCCGGGACTCACTGCTTGGAACAATATTTCGGGTTCTGCCTCCGCTATCTCCATCGTCAACATGTGCAGCGCCGCTTTCGAGACACAATATGGAATAGAAATAGTCTTTGGCATCACTTTCGCAGTCAACCGCGTAATGGATCCTCTTGCCGACGAAATGTTGATAACTCTCGGATCCTCTGACTTCTTCAAGAGAGGGAGGAACGCATAGGTAACGGCTGCAACGGAAGTCACGTTGACGGACAGAACATTGTCGTACACTTGTCGGATATCCGAGTTATCTGGCTTGGGAACGCCAGCAGTGGCGGCATTGTTCACGAGTACTAACAAAAGTCAGTCAATACGTTTCTTCTGTGCAAATGCCTTAATACGAACAATCGAGCTTGCCGAACTTCTCGCCTACTCGAGCGGCCGCGCCTGCGATCTGGGCATCATCTGTGACATCCATCAGGATGCCTTCGAGTCTCGAGGTGCTACCGAGTTCTCGCAGTTTGCGAATAGCTTGATGGCCGAAATCGAGAGATCGTACTGCGAGAATGTAGGTGTGCTCAGGGGCGCGTTGGGAGAGGGCTTGAACTATGGCGAACCCGATGCCTTTCTACGTCAATGCTTGAAGTTTGAGGTTTTGCTGGGTACACACCTTGATTAGATCCTGTGACTAGTATCACCTTTCCTGCCATTTTTGTGTGGATATGCTGGGCTATTTCCGACTACCTATTTGGGAAACGGGATGAATTTATGTGTGGATCGGCAATTAACGGAAGATTTCGGTGACACGTAGAGAGTCTCTAAATGATCGAACAAGTAAAGTTCTAAAGTACAACGCGATGTTCCCTTGCCTTTATATATTCATATGAGTATGAACCGGCGACGTGCGGAGTTAACTTAACTCCTGCTTACGACTACCCTTAGCTGAGGTTGTACCAAAAAGTCAATTTGTCTGGGCCAATCTTAAAGCACTTTTAGAGAGGTCTCACATTCAAAACGACTAATTGGGCCCCTGAAAGGCACTGCCGTTTACTGATATGGACAATCACGTGGGCTTCACGTGGTGATAAGAGATCAACTCACGTCATCAGTCCTCCCGAAAGTCGCGACTTCGCGTTGATGCATTTGTCAACTCTCCAGCGCCTTTCATTGTCCATCCTCCTCATGAGCCTGCTCGCAGCTACCATCCGACAAAGCTCGCGTTATATATCGAACCAATCAGTCGCACATGTAAGAAGCGTTGCCAGAACGAAACTTCGGAGTTAACCTTCATCAGCCCTCAATCACACGCGCCATGCATATCCAATCGATTCCCATGTGTAAGTAAGCAGTAAATAGCATCTAATAAAGTATGCTGATTCTCTGGATAGGGGAGGGGACCGGGAACAATTACGCATATCTGGTTGTCGACGATAAGACGAAAGAAGCCGTGATCATTGATCCCGCGCATCCGCCTGAGTACGCTCCACAGCCCTCATCGCACAAGCACCAAGAATCTAAAACAGCAACTCAACAGAGTCCTTCCGGTCCTCAAGAAGCAGACAGAAGACGGATCCATCAAGCTCACCCAAATAATAAACACTCACCAGTATGCTCCCCGCTCCATCACCCCTCACCCTAATTGAGTGGATTCTGACAGCTCAACAGCCATAACGACCACGCAGGCGGCAACTCCGAAATAGTACGCCCGTCCTATCGATTTGCTTTTCCAAACTGACCGACTAGCTTGAACAATTCAAACTCCCCATTATCGGCGGCAAAGACTGCGCAAAGGTCACGAATACCCCAGCACACAAATCTACCTTCTCGATCGGTGAGAGTATAAAGGTTACGGCGCTACACACACCATGTCATACGCAAGATAGCATATGCTACTTCGTCGAGGATGGTACAGATAAAGCGGTGTTCACCGGAGACACACTATTCATTGGTGGTATGTTACGTTGGCTGTGGAAACTTGAGAAAGCATGAAGCAAGAAAGCTGAGATTATTAGGATGCGGGCGCTTCTTCGAAGGCAGCGCGACTGAGATGCACAAAGCCCTCAACGAGGTGCTAGCATCGCTTCCCGATGACACTAAAGTCTACGTATATCTGGTCCAACTTCTGCTTTGGATCCTGCTAACACGACTTTAATAGCCCGGTCATGAGTACACTAAGGGCAATGTTCGCTTCGCCAAGCGAGTTCTGCAGAACGATGCCATCAAGAAGCTAGAGGAATTCGCGCAAAACAACAAGGAGACACAGGGGAAATTCACGATTGGTGACGAAAAGGTATTGGTTTCGCGGATCTTTCTGGCCATATCTGCTAACACTATCCTAGAAACACAACGTATTTATGAGAGTCAATGTATGTAAAGTCTGCACTAATTTGGATATGCAAGCATTAATAGGTGTCCTAGGATCCCGCCATCCAGGCGCTAGTAGGCCATACAGAGCCCGTTGAGGTCATGAAGACACTGCGAGAGATGAAAGATAGGGCGTAGAGTGGCAGGTAGGACAGTGGCATCAAAATGGGCGAAAACGTGTGGGAAATCAACCTATGCGGCAAAATTCAAAAGAAGAAAAGAACTCTTGATTTCAAGCCAATGCCCCTATTCAAAAACTGGATGCGTTACCACCGCTGACTACTATGAGATCTTTCCTTATATGCATCCCACCCGGTATTCATACTTACGTATGGCCCACACTCTAACAGCCCTTTCCTATCAATCCGCGAAGCGTCTTGATGTGCTTCCCATCGGTGTGGCTATGGCGAGGGAAAGTATCATTATGCCTTAACGAATTGCTCATCTTTAATCTTACCGACTCCTCAAGCGTGTGTCTTCGCCCAATCCCGATACCAATCAAGGCACTCCGCATTCGCCACCGACGCGCTGGTCTTCACATTCAACCCGCAAAGAATCTGCTTGACAGCTCCTTCTACCCTAGACGATTATTAGCCATCTTTCTTTATGAAACAAAATCAAGAAACTCACTTCTTCCCATTCGTCGTAATCGGAATCTCCGGACACGCCTCAATAATCCCCGGCACGTGTCTCGCACTCAGCCCCTTCCTCACCGCCGCCTTTATCCTCTCTACTAACTTCCCATCACACTCCTTCCCCTCCGCCATCTTCAAAAATAGCACCACGGTCTCATCAGCATCCTCTTCCCGCCGTCGCCCAATACACAACGCGTCCGCCACCTCATCCGCGAAATGCTCAAGAAGCACGTTATAGATCTCCGCGCTTCCAAAACGCACGCCAGCGGGCTTGAGGATCCCATCGCTCCGGCCCAGCATGAAAATGCCGCCAGTCTTGGGGTTGAACCGCACGAAGTCGCCATGGTGCCACACGCTTTTTTCTGGGAAAGCCTCGAAGTAGCTGGAGCGGTACTTCGCATCCCCAGTCGGGCCCCAGAACGCGACGGGCTGGCAGGGAAATGGTTTGGTGCAGACGAGATCGCCTGCCTCGCCGGTGGCCGTGATATCTGCGCCTGTGTAGTCCCAGGCTGCGATCGCCATGCCGAGTCCCGAGACTTGGATCTCGCCGATGTGCACGGGGTTGAGCGGAGAGGGCGCGCCGAAGAGGGAGATTATGTCTGTGCCGCCGGTTATGCTGCCGAGGTTTATGGTGGAGGGGAAAGCGGAGTAGATGTAGGAGAAGGTGGAGGGGGCGAGGGGGGAGCCGGTGCTGTAGATGGCTTTGAGCGTCTTCAGTGACAGTATTTTCGTTGGTGCTAGGGCTTTCTGCTCCAGCACGGAGAGGTACTTCGCTGAGGTGCCAAAGTGCGTTATGCCAACTTCCTCGACGAGGAGCGGCATCGCGAGGTCGTTTGGTATTGAAGTCGAGGGATCGGAGGGTGAGATGGTGCGGAAGGGCGAGCCGTCGTAGAGGACGAGAGTCGCACCGCTTGCCAGCCCGGAAACGAGCCAGTGCCACATCATCCAGGTACAGGTCGTATAGTAGAAGAGGCGAGAGCCAGGGGTTATCGAGCAGTGGAGGAGATGCTCCTTTTTGTGTTGGAGCAGAGTACCGATGGCGCCATGGACGATGCATTTCGGTGCACCTGTTGTCCCGCTGCTGTAGAGAATGTAGACGGGGTGATCGGGGGGTAGTTGTTTGAAAGTGAGGGTCGATGGGGGAGCCTGGAGGCGTCTGTACGCGTCGTAGGTGTATGCTTTCCCGGATGTAATTTTTATCGAGTTCAGATCTGTCTCGACTGGTGCCACCGTCTGGAAGACGACTACAGCCTGGAGCGTTGGGAGGCCCGCAGCTATCTCAGCCACTTTAGGGAGGACAGGGTGACTACGGCCATTGTAGAATGCTGCGTTGTCCGTGAATAGCAGCATTGGCCCAATCTGCCGCAGTCTCTCAAGCACGGCGTGCACGCCTGTATCAGGGCTCACGGCTGTCCATATGCCTCCCAGCGACGTAGCTGCGAGCATTGCTACCAAAGCATTGGTGTGATTAGCAACGTATCCCGCCACTCGATCGCCCACTTTCAACCCTATGGCCAGCATCCCGGCCTGGCATTCTTTCACTTGTTCCCTTAGCTCTGCCCAGCTGACCGTCTCACGCGTGGTCTCCGTTGCTGCTATCACCGCAGGACTGTTCGGGTCGACATCGTGAGCGGGGAATAGCAGGTTCTCCGCGAAATTAAGCTCAGCTCCCGAGAAGAATGATGGCCGCGGGTACATAGGTAGGCTTTCATCGACAACCTATCACACCATCAGCAGCTGAGTCATAATTCATGTGTGTGTATACAGACCAAGGGCACTGGTGCTCAGACTGACCTCTGTATACAGTTTCGAAGCTCTCACGCCCGTGTACTGCCATACCTCGCCCCAGAAGCCCGCGATGTTGCTGATGCTCCATGCGTGGAGGTCTTCGTAGCTGTTCAATTGCAAGTTGTGCTTTTTGTTGACGGTAAGCAGGAAGTCCCACATGGGCGTTGATCTCGGAGACGGGTTCTTCCAGAGCTGCGTGCTGGGTTTCGATGTGCCATTGGTGAGGATAGCCATTGTTACGTGCTGTATGGAGGTTGTAAAGCCAGTAAATGGGGAGCAATAAGCATATCTTCAAGCCTGCCGTTGGTGTCGGTCTCCCTCCCAGGATTTTTGAGCTGCATGAATCCCAGCGTCGATCGTCGCAATCGGCCCCGCTCGGGAACTTTCGGACCTTGGTGGCGGGGCCGGGGGGTCTCCGATTTATTACCTTAGTCTTTGTTCAAGGGGTGTCGTGAGCTTTGACGGGCGAATTATGCATCGACTTCGGGCTGTCTTCGAATCATCTTGAGGATTTTACAGAAGCTTCTTCGATTACGGGCTGATTTGTGGTCCGGGGACTGTTTCAAGAATGCCGGACTCTTTCGGAGATGGGTGAGAAGCCACTTGCTGCATATGCCAAGTCAGATATCTTTAATGTCGGGATTCCAACATGAAGCGGAGTCAGATTATCGTCACCCTTTTTCAGATGTCTATGTAGTCATTGGATCCGAGCACCGATCTCCTGGGAAATAATCGGGGCATGGCGCCTGACTTGAGGGAAGATGATGTGAGTTTCCATTCTGACGACCATATCGAGGTGAAATCACCTCGTTTCGAGGACCTCACCCAATTATACCCCCGGGAAGCCTGAGTTTCAAATCTTCGGTCAATGCATACAAATTTACACGTTGTTTCAAGTGTGAATGTAACCCTAAGAGCTCTGCCGGCACCGAACTCATGACTGGGAAATGGTCACTGTCAACTGTGGAGAAGTGCAATGAAGCTAGCCCAGTATTTAAACAACAAGTCAACCTAATGTGACATGTGATAGAAGCCGCTTCACAAGCTTTGACATCGAGTCAACTGCTGGTTTCAAACTGGATTTGGTCATAAGCACGTGAGACTCACGTGATATGGGCTATCATTAATCATCTAACCCGCTCACACCTCTTATAAGACGTAGTCACTAGCCTATATCAACTCCTCCCTGGAGTGCCCTATCGATAGAATCAAAATGATTGAATGGGCAGACGGGATAGGTCAGGCAGGCGACTTCTATTTGGGGTATAGTCAGTACGCTAGCATTTCTACAAAACTCATCCCGAGGTCTTTTCAACCAGTTTCCAATGCAACAGCATATTTTACTTCGCCGACCTTCTTGCCAATCATGATCGCCCAGGCTGAGCTCAACGTCACCCGATCGATGGTTTTTCATATCGTGGCGCAGACGAGACGTCTAATAGGCCTGCAGCTGCAGGAGGCGTCTGCAGGAGGCGTCTGCAGGCAGACCTCAGCCTTCCGCACCCCTTCCTTTACAAGAGCAGAGGCACGAATCTCGACACTATTTTCCGGCCAGGCTGAATAGGAACAGATGCCGCCATTCCTTGTCCTGAGCAAGGCGCATTACCAAGAAAAGGCAACTTGATTAGCGAGGCGCAAGGCTGAATTCCGTTGTGATATGTTGCAACAGTTAAGTAGAAAAGTGAGGCTTGCGTGGTTGTGCCTTGTTCAGTACTTCATGCTACCTTCCCTTCCTGTCCATTAAACAAATCAGTGCGAACGTTTATGCTGTCATTCGAATATGGATCCATTGTCCGCATTTGCAGGTGTCGTCGGCCTATTAGATGTGGCTATCAGAGCGTCTACGAAGGCTTGGCATCTAACCGAGGAATGGCGTAACGCACCAGTGCGGATGCTAGACCTCTCGGAGGAGATTCAAACCGCAAGGGAAGTTTCCTCGCAGCTGCAAACAGCATGTGAAGCTATAGAGAACGATTCTGAGTCTCCCACTGGTCCATTTGTCGAGGCTATCGCTTCTCAAATGGAAGTTGCAAGAACAACTTGTAAGGATCTGGAGCTTATCCTGTCCTCGGTCATAGTGACCTCCACAACTTCTCGCCGTATATTTCGAAAAGAGAAGTGGATCCAAGCGAGGTCAAGAGTAGCCGATCTTCGAAGCCAGCTTGGGAAAGTTCGATCGAATATCATGCTGTTCCTGTGCATTCATTCAGCGTATGTGCTTTATGTTCGAATCATCTCCTCCACAATCTGACTTTTGTAGGCTCCGTGGAGTGCAACTGGAGTCTCTTCTTCGAAGCCAACATGAAGTTATTTTGAGTCGGCTCGAACAAAGGAGTGAGACCACCATTGCAATCTCTGGACCAATCATTGTCAACGACCCCAACACGGAATGGAAGAGGCAGAATAGTCCTGAAGACTCTGATATTGCGTTTCCACAGTCTGGAGGAAGTGTGGCCGGCTTCGCAGCTCGAAATCGAGTAATCTGCCAGAGCACCTGCTACTGCAAATGCCATCTGTCTCCGTATTATTACCGCTATCGTCTGACTGGATTTGGGCACGTCATCGGATCTGTTACAATGAAGTATTCGGCCGGCGGTTTTTTCACGCACGAGCCTTCTTGTCGGAGGGCAAAGTCTCGTTCCTTTGAGCTATCGTACTCATTCCCACCTTGGCTCTTCAATCTATCTGTCCTTACGATTATATCCATGTTTCAAGGACTTCCTACCGCCGGGCTTACCGTTCGACGTAGAATACCAAACAACGAGTGGGACCTCTCCCAAAGCGTGGTAGGACGTACCAAGAACGGAGACTCTATGGGAGTAAGGGCATTGCTTGAGACACACGAAGCGTTAGTACACGACTTGGACCTGCAGACCGGAAACACCGCCTTGCACTACGCCGTGTATATGGGTGATGTTGCTTGCATCAAGATCCTTCTCTCTGCAGGTGCAGATCCTTTCCTGGAGAATGACGACGGCCACTCGGCGATCGGTCGCGCAGAGCGCTGGATAACCGGTGGGTATCGAAGTCCATCGATTGGCCAGGAGATGAAAAGGCTATTGCCGTGGTCCAAATACCTCGACGACATGGACCTCCCACATCTGCACAGAGTCGTCACTGGAATGCGCCCTATCTCCCTACAAGACGAACTGAGAAAGGCGGCGAATCGCACGCAGATTAACGCTACGGACAATACCGGACGTACGCCTCTCCACTGGGCTGTGCATCAGCGTGATGCCGAGGCAATTCAGCAGCTCGTAGATGCTGGGGCGGACCCCAACATGAGAAGAACGGGTCATTCCGACGGCTCAACACCCCTCATGGATGCTTGTAGAGCAGACTCCCTCTCCTGTGTCAAAGTGCTCCTTGACGCCGGCGCGGATGTGAGTGGACGCCGGCGGATGGATGGCCAGCAACCTATACACTGTGCATCAGAATGGGGTAGCATCGACACCCTCGCTTTGGTGGTCTCCGCAGGAGCAAACGTCAACGACGCGGAAAACACCTGGAGGTCAGCTCCACTCGCAGCCGCAGCTCGAAGCGGTGTTGCAGAGAATATCGCTTTCTTGCTAGCTCATGGAGCGGACATCAACCACGCTGATCGGGATGGCGATACGGCGCTTACCGAGGCCATCTATAATAATTCCGTCGAATCCATTGAGGTTTTACTCGCGAGCGGCGCCAAATACAACGACGCCAACTCTACGGATGTGAATGGAAACGGGTTCACAATCCTGCACCAAGTAGCCTTGTATGGCGAAGCGAAGACGGCGAACGCCCTGGTAGCAGCTGGACTAGTAGGACTCAATCGAAACGCGAGAGACGCGAAGGGAAAGACGGCGCGGGAACTTTTGGATGAGCGGCCAGGGGTGTCAGACGAGTTCTTGCAGGCTTTTAATGCGCTTGCGAGGAGTATATCGAAGAATGTTGTCATTCCTAAAGACGTAATAGAGAAGGGTGACCGTGAAGCTGGGGCCACAGCCGTTCCCAGAAGCCGAGCGACGCTGTCTATGAGTGTCCTTTTCCGGATGTCGTCAACGATCTCTCGAGCTCGACTGTTGTTGACTCGAACCAGTCATTATCGACTCTACCTCGTGTGTTTTGCTATGGTGTTGGCGATTTTGTTTTTTATTCTGACTCACGTTGACTTGATACGAAGTGTATGTCGTCAATCGGAATTTCCCATAGGGCTTTGGTTTTGAATGACTGTTCAGGGGACAACACAATACCTGGTCATGAATATCCGTACACTCGTTTATTGATGCGTGAGCCTCATAGTATTCTCAACATTTTGAATGAGAGAAATTCGACATCTTCAACAACTAGTATGTAGTACAACCTTCAATATATCCTCCATGCATTTTGCCACCTTTGATTCTTTCGAGATCCGTTTACCGATTACTGCGGTCATGTTTGAGTCTGTGCTCTTCTTGACGTAGCGCTCAGGAGTCTCATCATCGTTTGAGCGATACAGAACCAAAGTTTCAGACGGCAATATGATATTTCAAGTAATTACAGTAAAACCCTCTAGTAATCATTTCAAGCAGTCAGTGAGTCTTGGCAGGACTAAAATTATGGCTTTTTCGAAAGTTTATACTGTTTCTTCGACACCACATCACTTCAAAGCCAAATCTTCACGAGCAACAACGATATCGAAACCTTTCAACCGCAAAGCTTCAACCTCACGGCACAAAAAACACCGCTCCAACTCCAAATCCTCAACTTGCCAACCAACATACCAACTTCAAACCCGCCCTCCCCAGTCTCTCGCACCAAACAACCACCATGTGCAAAGCAAGATACTTCCGCGTCTCAAACACTTCGGGAAATTGCCGCAATCATCGGCGCCACACTCACTGGGTGAAGATCACTCCCTGCACGAACGCAGACGTTCGAAGAGCCCTCGATTTCGACGACCACGACACACTCAAGTGCATACCCCTCCATAACGTTTCGAGCGTGATCCTGGATTTTCGATTCGACTTCAAATTTGACGAGGAAAATAAACTCAAGTGCTGCCCTAACTATCACTCCAGAGAGTTAGAGAAGAGCAAGCACAACATAAAGGGGTGCCATTCGTTGGTGCATAGATGTCCAAAGTGTGAGCGGAAAGTGAAGTGGATGGCTGGTGGAGAGGCGAAGAGCGAGGGAGGGAGTAGTGGCACTGGGAAAAGTGTCGGAGATAAAGCATCGCTCGCAAGTAGTGACTGACCCTGTCGCTGGCGCTGAAGATGAGGGTGAGGAGACGGCCGTGGAGTCGGATGCTACAGCTGTGAACTCTGATGATGCGGAGGCCTAAGGGGTCTGATGGAGAAGAGGCGTGTGAGCCGGTGAACTGGAATGTGGCGGATGCTATGTAAATTGATTGGGTGGTCTTGACTGGATTGCGGGATAGATTTCAGTTGATTAGGCTTTTATCTGTTTTCTATGGTTTGACTTATAGTTGGTGTAGTGAAGAGGATAGCAATCTACGAAGTATAATGAGCGTTGATTGATAGACTGGCAGGCGTAATCAAGTCTGTGTTCTCTCTCCTTCACATAGCGCTTAAGAGTCATCCCCATATCATCATCGTTTGAGCAAAATCGCATCACTTCAACCTGAAACGCGCACATTTGCAGTTATAGTGTGAGCAGTGTCTGTTCTTTTAAGCAGTCAGCGGGCCTTTGCAGGAGTATATAATATAACTTCTCGACGGTCAAATCCTTTTTTCACTACAAAACAACCTTAAACCCAGTCATCACAAACGAAAACAATATCTAAAGTCTCTAAGCTTGAAATATCATCTCCGCTATACACTAACGCTACTCCAACTGAAAAGTCCGCGAAATACGACACGATACCCGAACCCTTTCGAATCTACAACATCAGCTTCCGCCCACCATGTGCCGCGCAACCATCTTCGTCGTCGAAAACAAGCCCTGCCGAAAGAGCCACCACTCTGAATGGGTCCAAGTCGACCCTTGCGCCGACGAACAGATGCATGAGCTTCTCGGTCGCTCCACTCGCTTCTACATCCCCTTTAAGAAAGCAAGCTTCAGTATCACGGGTCGCAACATAACGGGGTCGTGTTGGGAATTCAGTTTCGATCAACAAGCTGCTCTGGAGCTGTGCTGCGAGTACAACGAGAGCGGGAGGTTAAAGCTGAAGCAGAGTAGACGCCCGAAAGGAGTTAGGGTGGAAGGCACTGTGGCAACAGGGTGGAAGACGTATGATCAATGTCCGTTGTGCAAGCCAACGCTGCCAGTTCACCTTCCGTAAAGAAAGCCTTTTGAAGGAGTGCGAGGCGTACAAAGATTCGCAGCTGGAGGAGACTAGGTATAGGAGGCCGCGGTATGAGACGATGGTATCTGGAGAGAGGTTATGTGTACGCAGGCCCGTCATTCAACCACCATGTGCCGCGCAAAGTACTACTGCGTTTGGGCTAGTGACGTCTGCAAGGACCCCTTCTCCCACGGCCACTTCGTCAGAATCGCTCCCTGCTCCAATGAAGAAGCCCGTGAGGCACTTGAAGCTAGACAAATCGAAGAAACCCGTGAGGCACTTGAAGCTGGAAAAGGAAAGCCCTTCTCGGTCCGCCTTGAAGATGTCCGGTTTGGCGAATACATGCGCTACAATTTCACCTTTCGAGAAGAGTCTGCTCTGAAGCGCTGTGTCGACTACAACAATGAGGAGCTGGAGAAGACTAGGTTCAAGGAGACTTGTTATAATGAAAGGGGGAGGAGTTGGGGGAGGAGTGTTCGTTTCTATTCACCTGCCCGCGTTGCGCTACAAAGGCAGAGTGGGAGGAGTAAAAGAAATCGGCGGCAAGAAAGCGGAAAGCAAAACGAAAGAGAACGCGGGAGGCTGTGAGAGATGCTGGTGCGGATGGCGATGAGGCTGGAGGCGAAGGGTCGGATGCGGCGGTGGACTCTGATACTACGGCGGTGGACCCCGATGCTACGTCTGTGGACTCGGATACTACGGCTGTGGACCCTGAGAATGCGGACATCCAAGATGTTTCGGCAACGAACGCAGAGATGAACGCGGAGACGAGGCTAGACACAGCTCCCGGGAGCAACGCAGAAAAAGCTCCAGAGACGAACCCAGCGACAGCTCCAGATACAACTCCAGAAACGAAGCCAGAATCGTAGACCACCAGTACCACAGCTACGCTACTTGACTCGGAGTAGAAGGAGACCGCTGCGGAGGGAGGAATCTACCCATTCTCGACTTGTAATGTGCATGAATCATTGTTTTGGGGCTTAGATTTCGTGTTGGCTCCCCTCTCTCCCTTATTTCTTTGCGCTTTCATTCTTTGGCTTGACTTCCAATTTGCATGTATAACTGTTCTGGGCTCTGGCTAGATACGTGTTAGATTTCTCCTTCTGTTACTGGTTTATTCTTGTATTCTTTGGCTTACGAGTGGCGTGCTTCGGATAACCCCAACTTGTCGTCAGCTGCGATGGTCGGTCTGACTTATATCCTGCTTGGCTCATAGTTTTGGATTTCATGCTACCTTTTCTCCTTCAGCCTTACTTGTATTTTTGTATGACTTGACCCGCGAGTGACGTGCTCTAGGATTCCCCAATCTATCGTCCGCTGCGATTTACAGTGCCTCGTCCTTGATTCATGTACACTGCTCTGCCACTGCTGGAGGTAGTCCGGCAAGCTCTCTAATCATTCCAATTCCCGGGTTCAAAAATAAAAAAACCGCATCAAGGAGCTCTAAGCAGCGGCAGCCAAGTGTTCATGGATCTGTGACTCGTTATCATAGGCATCTCCATAGAGACCAGCCATCACTCACTCCAGTCCCCCACTCCACCATTCTCAAACCACCTATTCCAGATCCAGTCACCTCATCACTTGCACACCCAGGCGCCCAAACACAGATGCAACCATTCCATTTTACCTCTCACCTATCCTTACGCTAAAGCCAACCCACACCCTTCCCAATGCCACTCACACTCCCCTAATCCCATCCCTCAACGATCCTTCTCCTTCAACTCATCCTCCGCCACCTTCAGCAAACCCTGAAAGTCCTTCTTCACCCACTCCCAATACACCCCCCACACCCTCACCCTCGCATCCTCCTGGCCGACCCCATCCGCCGCAAACCGCTTATTCAGCGCAATACTCACCTTCAGCACACCCTTCTGGCCCTCGGCCAGCTTCTCGACCTCCTGCTTAACCGCGTTCTCCTTTAGCTTCGTCGCGAGGACATTGCGGAAGTTCTCGGCGATGGCCTCGAGGCGCGCGAGAGTGGCGTCGGGCGCCAGTACGATGAGTTTGGTGAGCATGAGGTTGCAGAGGATGCGGATGTCGTGCTCGTCCGAGACGCCCGCGACGATGCGGTCGAAGCAGTCGGCGAGGTCGGTGGGGTTGAGGCGCGAGAAGGCGGTTTCGAGGAGCGCGTAGAGGGTTTCATAGGCGCTCTGTAGGATGTGTTAGTATTCAGCTGTATGGAGTGAGGTTGTGAAGGGGTAAGATGTACCTTTCGGATCTCGAGACCGTCGTCGACCTTGTGCTTGAACGGACCCATCTGGACTTCGCGGACAAGTTCTGGCTTGATTACTGTTTCTTTCATAGCGAGTGGGAGCAGCTGGTCTAATGCTGGGAGGATGATCTCGGGCTTGTTGTGCATGGCGGAGTTGAAGGTTGTGAGGGCCAAACGTCGGTTCTCTAGATCTGGCTCGCTGAGCATTTGCATGAGCATGGGTACGACAATGGGTCGAAGATAGTCATCGTAAGTCTCGTCGGTATCTGCTAGAGTGTAGCGTAGTGCAGATATGACCATGCCGCGAACACTTGATGTGCGATCGCTGAGGAAAGCCTATTTCGTGTTAGTTGGTTCCAAAGTGCGAAAGACAAATGAGGACTTTCCTGAAGCTGGGGCAGATACGTCTTCGGGTCGATGATGGCAAGACGACCAATGCACTCCGCGCCAATGGCCTTGTTGTCCTCGGTTAGAGAAGCTGCAACGAGGTTCTGCCAAAGAAGACCAGCGAATGGAATGATGGCGTTTCCAGTGCCTGTCTGTTGAAGGATCTCTTTGACAGAGTGCAGGAGCAGGTATTGCGGACTCGAAGGTTGGCCCATAGTCTGCAAAATGACAGGCAGGTACTTTTCAACGTTCCCGGCACCTGCACGACCAAGCGCAACGGCAGCTGCTAGTGGCACTTGATCCGACTTGACAGAGAAGTACTGGATGAAAAGTCCAGGTTCCAAGGGAGACTGGGGACCCAAACGGAGAGACGCTTCTCCAAGCACAGCCAATGCGAGGCACTTCCGCTTCTCGTCGGCAGCGGTCTGTAGCTCTTGAATGAAATCTTCAAGTCTCACGCCAACAGTCTTTCCACCATAGACGAGCAGAGTTCCAATGACTTTGCCGACGACCTCGGGGCTTCCTGCCACGCCGACATCTTTTAATAGTGATTGCATAAGAGCTTTTCCAGCACCCTGCTCGCCTACGGACTTGACAAGAGCGAGTAGAGCTTCAAGTGGGCTCCCGACGAGAGAGGTGATGACGACTGCACAGACAGCCTTGTTCAGATCGTCGTTGACAACGGCGCTCGCATCGTCTTTAACAAAAGTCGCTAATATCACAAGCGCGGGGCCAAGGAGATGTAGATCAGTATTAATCAAAAGCGGCAGCAAAAGGTCGACAATGCTCTTCTTCGTTTTCTTGTCGAGCTGTTTTCGTGCGTCAGGATTTTGCGCAAGGGTTCGCAGTGAGCTCAGACTAGCACCACGCAGGGATCGGCTTGCTTTCCGCAACTGAGCACCAAGTTCCAAGGCAACGCTTCGAACCCAAGTGGGTGCCAGCTCATTGTCTGCGTGGGTGAGGGAAAGAATTGTCTCGATAGCCCGCACTGACGCAAGTCGCGTGAGCTCATTCCGCAGTCGCTCCGCAAGCAAGTCTAATCCAGCTGTTCGCTTCTCAGGAGAGATCAAGCCTTTTGTCCCAGAGCTTCGGCCTAGGAGAAGACCCAATACGTGAATAGCTCGTTGCCGTACCTCGAGATCGGCATCGTTGGCAGCAATACGATTGACTAAGGCACTGTACAGCTGGTCCAGATACTGCTGATTCTGTTCTCCTGACTCATCGGATCGTGGAGGTGTGAGTGCCATGATCAGTTTCTCAGTGGCTGTCAGGGCCTCTATTGAGAGCTTGCTATACTTGTCCTGTGCACCGCTGATCAAAGCCGGTATGGTCTTGGACAAGTAAGGTTGGAGAGACTTCGATGCATGGGTGTCGGCGATGGCTCCAATGAGTTGCAGAGCCTGGACACGAAGTCCATGGGCAGCTGCAGAAGATGCTCCGCTTGATGAGGCAGATCCAGAAGCCTTTGCTGCATCAACTACGGGTGTAAAGATCTGGTCTAGATAATCTTGTAGGCCTCCTCGCTGAGTGATGACTATGTCCTTGAGGAGTACGATTGAGGCTTGTTTTGTCGCTGGGGGTCCGGTCTTGAGGAGTTGAGATACTCCGCGCACAATATCTGGACTCAGCTTGGCAAGACTAGCATACGGACCGGTTGTAGGTACCGCTGTAGGCCCTGAGTAGCCGTAGGACAGGGACGAATTTGCATGGGCATCAAACATGCTCGCATCGCTGCCACCTCGTCTCCGCTTACGGCTAGGAGGTGGACCCATCGCACCATTGTCTTCGCCCGACCCGAATGCGGAACCAGGGCCACTTCCCGTGTTTCGAACAAGACGTGAGAGGGTTGCAAGAACTTCTAGCCGAACGTTCTCTTCTCGCTCTCTAAAACGTGCAATCAGAGCAGGTGCAACCTTGTCATACAGAGTACCATCTTCAAGCAAGTCGCCGTTACTGCGGGTCGCAATGATTGTGTATAGAACCTTGGCGGCGCATCGGCGGACCTTCCAGCTGGCGTCGTCTTCATCGTCAAATCCACCTTCTTCCTCGAAGTCTTCGTCTGAGAGTGCATCCTCATTGTCCTCCTCGGCATCCATGTCATCGTCGTCGTCATCCTGGGCGAGATTTGGATCGTACTTGAGGAATCGTGACGCGGAGGTAATGCATTCATCTGTGTATAAACGCATGTCGTTGGAGCAGGAAGCAAGGAAACCCTCAATTGCTACAAGCGCAGCCTCTCGAACTTCGTCAACCTCAGGGTCCCTATCGCCTTCATCATCAGATGTGTCCATCTCTTCTTCTAGCTCTTCTGCGCTTAAAGCACTAAGGACGAACGGAGCGAGAGTCTTCAAGTAGGGACCAAACTTCCTAGGAATCGATCTAGCCATTGAACCGAGGATAGTGATGTAGAGCTTTCGCTTGCTCCGAGTCAAATGTGAGTCTCGCAAATATTCAATCAGACGTGAGATGAAGTTGCTTAGCAGGGTATCCGAGAAGTAGCTCGCGAGGGTTGATATAGCAATAACAGACTTTTTCTTCAAAACAGAGCCGGCACGGTCATTCTCCAGTATTTCCAGGGTGATCTTCTGTAGGGCGTTGACCTCTGCATCCTGGAGCATGGGCCCGAAGCAACGGGCAACTTCAGTGAGCACATCGATCGCGTTGCTGTCGGTCCCGGTTTCTAGATCCACTTGCAACATGCCCTTGGGTGGGGAGCTCAGGTGCTTCTGCGACGTGTGTAACACATTGTATCCCACCAGACGCGGTATCAAGACCTTGCTGATGGCTGTATAGGCATCCAGCACCGACTTCGCACGAGGAACACCAGGCACCGGTCTTGGCAGCGAAACCACAACCTCTCGCAGGGCGAGCGCGGGAATCGAGTTGTCCACAGTATTATCCGTCTGGAGGTTTGACAGCTTCTCGATCATGGGGCACAGGATAGTCTCGGGGACCTTGTTGACGAAGGGGCCCAGGCACTTGATGGCCATGTTCTGAACCTCACCGTTGGTATCGTTGAGGGTATTGAGCAGCCCGTCCACAGTCTTTGCACTCGTAGTATAGTCGTGGTCGAGGAACTTGGCGTGGGCGGCGAGGAGGATGCCCTGAAGGTCGTTCAAGGCCATAAAGCGGAAGTCTGGGTCCTCATCGTGCAATTTTGGGAGGAGATGGGCCACGTTGTGGGAGGTCGGGTTAACCGGTACGCTGGACGCCGCCATAGCGATTAGACACACCCAGCGGAGGAGCTCGCGGTCGGGATAGTGCAGGTAGCTAGATGGTGGTGGTGACAGCGCCGCCGGAGGTGTCTTGGTGGGGTGGTTGTGGGGTCAAATTGCGGGCGAGGTTGGTGAGAAAAGAAGGGGTGGTGAGAGGGCGAAGAGAGGCGGCAGCTTTGCGACTCGGCAGGCTGCACGCTGTGCCTTGGAAGAGTGGAATTCGGGCGAGGTGAATCGAAGAACCAGACCTGCTGCCTGCCGTGATATTGGCGTGCCAGCGCGAACGTGAGGCATCGAGAGAGCATGGACCAACTTCTATTCTACGGCAGACTACGCAGCTCTTGTAGCTCTTCTGCGGTCATGCCATCCTCATCCGCATTGCTTCCGTCGGCCCAGCCCCCGCGACCCTCTTCCTCACTCTCTACTCTCCGCCGCGCCATCTCGCTCCTCAATTGCGCCCATCAGAGCCAATTGGCCCTCTTGCAGCTTCGCCATGGTTCTTGTACGGCCCGCCGCCTTCAGGGCGCCGCTCGCACGCTTCGCTCGCCCGGCGACAAGGGCTTCCCCGTGGCAGCAGTCGTTTCAGCGCACAGCCCGACGAGGATACGCCTCTGCCAGTGATGTGGCCGGTGATGTGGCTAAGAAGGCGTCAAGCGACTTGCCATGGTAGGATTCTTTCACTTGAGGATATAAGCCTGCGCCGACGTGATGTCTGCCGGGTTGCCGGGTAGCCCTCGATGGGCACAGCAACACGCCAGTTTGGAATCATTGCTGATGCCGTTTGTTTGTACAGGCTAGCAGTCGGCGTCGTCATCACCGTACCCTCCGTTTACTACATCCTCAGCTCGATCGAAACGGGAGGTCACCACGCCGAAGGCCACGGCGAGGAGCATCACGCCGAAGGGGAGAAGGAAGACGAGTCTGAATCCAAGGACGAACCAGAGGTCAAGGAAGCGGAGGGCAAATCGGAGGGTTCCGAAGACAAGGCAGAGACCAAGGACTCCGAGGAGAAGGAAGAACCCAAGGACTCTGGCGACGAGAAGCCTGCTGACGACAAGAAAGAAGACAAGGTCAGTGGTGAAACTTGAAGCATTGATTTACCGTACAAACAATTCTCGTCATCTGTTTATGTACAGTTGCTGGCCACTCATTGGGCTTTTGATACATGTTGCAATTAGTCATAGCACTTGCTTTACGCGTCCTCGTCCTTGGAATTGCATTGCAGCAATTTAAACTGCAGCCCATAAGCCCACAAGTACCCCCAACGAGTATAACTAATTCAGGATAGCCCGACGCCCAAAAGGAACCCGTGAAGGGTGGCACATCCGGCAAGCAAGAAGGCATCAGCAACGCCGATACACACCATTCTACAGACACCCACGATGGTTCAAAGAGCACCAAGGGAGAGGGCGTAGCAGAGACCGCTAAGCTAAAGGGCACCGTTCAAGCTGATAGGCCGGGTGTAGGTTCATCAGTTTCGCTACTCTGGTGCAGAAAGCTAACTTGAGGCAGGCTGAGAGCGAGCAGAAAGGCAAGGCGAACCAGGACAAGAGCAAGTAGTTGGTCACACTGCATTCCATAAGACTTCGAGTTCAGCGTGTCAATATGGCAGCAAGAAGCAGTCCATCCAGCTGTGGTCTGCCCTGTACAATGAATGGATAAAAGTAATCCGCATGTTATATATATTGAGCTCCTTAATCTGCGTCTACCCCTCCACACCACGAAATAGATGACATTGCCTCATCACATGTCTACCACGAGGTCTACGCTCTGTCACCCCCCGATGTCTAGAAACATGTCAGCACCTGAGAAACCGCATGTCGACTATTCAGATTCATGATTGGAGTACATCGCTGCGGCAAGAGAACCAATGCCACGATGTCGACGTACTGAATTCTTCGTCGTTTCCACCTGCTGCACCAACCACAACCACGTCCAACAGCTGTGGTACGAGCATAACGTGAACTGGCGGGTTCCTGCTGCCACCAACACGCTGGTACCGCCACAATGCGGTCTTCATGGCGGCCAAGATGGACAAGCTCTTATACATACCCAAGGGCTGAGATAGGGCTCTGTCGCTGCTAACCGCATGCGGGTAGCCGGCGTCTACGGGCTGCACCGGGCGAATCGAGGGGTTGCAGACCCCGGATCCAACTCGTCGCCACATCGCTGCGTGTTTCAAGCGTCGGCTCTGCGCAGGGGAACGCAGCGTTCTGGTGGTGCAGCAAGTGCCTGGTTCCTGGCCTCGTTCTTAAGCGCCCGTTGGCCGCCAGCCGGGTCGTCAAGGTGCTGATAGCGCGCATTGGTGAGGCTGCGCCGCACGCGGGCGTCGTCACACAGCGTGCTCCGAAGTCACAGCAGCAAATCGACGCCCCCCACAGCCCCGAAGGCACACGCCCCTTGGCCCCTCAGAGGCCGCCGGAAAGCTCGGCCACGGCTGCCGCTGTGACGGGCGAGGGTCCATGCGGCGGGGGGCATCCCAGCCAACCACCACGCAGGCATGGCGACGACAAGACTGCTAGCCGTGGGCCATGCGAGGCCTTCTCCTCGTCTCCTCGTCTCCTGCGACCGAGCTGGCTTCTTCTTTACGTCCGCACTCCTCTCCTGACTGTTCGCATCTGCTGCCCCCCAAATCTTGTCGCTCGCCGGTTTCCTTAAGACGAAACAGAACTCCATCCCGTTGCATCCGAGCTGCAGATCTGCCCATGTCCATGCTTACTTAGCTTGTAAATTGGCGACAGACATCCTTTCAGCGCTGCATTGGCATTCTCGAGCTTTGCAAATTCCATTTCCAACCGTGAAGCGGGTTTTCTTCCGTTGCTGAACCTTCAACCCTCTCAGACGTCGCCGCAAATCACACACCGCCATGTATCCCGGACAGCCCCCACAGCAGAATCCCCGCCAAAATCGACCTCAGCAACCTCGACTCCAGCTACCAGACCGGCAGCACAAACGCTTTTCATGGCAGGCCTCGACCGAGGACGTATCGAAGCTGGGGAATGGCCACCGGGCTACAGGGTCCGTGGACAGCCAGTGGTCATACGAAGAGACTCCAGTCCACATGAGGCACCCGAGAGATCCCATTCAACGACTCGCACGCGAACCCGATATGAGCACCATAGCTCAATCACCAGTCACGCCCATAGACACACGACCTCAATCTATCTTCAATGCACAGATACCTCAGACAACGCAAGCACCGGCATATTCTGCGACCGAATATCCCCCCGAGAAGTCTGGCTCGGCTTTCCAGGGACCTCCTCCACCACAGGCACCTCATCCAGCATCTCATCCACCACAATCGCCCGTAAGCCCACTGCCAGTTGGGTATCCCCAAGAGAAGCCCTCTTCTCCCTACAACGTCCCGCCTCCTTCGCAAACACATCCGGCAATGTACGCACCAATTGTCGAATCTAGAACACCCGTATCGCCGCTCCCCCAGCACCAACGAGCATCTCAGTACGCACCTGCCGCTGAAGCCAGAACACCCGTATCACCCTACCGCCAAAGCATGCCTCGCCAGAGCATGCCCTTCATGCTCACTCCGATCCAAATTCCCTCCTACACTCGCCAACGCACCCCCAACCAAACCCCCATCACGCCCTCCCGCATCCCGGACCTCCCCACCAACACCAAGACCCCTATCACCCCCCACTCCCCCGCCCCCTTCAACTCCCACACCCCAGTCTCCCCACCTCACTCTCCCGGTGCCCTCCCGCTCAAGAAGCCAATCGATTTCGACCTTCCCTCACCCACCTTCATGAACCGCCAGCGCCCACTCTCCGCCCACAACGACACCCCTTACTCCCCCACCTCCGCCGTCTCAGCGCACATTCCTGTATTCTCGCCCAACGCGCCGACAGGGCCCAACGGGCTGGAGCTAGAGCGGCATCAACCGGGGCAGATCGCGCACCCGAATATGGATTTGAGTGCGCGAGGGGAATCGCATGAGTGGAAGCATGGACTTTGCGAGTGCGGTGGGGATGTGGGGACGTGTATGACGGGGCTGTTTTGCCCGTGCGTGCTTTATGGACGGACGGCGTATCGGCTGAGTCAGAGGAGTCAGAAGAAGGACCCGACGGAGCTGCTGGGGTACAGTGCGTTTAATGGGCAGTGTGGGGTTATGGCGAGTGCGTGTGGGATGTGGTGTAAGTGCCCCCTCCTTCAAAACACTAGCCCTGAGTACTGGAGTGAGGAGATGCTAATTGAAATATAGGCTTGTTCCCGCTAGTCCAAAGAACACGCCTCAGGCATCTCTATAAACTCACCGGCTCCCTCTTCTCCGACATCGGAAAGGCGTGCTGTTGCTGCTGTTGTGTGGCTATCCAGAACGAGAGGGAGATCAGGGATCGAGAGGAGAGTTCGAGACGGTGGGCCGGGCCGGCGAATACGGAGACGTATACTGCGCCCGGGCAGATGGTGTACGCGCCGCCGCCGAGGGGGTAAGGCCCTCAAACCCGCTTTCGGATTAGAGCATTGGTGAAGGAAGAAAAGAGTACGATTAAATGTGAACGAGATGGGGAGGAAGAGAGAGATGTTACTGCTTGTTGATACCCACTTTCTTATCTACTTTCTGATGCTTTTGTTACTGTAACGACTTTATGTATCATGAGCGGTCTTCCTGATTTGTTTTGTTAGATGAAACGTGGCAGCGTAGTGTAGTGATTATTTTTGCAATGTCCATACCCCTCTTCGTTCGTCTTCAAACCCTTGTATGCTAAGGATCATAGTCTTGCATCAACTTCGAGCATCATGACGTTTCCTACCAGTGACGGTTCCCACCTTCAGCAAAATGTCATTTACTATGCTAGGGATCAGCACTCTCTGTATCATCTATCTACCAGCACCCCGTAACGGTCACCATTATCATTACACTGTAAAGCACCCCTCTTCCCCCCCGCCCCATCTCGCGGTGTTCGTTCTGATTCGCACTCCCCATGAAATACATAGCCAACACTATCGTCCCTTTCTGAATCCACACCGACGCCAACGTGCATCCTCGTGTCTTCTGTTGAAAGAACAAGCCACAAATTCCTCCGACTCCATAGCTAGATCACATTTTTCATTATGACCCCACCAACTCCATCGGCCATTCTCGCAACCTTGTTGAAAGAACAAACCACAGCCTCCTCCTCCTCCATGGATATCGGGAGTATCTGGTTTGACCCCCCACCAACACCATGTACACCGATCCTGCTGGTTGTTGATCAAACTACCAACGACCCTTTCCAACCATAAGTAAGCACTGAAGTGGCTTTTGATCTCCCACCGACCCCATGGAACTTTGCCCGAGACGTTGTTGATCAAACCACCACCGAATCCCCTCCCTCCGAGTCCAAGCGTTGAACGAGTCAAGCAATTGGAACCCTCCAAAGACTCCATAACACTTGTGTGTTTTGTAGTTTTGATGCAGCTAGCCAACACGCCCTCTGACTCCATGAATGTATTTCGTGAGAGTGTTTTGATCTGCCACCCGACTCCATGTTGCCTCCATATCGAGGTACCTGATCTCCCACCCACATCGTCCTCCTGCTCCAATGTTGCCAACCATCCTGCAAGCTGATCTCCCACCCAACAACCTCATACAGCCGAAAGTTGTACATTGTTGATCAAACCACCCACACCGCCCTCTCCAACCATCAGCGAATAGCGACATCGATGCTGATCTGCCCAACCACTCCCTGGACCAGTCGGTCGGCAAAGTTCTGACACAACGAGCCCAACACCGCCTCTGGCTTCATACGCCGATGGACGGAGTTGAGTTCACAGACTCCATGAGGTGACTTTGGTGGAGATTTTGATGCAACGAGCGAACGCCCCTCTGACTCCATGAATGTGTTTCGTGAGAGTGTTTTTGATCTCCCACCCCGACTACTCCATGGGTGTGATGGTCCTTCGTTTTTGATCCACCCAGCCAGACTCCCAATCTCCTATGAGAAGGAAAGTCTTGAGAGGATGGGGAGAACGGGGTTTTATAGGAGAAAAAGAAGAAAGGGTTAGTCAGCACACGCGTGACAACTGTTGGACCACATGGCAAGTTCATGTTCCACAGATTACGGGAAGAAGATCGGGAAACATCGGAATGATCATATCATGCACACGCACGCTTCGGAACTATACGCCTGCCAACATGGCTACACTATTTAATCGCCCCCTCCCACACCCCATCCCTCTCTACCCCTACTCCACCCCCTCCTCCTCCCTCTTCTCCATCCACTCCCTCTCCACCGCCCTCACCCTCTCCACCCCCTTTGCACTCCCCTCCAGCTCCTCAAATTCCACCCACCTTCTGAACACCACCGCCGCCCTCCGCTTCTTCACCCTCCCCTTCACCATCCGTTCAAACAGCCCCCTCACATTCTCCTTCTCCCCATGCGCCCGCTCCAACTCCACATACACATCCCACGTGTCCCACTTGCGCGGCTGCGCCGCCACCAACCCCTCAAAAATCGTGCGGCCGCGCTCCGCGTCCCCGTTCGGCGATTTATACTCTAGCGCCGCGAATTTAGTCGTGAGATGGCGGTGGAGGTTAGCGGGGACGGACTGCGTGGCGCGCTGGAGGAGGGCGCGGGCGCGCGTGGGCGAGGACGGGACGAGGGTGGTCATGAGGAAGGTGGCGTAGGAGAGCCAGAGGGCAGGGTCACGGGTGAACGTTTTGTTTTTGAGCATGGTTTGGTAGAGGGAGTCTGCTTTCTGGGGGTTTATTAGCTTCTCACTCACAAGCACAAGAGGAAGATAGGTAGGGGAGTGGGGGGAGGGTGCTTACATCGAGCTTGCCAGACAATATATAGATCTTGATGAGGCGATCGTGCATCTCCCGCGCGTTGTTGTACTGGCACGCTTCCTTGAACACCTCGTCGATGGCGTCGTCGCTGCTGAAGTCGTTCTCGAGATGGAGCAGCGCGGTCCAGACGTCTAGCTTCGCGGTCTCTTCGCGGGGGAAGATGGAGGAGAGAGCTCGGCGAGCGATTTGGCGGGCTTTCTCGACTTCGTTGAGTTCGCGCTGGAAGACCATGTAGCGGACCCAGAGCTCGGCTGAGTTTGGCTGGCCCAGTAGCAGGCGTTCGAAGTCAGCGACCGATTGAGGGCCGTTCTTGTCAAGGTCTCCTGTTCGGTCGACTTTGATCTCTGGTTTGCGGTGCCTTTTCTTCTTCTTCGCGGCACCATTGTCGGAGTCGGAGTCTGATCCAGCGGCGCCGTTGTCAAAGCCGAGGTCGGTACCGTTCCAGTCGAAGCCGGAGGTGCTCAGGCCAGAGACGGCCTTTTCGGACAGTTTTTCGTCGATGTCCATTTCATCAGCGGCGTTGGCCTCCTCGTCTGACACGTCGTGGACGTCTCTCACGTCGGCATCATCTTCTAAGGCTTGGCCTTCTGAGTCGGCGTCTGAAACTCCCTCCATGAGCTCCACGCCACCGACGTCTCCGTCCGAGTCGCTCTCCTCAGCGTCCTCTGAGCTGCTCTTGAAGTAAGAGTACTTCAGGCCGAAATTGATTCTTCGCAATTTTGGGTCAACCTTCAAGATCTTGGCCTTGACCACATCCCCCTCTTTATACAAAGCTTTGAGATCCTCAACTTTCTCGTCCGCAATTTCGCTGCGATGACACAGACCACTGACGTTGTTCGAATTATCGACAACAATGAAGACACCGAAGTCCTGAACTTTCCGAACTTTACCTGTGACGATGTCTCCCTTCTTCAGATCGTTGAACTCGACAGGAGGGACGTAGTCGTCCACCAAGACAGAGGCTTTCAAACTCAATGAGATTTGCTTTTTCTTGGTGTCAATAGAGGTGATTCTGCCAGTGACTAGCTGATCCACCTCGAATGAGCTCTTCCAATCCTTGATATAGGCATCGGAAAGATCAGAGACAGTGGCATACCCGATGATGTTGAGACCTAAGAAGACAAATAGTCCACTGTCGGCGACACTCTTCACAAACCCTCGTATAACTTGGTTGACTTCAAGCTGAGAGAATTCTGTGATTTGTGGATCTTTGACAGGCAAGGAAGAACTGAGGACGTTTGAAGGCCTTGTGGAGAGCACGACCTTCTTGTTCGGTACATCTACGTTGACAATGCAGACTCGAATGATGTCTCCCCTCGTATGAACGGTTGGATTTGCCTGAGAATAGTCGTCGACGAGCTCGGTAAGGAAGATACGGCCCGCAATGTGGTCGTTGATTTGAACGATAACAGAAGACTCTGTCACTTTTAGGACAAGTCCTCCGACCACCATTCCCTTCTTGAGGTCTTTGTACGTAAGTTTGTTTTGGGATGAGCCGGCGGTCAGATCTAGTCGGTTGGCTGCAACATCGACAGCTTTGACAGAGACCTGGAGAGCTGTGCCAATCGGGAAGTTCTTTTCGACATCTGCAAGCAACGAAACATCATCAGAGAGATCTAGGAAATCGATTCTGCCTCGCACGACGGGTGCCAAGTTGACCCACAGGTAGCTTTCTCCGATGTGGTTGACGAATGCTGTCCACGTAGATCCGACGGTTACATCTTTCAATGTAGGGATCTCGTCTACCGAGGCCAATTTTGGAATCTTCTTCGCGCTGAGCTCGTAGACTGGATTTCTCCCTTGCCGATGACTAATTGGCAAGAACCTGTGGTTTTTCGCGTCGTGGAATCCAATTATCCTCACCTGAAGGATCTCGTTGGCATGGAACTGGCGAAGTGGGTGCTGTTTATTTTGTATTTCGTCCCAAGTATCGAACGCCTCGGTGCAATATATCCTACCATGAATATTCTCAGAGACTTGAACGTTCACTTGCGTGCTCTTCACTGATTTGACGCGAACTGAAATGGTCTTTCCAAACTGCAAATCTGTAACCGCCTTGATGGAGGAGTCTACAGCCTCCACAATTTTCAGCTCTTCCTTGACAGGCTTCGGGGGAACAGCCTCGGCTAAATCGTCCTTACTCTTCATGGTGAGCAGAAATCGTCTGTTGCTCTCGTCGATGTCAAGTATTCGGGCTGTGATGGACTGGTATTGACGAAGACCGAATTCCGGTAGCTGTGCCATCTCGCTGGTCAGTTGAGACTTGAGCAACAAGCCAACAATCCCACCAGCGAATTCGACGAAGATTCTTCCTGCTTCGATCGACCGTACAAAACCATGAGCCTTTTGACCTTTTATGACGTCTTCAAACCGGGTGATTAGCTTTTTGGCTTTCGCGTCCTTGACAAGGCTAGGCTTATTTGTGAGGCCGACAATTGGCTTCTTGTCGTTTTTCATCAGAACCACCAAGTCTCGCAAAGGACGGCCGACCTCTACACGCTCTAGTGTCGATTTGTTTCTCTTCTCAGAGCCGTCTGAAAGCTGCGCGAGCCTGATGATGCCCCTGATTCCGTCTCCAAGGTCAACAGTGACCGAATCCGCTGACTTTTCCTTGACATTCCCAGTAACAAGATCTCCAGGCGAGAAATTATTCATAGCAGTCTGCCGCTCAAGACCGGCGGTTTCCGGATCTTTGCAAGAAACTACTAGCTTATGGTCTTCGCCGTTCAGATCATTCAAGAGAACTCGAACGTCCACGACCTGTCCAACCCTGAAGTGGATGGTAGGGTCGTCGATGTAGGCTTCGCTCATTTCTGATATGGGCAACCAGGCTTTTATTTGGCCGTAGAATTGGACAACAGCTCCAGAACTTATGACTCGTGTCAGTGTACCAGGAGATTTCATGCCAACCGTAATTTTGTCGTAGTCCGTCCATGGCCGTGTTTCGGAGTTGACCAGTGATTTCTTCAGAGTGAGCCGAATTTTTCGTCTGCTGAGGTCGACGGCAAGAACTCTTGCTGTAACTGATACACCCTCCCTGAACTTCCGATCGGGGTGTTGCAAGTGAACGTCAGCAAGGTGCATTTCCGGTACGACCCCTGTTATCCCTTCCGCAAGGTTAACAATAACAGCCGATCGTCCTGCTCCGGTGGCAATTAATTTCTCGACTTTGCCCTTGACGACTTGGCCGACCTGCACATCTTCGTGGCGAAAGAATGGCTGATCCAGGACGCTCTTTTCTAGAGAGACCACATAAAGCCCATCCATAGGGTTATAACCAATGACGCGAGCACGATGTTTCGACTCAAGTTTATAAGGACCCGAAGACTCGGCCAAAGACTCGATTTTTTCGTTACTGATCCTTGATATGTGAGCAAAGCCCCGAAGACCCTTAACGCCAAGGTCTAGGAACAGGCCGGTAGTAGGCTCGACTTTGGTCACTCTGGCCTCTTCAACAATAGAAGATATCTGAAGAGCATCCAACGGGTCCTTGAGATCTTTCAACTCCGTGCGAGAGGCCAATGCGATGACATGATCTAGCAAGGACACACCAACTTTCCTGGGCTCGCTATCCGGAAATGTGCATATGACTCTGGCCCGATATTTAGACCCAATCTTGTACTTGTCAGAGATATTATCCTTGCTCACAGCTGCGCCAGATTGGAACAGGTCCGCAGTGGCATCTAAAAGGCCAATCAATTTTCCGGTAACTCCTCCAGACGATGTGTCGGTAATGAGCATTTCGACGGCTGTTCCGGGTAGGAATAGATCGATACTAGGGGCCTGTCCTAGGAAGGCAAATTTTTTAGGGTTAGCGGCTTTTTCGTGATCTGCAGACAATTTGATGATTCTGCTGTCGGAAGTGAGGCCAGTAACCAAGCACAGAAAGACAGCACCCTCCTGTACTAGAGAATGGTCTATTTTTGAACCCAGCTCTTTTGACGACATGAATCCTTTGACGGTCTGGTCTTCGAACCCCATATCCATGACCAGTCCATGCTCTTCATTGCTAAGCACGGACGCCTGTATCATGCTGTTTTTAACGATGTCGGACTTCGAGATGCCTCGGTTGACTAGCGTGGGATTGGTGGAAAGCTCTATTCGTTTCTTGCTTCTGGCAATCCCCCTCTTGTTTTGCTCCCTCTCAGTTGCCGTGACGTATGCTCGCAAGTATTGTCCAACGTGAAACAGCGCCTGCAGATCAATGCCGTCTTCTTTATCAGTGCCAGCGACATCCTCGTCCTCTTCGTCATTTTCCAGGAGCTGCTCTATTCTGCTAGTAAACTTGTCGGATATAGCGGTGAGGGGAATGAAGCCAGAGAGATTATTCGGGAGCGCGAGAACAACATCTCGAGAAGTGATCTGTGTGACCTGTCCAAGGACCATAGATCCGATAACGAGTTTCTGCTACTGGTCAGTGGTGTTCATGTCGTTTGCGCAAACTTCTCACTTTGTAGCTCAGACCCTCAATTTTCAACTGAGGCTCTTCCGGCAACTGAGCGTTCGCCTTCTTATCCGCCTTCGATTTCTTGTGTTTCTTTCCCTTCCGCACCTCCGTTTTTGGCTCCCCATCATCTTCGTCGTCGCCGTCCTGGCCTTTTGTGGTCCTTTTCTTTCCAGACTGCTCAAAGAGTACGTCCTGGGTAGCCTCGATCTGAATCTGCTTGTGCTCCAAGGGAGTAAGAACACTAGCGCCACCTCGGGGGAAGGATGTCTCCTCGCTTTTCAAGATTGTGGTCTTCGGCAGGTTTCGTACGTCCGACGAGGGCTTCGCTTTGCTTTCGTCGGCGGTAGATTCGACTTTACGTTGTCGCTTTGAAGCTCGATTATCGGACGAGTGCTTTAGCTTCTTGGCCTCGGAGCTTTCGCTATCTGCGCCTCGTTTTAAGGGCGCCATCTTGGGAACACTGGTGCTGCTTGAGCTTCGAGAAAAAAGTTTCGATACAGAAAAAATGGGGCGGGGTCGGAGTTTTTCCGGTCCGTGCATATGGTCCGTGCATATGGTGCGCTTCCACGCGGGACATGAAATATGTGGCACTCTACACGGGCGTGTGTGCGTGTATACCTCTGCTTGGGGTGCTTTAATGAATTTTCAGAAATCTGAATAGGGTACAAACTTTTCACTCTAGGCCGTGGGAACGCTCGTTGAAGTACTTCAAGCAGTGGTAGAAAAGCGTGCTTGGTGAGGGCTAACGTAAAGTGGTAGTCTATAACTCCGTGGTCCTAATTTTAAACTTCCTATCTTTATGGTATTCAATCACTATTTCTGTGCTTGCGTACTCTTATTGCGCACCGCTTGAGGTCCTCCAGTATGCTATTGTTATTCATTAAATACCGGTTTTGGCAAATCTGATAGGTCTCCGGACCACCTCAAACGGTGTTGAACGGCTTGAGAAAGGAGTCGCCTAGGTATTCTAATTCACACTCAAACTCTGGTTCAGACTTCAGTTTCTCATTTCGAGATGCGTGTAATTTGGTGCAGCTAATGGTAACGCTTCATACGCCGCGGGTGAATCTTCGGAGGCTTGATGTGCCACTTTCTGCATGCCACTTAAAGCTCGACCACTTTGCGCGTCGTTTCTCGCGCGTTAGTCCCGTGCACCGCGTTGACCACCAGCCTTCTCCACGCCCATCCCCACCTCCACTCTCCTTCTCACAATACCTCTTCCTACCGTCAATTGATCCCCTTGACCTCAATGGAGAATACAGACCCCATATCTATGTCAGACGACCGTCAGAATGGCCTCCCGGAGCCAATATCAAATATGCCTCCCTCATCGCCACTCGGCCCGCCGTCGAGTACGGGCAGCAGGAAACTAAAGAAACCACCCCCAATCACGCCGAAACGATTCACCCGCTTCTTTACGCCGCGTTCTTCGGTCCATGGGTCCTCTCGATTCTCCTCGCTGAGCAGATCTGGACGCCAACTTCAAGATATTACACGCACTGTCAACCGTCGCAACAATGTTCACAACCAGACTCCCAGGAAGACTGTCAACTTTGCCGACCTCCCCACCCCACCCAACGACCACATAGTCACACCTCAGAGGGATAGCAGAAAGCGAAAGTTGTCGTACCTTTCACCCGAAAGCTCGCCGATACAGAGCTCGCCAATACAATCAAGCCCATCGAAACGCGTCCGAACTGTCTCTCATCAGTTCACCATACTAGAGGACATAGAAGCAGAGCTGGAAACACAAGCTCCATTTCTTGAAGAAGATGACCGTCCTCGACCACAGCCAATTAGGCGGTCAAGGGCCCTCGGAAGCACTGCTCGGATCCTACAGAGATCATTTGGTGGTGCCGCCACTATCGGACGGGGCGTTCTCCAGGACAACTGCACTCGCTGGCAAGATCATACTGCCAACTTCTCCACCAGTCCGACAGACCTGCTACGTTTACCCAATAGTGCGGTGCCCTTCTGTACTGCCTCTTGCAATAGTAAGTCTCCATCTCGCTCAAATTTTTTACCTTTTTGCACTGTAAAAGGATGCTCACATACTACCCTTAGCAAACCCATTCGTCGCGATCGGAGATGAGGACGGCTATGTTCATCTCATAGATACAGAAGAGTCTCACGCCTCGTTTTCCAAGCCTCACATATCTGTCCGTCTGCACAATAATGCAGTCATGGATCTAGCTTTTTCGTCGGATGACTTGCTTTTAGCTACAGCTTCGGGCGATCAAAGCGCCCAGATTATGGACGTTTGCACGCAGAAATGTGTGCACGTCCTAGCCAAACACACGTCGTCTGTCAAGCAAGTTTGCTTTCAACCTGGTGACGACAAGGTGATAGCTACTTCCGGTCGTGATGGCACAGTTCAGATTTGGGACTTGAGGTGTAGCGGCTCCTCCGACGTACTCACCTCCACGTACGACGACAACGCTCCCTTTGCAAGCACAATTCGCACCATTGCTGGGGCACACGCAAATAACGTGTTCGCCGGTGGTGCGAGCATGACATCAGGTGCCAAAAGTTTCAGGTATGTGCCGTGGATTCTTCGAGACTTTTTTCTAAATTACTCACTAATATCTAGGGACTCTGGCAAGAAAGAACCATCCTCTCGAGATATATCTGTCACCGCCTTGGCTTTTCTGCCTCGTGGCCGATCACACATGCTACTCACAGCCTCTGATGCATCTACCACCGTTAAGCTGTGGGATATACGGGGTCGGTACTCGCGACGAGGACCACCCACGCCCATTTCCGTAACGAAGGAACCCGAGTCGCACATTCGACACCGACGTTGTGCCATCAATTCCTTGACACTAAATACCGATGGCTCCAGATTTTATGTGTTAAGCAAAGACCACACGATCTACGCTTACTCCACTAGCCATTTGGTACTGGGACACGCACCGGAGTTCAATACCTCTGATTCAACGAGGCAAAGGTACATGAGCGCTGGAAAGGAGGGACTTGGTCCAATGTACGGTTTCAGGCACCCTGATCTGCAGGCTGGCAGTTTTTACGTCAAGACTTCCTTGCGCAAAGCTTCTGGGGATAAATCAGAGCTCCTGGCTGTTGGGAGCTCGAAAAAGTCACCCATTCTCTTTCCTACTGACGAGTCCTTCCTTCGACGGGAACCACAACATCAAGACGATGATTCGGACGAACTACCTCTGGCAAGATCGAGCTCACGTTCACCGTCTACGAGGCCAAGTTTGATGAGGACTTCTAGCGGAACAGTGTCCTCAACACGGGATACCATCCCGATATACCAACATGGTACGCCTCTTATCCGAGGGCATGAACATGAAGTCACAAACGTGGCGTGGACCACAGAAGGGTCTTTGGTCAGTGTTGGAGACGACTTCACCTCTCGATGCTGGCGGGAAGGACCTCGGGCACGAGAGTTGAGGCTGAGTGGAGAGTCGGGCGGCCAACGATGGGCGTCGGGGTGGGCCGATGTGGCTGGTGGCTTCGATGACGATGAGTAGTGTTTTCTCTAAATACCCATCATGCGTTTAGCGTTGCTGTAACCTGCAATAAGCAGCGGAAAGGCGTTTGGCTGGTTCGAGGGGGACGGAGTCCGATTGCGGCCAAGTTAATGTGGGTATACATGAATACACCTGCATTTATCATATCATTACATATTGTATTACAAGCGCCGTATTACCTGTTCCCGTATTGCTAAATCAGCAGGCTGTATTTCTTATTCTCTAGGACTTAGAGATGGGCTTGACCAAGTTTGTCGGCCCATCGCAAAGTAAGTTTCTTGCCTTGCCTTACCTAAGGACTCACACATTTTTCTAGGTCCCACCTCGAATGCGCATGGTCTTAGGAGAGCGTAGTCTTCGCATCCCAAGTTTCGGTCACACCGCCATCGCTGTCGCGTGCTGTGCGACTTCTAATAGAACCACCGAACGTCACCCAGGCCACCGCACCATCAAGGGCAAATCAACCCCTGCCAGCACCGGCTAAGGCAGATACGCCTCTCAGACCGCCCTGTCGCTTCAGGAGAGCTCAAAGGCAGCTCGATGCCCGAGCCCATCTCTCCCACCGTTCTTCCTCATCGACCAATCAGATCCACCGTCCCACGCTTTTCTTGGCATTCCCAGCCTTCTCAACTTGACCGCTTCTTGCCCTTCTACGTAGCCTTGCAGGCGCCTCACTCTCGACCGACGAATCATGAGCGACTTCATCGACTTCTACCAGGAAGATCCTGCCTTCTGGGAGCGGTTGCTGGCAGGGGGAGGAGGAGAGGGCGAAGTCCAGAGCGATGCATCCGCTGGAAGCGGGTAAGTGTTAAAAAAAAAGACAGGGGCTAACAAAGGGCAATAGACGTACGCCAGGGTGCACCTTGGCATATGGAGTGCACCATTCATATCGCCACGGCCTTGACCATTCTCCGGCAATAAATTCTGCTGCGGGGCAAGCGTGTAGTATCCGACGTGCGCATTTGGGCTCAACTACCACAGCCTTAGATGCGTCGCTAGGTTGTCCCAGCAGCTCACCCTCGTTTTGTCCCTGCCCGGACTGTGACCAGAGCATATATGGAAGTCTGTCCATGACACCCAATGCTCCTATTCCACCACTTCAGAGCTCTGACTATGTTACCGATGACTCTCACGGAGCCAACCAATCTTTGCGATCAACTTCCTTTTCAGATCCAGGAGTCAATCTCCAATATCCGTATCTGGGTTCGTCCCATACAGCCTTAGGTGCGTCGTCTAGGGATGCCAATGAAGCACGCTCGTTGTTGCATTTTCCAAGTTCTGGCCAAATCATGTACGGCAACTACTCTATGACGCCCCATGAGTCGATACCACCACTTCAGAGCTTGAACGATATTACCGATGGCCCCCCCGGAGATGTGTTGCCGTCTTCCAATGACCCAGAAGTGTCACACTTGAACGCCACCACCACGCCTCAAAGGAATATGACTCTCGGTGTTGACGCGGATTTCCAGTTCAAAAGCCAAGCTATACCCATCCATGAAAGACGGATCAAAGCGACCAAACATAAGTATAAGCGCCCCCTTCAAGTTCTCCCCCAAGCAATATTGCTAATAAAGTCAGAACTCCACCTGATGCCAACGCGCTCCGATGCAAATATCCCGGCTGTCGTTCCAGGCGCACGTTCAAACGCGAATATGATCTTCAAAGGCACATGAACATGCATGGTGGCAGAATAACTATCCCATGTCAAGTCAACGGATGCGATAGGAGGGACCATAAGCCATTCTATCGTATCGACAAGTTAACTCAACACCTTAGGACAGCACACAGTCACGATGAGAATTGTACGTGCTCTGAGGTCGGGTGTCAGGCCGGCAGTTTGCCACTCGACCTTGCAAAAATCCACGCTGTCTTCCACGTGTGGCACCCCCAATCTTCCAAGTGTCATCAGATTGGTCTAGATCCTCGAACGAAAGCACTCTATAAAGTGGGAGACAGTTTACGCCAGTGCAGCCTCAGAAAATGTGAGAAATGGGTTCCCATCGGAGAAATGCAGGAACATCTCCGGGGACACACAAGCAACGAGCGTCTCGAGCAAATCTCTGTACTCAAAAAAAATGGGCTACGATGCAGGGACTTGCGAGGTTCTCTGCCCGATTTGTTCTCATAAGTCGCCTAACCGTGAGACCTTTGCTCTGCATATAGACGCTCACGGGGCTAGAAGCAACGAGCATGCCATCGCATTGTGGAACTATATGGAGGCTATATTTCTCAAGGGGTGTATGCCTGTTTTATCAAAAAATTGCTGGAAACCTTGGACCATCCACTCTTCCGCAGACCTGATGCTCGCCCTTCGCGAAGCAGCTTGTCCCGTATGTGGCGACTCAATCGGCAGATTAGGTGATGAAATTTATGGGCATATTTTCTTTGTGGATCATCATCTGAAAGCCCTCGAAGACTGCCCGAGGATCAGGCAAGTCAGGAGAGATATCCTCCGAGTCTATCCTGAGTTCAAGTCGCACCCTGTCTTCTATGACGTTAAGCCAATCAAGTATGAAATTTACGGGCAGGATATACTTCGTAAGTCTTGTGATTTATCTACCTTTTGTTTCGGACGTTTTACTGACTTGCGGATTAAACATATAGATATCAATGTCTACCCTCAGTCAAGATACTGAGGATTTTCACTAAGCTTCTATGTCGACACCCTGAAATCTGAAGAGGATGACCAAACTGCCATATTCGTCAATTTCCTAGCCCATGTCCCCGTTCCATTCTTTATTTTTGATCATTAAAGATGTTGGTCTCCAAAACTTTCGTAGAGAAGTCCATCCAAGAAAATCACTCTCTTTTGTCGTTTCTTGGAGCACTATTTGCTATCATTATTCATTCTCTCTCACAGTGAAGTCCAAAACACTTGGAAAAAAAGCGAAAAGTCCCAAAATCATGCCCTTTCCTAGGTTCATTTCCTTCGGACCCTTGAGATATAGCTGCAGCTTACAATCAATGAATCTCTCTTTTCACCTAGTCATGCCCACTCTCTCAGAGCTCGATCTGCGCTGCGTGTCGCCTGAGCTTGGGATCTGAGCGGCAGTTCCTGCATTCTGGACCTGCATATTATGCTACCAGGATTTCTTTATTATGTGCGCCGTTCGATGTGGTGCAATTTCCGCGCACGCGTCGAGCGACGGAATGGTACGCGTTGATCCCCGTTGTCCTGCCAGCAGGCCGGCACTGATATTGAGTTCAGGGTACGAACATCATATCGGGCCTACGCAACGAATGATCTTCACCGTGCTGCCAGGGTTTCTGGTTGGTTCCTGGTGGGGGCCAGGCACAATAGCTGACCCGCTGTTCTCGGCTATCTTGTTTCGGGAAAAGCAAGGTAAGCTGGCATGGGGATACTCAATATCGGAAATTCGAACGTGATACCATATGCCTCCATGCGGAAGCAGCTTCGTTCAGCTGAATGTTTGCGAAGTTGATAATGTCCAAGGGTTGCCGGCCCCAGACTTTGGGGGTTTTGTTCACCAGTCACTCGTTTGAACTCTTTTCTCGCTTTTACGAAGTCTTTGAGCAGTAGCAGCGATGCTACTGTCCAGCGCCCGTTTCAGGGTTGCCATACTGTCTTTACAGATCCTCACTGCTTTCATTCCTCTCGCGACTTCTGCAGGTCTGAATTATTTCCTGTACCATCCACAATATGCTAACGTCGTAACAGCAACAAATTCTTCTAGCACCATCACTTCGCCGGCTCTATCCGTATCAGGCTCTATATCCTCTGCCGCCGCAGCAGCTTCGACGTTAACCCATGGCGGCCCCGCCCATGTCGGCCCTCAACATCCCGAAGCTGTAAAAAGCGCAGTATTCTTACCCGCGCCCGCATCGACTTCTGTCTCGCCCACCTTCTCCTTGTTGAGCCCAAGTCTAGGAGGAATCAACCACCCGTCTGGCAACACTCCTGTAGCCCCGATTGCGGTGCATACGGAATCCTGGTTGCTACCTTCGTCTTCCAGCGCTCCTGCTGCTGCGCCGCCTGCTTTAACGCCATCCGCGATCCCAGGCGTACCGAGCAACCTCGTTCAGATCGACCCGGCGCCTGTACTCTCCCCTAGTGCTGGAGAAGGTGGAGGTGGCGGTGGCGGTGGGAATGGCGGTGGTGGCTCAGTCGTGACACCAGTGTCAGTTGCATCAACAGCCACGCCAGTTCAGAACTTAAACGCGCCATCGGCCCCTTCTGCGATCCCAAATCATCAGCAAAGCAACACGGCAGTTCCTGTTGCTCCAGGAACACCCGCCTCGGTGTCCGTTGCTGGTAATAAAGCAACTGGGAGTACCAGCGTCTATGTTGCACCAGCGTCGGGAGTACCCAATTCAAACCTTGCCCCGGGAGAGACTATGGTACCGCAAACCTCACCAATTTCGTACGGGATATCTGGATACACTTCTATTGCGACTGCACTGCCTGCTGGAGTGCCTTATTCAGCTTCGGTCGGCGTGCATTACTCTGGTTCGGCCGGCTTGCCTTACTCTGGTACGGCGGTAGTGACAGGATCGAGTGCTACTGCCGTAGGATACGTTTCCCCGACCGCTCACGCGCCTTACCCTTCTGTTGGAAATGGAACTGTCACGACATCGTCCTCTCCGTTTGGTTCCATAGGAACCCTAGTGACCTACTCTTTCTCTCAACACTCTAAAACCAGGTCTTCGACTGGGACAGTCACTTCAGCGGTGTCAACGACGAGCGGACTCATTGAGAGTGCGAAACCGACGTCAACGCCGAATGCAGCAGGGCTTAGGTTCCAGGTAGATGCTTCCGGAGTGGGTGTCTGGGCAGTGATGGTTGGAATTGCGGTTGTAGTCGTCGGGTAGTACGGCGAGTTGTGCGCTTTGGTGGAAGGGTGGTAATGTAATCACACGGTGGTATTCATTGAACCATGCCGTGTCGAGAAGAGCTTATGTACTATGAAAGCAATGGAAATAGCACTAATGGATCAATAGAATTTGGGAGGATACCTAGCATTCTCTTATTGCTTCAAAGCGAGATCAACATGGTCGATTCCGATCTACTGATATTCCCCTACCATAACCCTAGCCGCAGAACAACCCACCCCCAAACCCAACCTATCCCACATTCGCCATCAAATGCTCAAAACTACAACTCAACACCTCCACCACATTCCCCCACGGATCACCCAAATACAGCGCCTTCTCCGCCCCCATCTTGATCGTCTCCCCAACCTGCTTGCCCCCCTCCCTCACCGCCCGCGCACACGTCTCATCCGGATCCGGCGCTGTCACCGCGATATGGAAGAAGCCCGCGCGGTTATACTGGAAGTGCGGCGCGGGCTCGTGCGGCGGATCGATGAACTCGAAGACCTCGAACCCGACGCTGTTGCCGGTGCCCAGCCAGGCGGTTTTCACGGCGTGGAGGCTGCCGCCGTAGATCTTGAAGATGGGGCCCGAGGGGGTCTCGGTGCGGGTGGTTGTGCGGTCGTTGCTGGGGGGTGTTAGAGGAGGAAGGGGAGGGGTTAGGGGAAGGGGGTACCGGATTCGTCGGAAGCCGAAGACTTTGCTGTACCATTCTACAGCTTCGTCGCAGTTGGCGACGGAGATGGCGACGTGGTTGAAGACGTGGTTGTGGATGGGCTGGGAAGGGGTAAGTATAGGATGTGAGTAAGGATATGGAAGAAGAGATGGGAGACGGGGAGGGACTGACAGAGGACATGATAATGCTAATTTCGTTGAGGTACGTGATGCGATGAAGTGTGTGAAAGGTGTTGATAATGGGGTTTGAAGGTCCTCTCGAGGGAAATTCGGAGCTTTGGATGAGCACGCACTGTGACACTGCTGCTTGCTGCTAGGCGATCAACGATACTTTCAGGGGGGAATATTCTTCCGAACCCTTCCCGCAGTACGGGTTATATTTGGTCGGTATCTATCGAAGGTTTCCAAGTAAACATTCCCGTATGTTTGTTTTAATTTACGTAGGGTCCAGGAAATGCATTTCCTAGAAGGGTTTCCCCGCAACGTGGGGAACAGCACTACTGCATACCCTTGACAGTTCAGCGGGGACCATATTTAGCTCCCTTCCAGCCATGAGTCTCCTGGCTATCGACTTCCGTTGGCCAGGAGTTCAAACAAGTGAAGGATAATATGGTTTTCTAGTCCGAAAGCAGAGCGCACGAGACTGTCCAGGACTTTTGTTTGAAGAAGCAATTTATCTGAGTAATAAATTGTAGTAACACTATATCTAGAAACTTCTGTCAAACCTCGTACACAATGCCTCTTCCAGTCCCCATATTCAACGACTCCCTCCGCTCTACCGCTTCCTCGACAGAGAACGTAGCCTCCAGCATGAATGGACTCCTCCGCCGAATCTCTCTACCCTTGATCATTAAGACAACTGGCACAATACTCAGCGCCAGCCCAATGAAACCAAGCAAACTTCCGGCCCAGCCATAGCCCAGAGTTGAGAAGAGCTGGTAGGACGCCAAAGGTAGGAAAGCGCCGAAGACATTGCGTCCGAGTGAGGCAGCGGATAGCGCAGACGCAGCATACAGTTCGTATGCATCGGTAAGGTAGTTGACCACTCCCATGTAGATGGAGTAAACGCCTACGCCAATAATGCCAACGGAGATGGTGGGCACAATCCAGTGGATGTCTGGTTGGGAGCTCCATCCGTACATAAATAGTCCGCCGGTGAAGAGGAGACTGCCGGGTATGCTTGTGTAGAGGCGTGCTTCTGGGATTGGTTTACCTGGACGTTCTATATTTCTTACAGCACTGCGCAGATAGAGCCAGTCCTGAAAGGGGTTTACGACTGTGCCGACGAGTGCACCAACGCTGATAGCGAGCATGACAAGACCGTTTTGGAAAGTCGTGAATCCGTAATTGGCACCGAAGGTTTGGGGTACGGAAGAGAAGAATAGGAAGAGGATTCCCCAGGCGAAACTAACCCAGAGAGTGAAGAAGATGACGACAGGCTCGGTAAGCAACATCTTCACAGGTCGCTGGAACGAGATTTTGAGCAGCTCGAGAACAGGCGGCTGAACTAGCTCAGACTCGGCGTAGATCGGGCGGCCGGTTTGCTTGCGGGGTTTCTTCGCGCGTTTGGCCAGGATGACGTCGCCTCGAGTCTCTTGGAGGATGACGTAAAATACTGGTATAAGGGCGGCATTATAGATCATTTGAATGTAATAGATCCTGTTTCGATCGCGTCAGTACCTGCGTTGCGTGCCGTATCTAGGAAACGGCCAGAGGCTGTGGCAAAACCAAAGAAGGGGTAAAAGACACGGTTGAAACGCGAAGGGGCGTCTGGGGGACTTCTGGCTCACCATCGCCATGGCGCATCTAGGTCGCCAGATCGGTTTCTGATTTGAACGATTGCATCACCCACGAAGGGACCTAGAGCAATACCAGCGACACTGGTAAAGCCAAAAAGTGACATTGGAAGACTTCTAGCCTTGTCTCCTTTCCATACATCACTGATGCTCCCGCCGACGATATTGATCGATACCGAAGAAGCTCCTCCGCCGAAAAATCTAGTGATGACGAGGGTTGCAAAGTTTTCGGCAAAGGCTGATCCGAAAAAGAACAGCTCCAAAATGATGTACGCGGACTATACAACCAATGCGTTAGTACGAAGCGACTTTCTCGCCGGAGAATACTGACAAAGTATCCAGGCATTCGCCCAGTATTTTCAGTCAGCGGAACGAATATCAATGGGAAGAATGCAGCACCCATATTCCAGCTACAGGTAGCCCAGGATAGGTTGGGAAAGGGTACGTTCTGCACGTGGAAACGAGTGGACATTTCCTCATTGCCAGAACTATAGGCTCCCGCCGGAATCCCAGTCAGAATTGAGATGAAGCAAATAGTCACCGTTAGGATCCATTTGCGCCTGAACGACCAGTTGAAGCTATATCTAAGTTAGCCGATTCCAGCGACTCTGCCTGTTATGTGCTTACGGATTTCCGGGGTCGTCGGGCCCGCTCCATGCGTGTATCTCGACCTCTTGCCTCTCGCCTTTGATTTCGACTTCCCTTGTCTCTTGCGAGCTTGCAAATGATCCCTGGGCATGCTTGGTCGTTGACCCGGTTCTTTCTTCCATATTGTTGATATTTTGGTAGTTAAATCAGACAAAGAAGGCAAAGGATACATGACTTAGAAACCTCCGGAACTCTCGGAAGTATATAAGCTGAAAGCGTATAAGACATCATGGCCCACATCAACGCTCCAAGGCGGGCGAATGACGAAGCTTGAGAAGAGCGGATTTCTGTGGGACTACAAGATACCATGACGTTGGAGCGACGGTACTCCAGTGGTCTTGTGGCTTTTGGTCTTCGATACAAGCCCCAGACGTCGTAGCTGGACCGATATCCATGAGCCCTGCTATAAGTCAACGCTATTACTTTCTCTGCTCGGCAATGGAGACACAGGAAGCGAGAGTAGTGGATGAATGCTCAAATCGATGACTATTCGATGCAACCTTCGACGCTGGCCAGCAAGATTCCCAATTGTAGTTCACGTGCAAAAGAGGGAGTGTGGAGAGATGGGGTCTCGTTAGACTCAAAAGCCAGACCGCAGCCAGACCCTCATGCGCCCCACATGATCCACAATCAAGACCGACTGGCTGCGTTACCGGTCGAGGTATTGGAACGCGTGATTTTCACGTCGAAGCTGCTTTCTTTGGGTCGAGATTATTACGTGGAACATGGATCTATCCATGTAGCATGCATGATACTGGAGGAGTTCCCGAAATCTCATTGAACCATGCAAAGTTTGAAGGAGGAGCTACTGACATCGTGAGTTAAGTACGGTGGTACGCAGGGAGCTTACTAGTGCGTTTTAGCCGTAAGACTAGGGCCGATCGGTTGTCTTGGTTCCACTCTCAGGTACCAATGAGGCTGAACGCGAATCTTATCGCCTAAAATGGTCACCCAGGTATTGGCGAGCGAATTGAACTTTGAGTTGAATATGATCTCACTTATCTAGAACCTTTGAATATGGCCACGATAGCTTTGCGCACCTAGAAGCCTCGCTCACCAAACCTAAATGAGGCTATCTAGCTACTGGAGCCCCCTTCACTGGAAAGCTCGGAACGAGGAAGTAGATGAAGGGAAGCAGCAGCTTCACTTGATTGGACCTTTTCGTGGCAGGACAGCAAGTGGATGGCGAAAGCCGTCAAGGGGGTGATAGTAGAAACCAATATCTATTCGAAGAAGTTTTTCTTGCCATGAGAAACCACCAACTTGTAGAGAATCGCTTCCGTCTCTTTCGCATCAGCTACGACCTTGTTGGACTTATCTGTCCGGAGCTTCTCCCTGATCCCAGAATCTGGCTCTTCAGAGAATTCGTGTAGAGCCATCCTAGTCGGTGGCTCTGGTGGTGGCGCATCGGTCGTAGGTAGGCCTTTGAGTGCTCTGGACTGTGCGTTTGACCTTGCGTAAAGCAGCTTGAAGTGAGTGGTGCGCATGTAGCCTTTAGCTTTTGACAGCTCCTCGATTTGCTACAAGATGAACCGTCAAGCCACGTAAGATATCGTGCATGCTGAGGGAAATACCTCATCGTAATACTTTTCGACTTCTGAGTCCAGGGTGTCATCTGATGGGTAGACGCCCGCAAGAAGGAGGTACGGTGCGCTTTCTGGCCAACAGTGAGTACCTTACTTTGAAAGATGCGTGATAGATTCTTACCTTTCTTCGGCGCCGCATACTCTGTCTTTCCAACCAGCCCTACGTACCTCACATCGATGTCCGCAAGATCGTAGCAAAGTCCCGACCCTGGTAAGAGGTCGCTCTTGACCCTAATCTTCTTGAACTCTTGCCCCAGCGTGAAGGCCAAGTCTTTCATCGGATAAAATGCCAGATAAGGCTTGTCAACTTTGCCAATGTCCACGTCTTTATAACGATATGCAGTGTGAATACCACTTGTTTCCATGATCTCGGCAATGTGGTCCTCGTCATACCACTTCATGTAGGTCTTCTCATCCATGATATCTGGGCGTGAGATCGAAGACATGACCCAGAGCATGCCGGGGCCTTTGACTACGGCTGGATCGGCCATGATGAGCTTTTGGTGAGCGATTGCTGGTGGATTGATGCGAACTGTGATGCCAGTGCAAGGTCAATGGAAAGATTGACGTTTGATGTATTCACGGAAACGCGTCTGAGATGAAGAAATCCATGGCCTGCGGGTATTCGATGATTGTCGGCGGAATGTCGACCCGCGGATATGTTTTGCCAACGCGTACCTGGAGATAGGAGAGGCTGGCAAGTTTAAGTGGACCTCTCCGACCCCGCATGAATATTTAGCGCTCTGCAATTTAATCCAGCCTCCTTTCTTCGAACTCTTGACCACCGACACCTGAACTCCTAGTCATCCAACAGATTGGGCCAGTATGTCAAAATGGTGGGGTTCGGCTGTCGGTTTCCTCTACGAGGGGCTTGCTAGGCTTTGTTGTAGTTCAATAGCATGTGTACTCTGAACAGTTCTTAGAAGCGCCAAAAACATCTCATCGTCAACATTCAAAGACTTTCAATCCTCCTACCTCGGTCACCTTTATCATTGTCATCTCTTCGTCTTCATTTCTGATACTATGAAAGACCTTAAAGACAAAGTCGCTCTAATTACTGGTGGTGCCACCGGCATTGGCCTAGCCCTCGCCCTCTAACTGGCTGCTGAAGGCATGAACATCGTCCTCGGCTCCACCAACAAGGACCGCCTTGAAGCTGCTGCCACCCAAGTCCGCTCAGCGGGTGCTCCAGAAGTCCTTCCTATTGTATGCGATGTGTCCGATCTCGCCTCTGTTAAGAACCTTCATGCCGAAACCACGAAAGCATTTGGTGCCGTTGACCTGCTGGTCTGCAACGCCGGCGTTACCACGAGTGGGGATTTCCATTTGCATCGGGAGGGAGACTGGAAGTGGGTGTATGGCGTGGTGTTAGACGGCACTACGAACTGCATCCAACTTTTCTATCCGGACATGATCAAGCGCGGAAGCGGGCATATTGTCCTCACGGGCTCACAGGCTGGTCTTGTGCCGAATTGGGTCACGCAACATGGCCCATACACATCCGCCAAAGCGGCAATACATGCTCTTGGGTCAGCGATGAGGCCAGAAGCTGCTGGCTATGGTGTTGGCGTGACGACAGTGATTGTGGCTGGGACGCAGACGGACATTATGAAAAGCGATAGAAGTCGACCAGAGAGATTCGGGGCGCCTCTTGCGGTAGAAGCCAAGAAGAGAGAGGCGAGAAGAATTCCACCGAGCGATGTTGCAGAGAGGATTATCAGGGGAGTGAAGGAGGACGCAGCGTGGGTAGCTACGCATCCAGACCTCAAGGACCGCACGAAACAGTATTTTGATGAGATTCTGGCAGCTTATGGCAGGTGATAATGGGACATTGGGGAGAATAATTTGTTTAATGATCACGCTCCGGGACTGAGAACCATACAACTTTGCCATCACAATTTGGCTCGCAGTCATCAAATGAGAGTGCCTCTGTTGTGTTAATCGTAAGCCCTGCATAACCTTTCCTTCCTCAAGACCCCAAGACTAAGCTCATATTACTACATACAGTACTTAGTCATAAGTATAGGCACATCGACTTGCCGTTGCTTGGGGCCCCCCATAGGATAGGTCTTTGAGAACGGAGACAGGATGTATAGATTGATGCAGTGGAAAGTAGGTTATCTCTTGACTGGCCAGAAACCTGCCAGCTAGGCTATTCCTCACAGTGATATCGAGCGAGCAAAAGTGAAGCCGTACAGACCTAGATCCATGGTCACGAAGTGAAGGTAGATATATTGGAAATTAGGCCATTCATTGAGGCGCTTTCTCTCCAATCACCGTATCATCGTAGCCTAAGGCTATGCTAATTGGAGCCTTAATGAACACCGCTTCATCCGCTTTTCAGAATGTTAGAAATTGTGATTAGGCTACGACTAAGCAGCATATCGAGTACTTACGTGCAATCGTTTGAATGAAGGCTGGATCCGATACTATTTCAATCCAATCCTCTATGCTTTTAACCCAAACCTCCGCTATCCCGTCATAATCAAGCACTGGTATCCCGAACTTTGAGGCTTGCTTCTTCAGCTCAGGGCTTGTGTGCCACTATAACGGAACTCCACGTCAGCTGGAGACAAATGATTTGGAAAGAATAGAAGAAACACACCTGGTTGTACCGAATCACCTTATCGGTGAATTTCTTATTCGCCATAGCGAGGTCGACATGATTGCCTCTCCAATACTGGTGAAAGAACTCATCCGTTACTTCATCTCTTTTTTTTAGCATAAGAGAAACCTTGATGTACTTTGGTGGCTGAGCGGCAGTCATCGTAGTGGGTATTTTGCTTGGGTAGGCTTTGCACAATCTTGTCTGAAGCTTGAAAGGTCTAGCAAATTGATATCTAGATTCAAAAATGATATAAACTGTAGAGTCGTACTCATTGGTCATCGATTTAGGCACCCTGGCACGTCTGTGTGGAGAACTATTTCCGGAAGCGTGGATCTTCACGATATGCGGGGTCCCCACTAGGGCAAGGGGGAAGCTCGGCAGTCTCCCGACCTCACTTCGCCTCGTCACTCGCTCAATTTATCGTATTGATAGTGCAGATATTGTGGCGGGGTGCTAACCTTGGCCCTCCCTAGTGCAGGCTTTCATAGTTCGTTATAATTCACCCAAGAACTAGTGTTTGAAAGTGAATAGAATTCGCGACATAAAAGATCCTTCTTTGCCAGATTTCTCTTAAAAGTCCTTGCCTTTGCAAATTTTCAGACCATGGCGGTTCTGAGTGAAACGGAAAATCCGTCGTTCGGTGGTACTCTTGCAATACTCCTTGGCGGTTGCGTGGGTTCAACTCTCCGAGCAGGGGCAAATTGAGCTGATTTGAATCAGGTTTTGGTGTATTATGCTGCCATCGTAGTATACCGGCTTTACTTCCATCCCCTGGCGAAATATCCAGGACCTTTCTTAGCACGAATATCTCCAGTAGGTGCTACTGAAAGCCTAAGTTCGCAGCTTATTCCCCCAAAGATGCTAATGAGACATGACAGATTCCGATCACAATCAGCCTTCTCCGTGGCCGCATACCATTTTTCATGAAATCTGCACATGACAACTTTGGTCCTATAGTCCGCGTATCGCCGAATGAACTCTGCTTTGACGAGGAAATGGCATGGAAAGACATATACAGCAGCCGACCAGGTCATAAGAATTTCCACAAAGGTGCGAATATCAAGTTCTTCAACATGGCCCAAAGCTGATATTAGACAAGATCCCATACACGTTGGATCTATAGCAGCGGTCCCGGGCGTCTCTTCCATAACCATGGCGAATGACATGGACCACACCCGCCAACGTCGAGCCTTGTCCCAAGCTTTCTCCACTAAAGCTTTGCCAGAACAAGAGTATCCTGTTATGAAGTATATCAACATCGTCTCGGATAAAATGAGAGAATGTGCAGCCAAGGATGGAATTGTAGATGTAACGGATTGATTTGCATAGACAACCTTCGATGTCATCGGAGAACTGGCTTTGGGCGAGCCTTTTGGCTGTCTCACAAATAGTAAATTATCTACGAGACGATTATTCTCCCTGTACTAATACAGTGTAGAGGACTTTAGATACTGGGTTCCCCTCATAAGTGAATCAATCAAGGCCGGAGCAATTGAGCAAGCCACACGGAGAGTTGCAACGGCCGGCAGTCCGCCGCAGACATTCCTACAGTCTTGCATCCCAGGTCGAATTAGCGAAACAAGACAAAAGCATCTGGACACCAGCCGAGAGAAGATCTTGAAGTGAGTATGGAAATATTATGAGCTGTGAGACTTTACTGACCATCGACGCTTTCTAGACGCATAGCGCAACGAACAACCCTAATAAGGACTTCTTGTACTATGTGATGAAACAACAGGATAAGGGCGAACTAAATCTCAACGAGGTGATAGTGAATGATGCGCTGTTCATGTAAGATACCTTTCTTCGAATCGATGGTTGATCTCACGAACTCGACAGCATTGCTGGGACCGAAACTACCGCCGGCTTCCTCACAGGCCTCTTCAACCTCATAACCCGTCCGGAGAATCAGCACATTCTAAGCAGACTAAAGGAAGAGATACGATCAAATTTCAAGTCCGATGGCGACCTCAACTTCGAAGACCTCGTCAAGCTACCATACATGACTGCGGTGATCGACGAAGGCCTCAGAATGTTCCCGTCCGCTCCAATCGGATTTGTAAGAACGGTACCAGCGGGAGGTGATACAGTGTGCGGACATTTTATTCCTGAAGGAGTGAGTGCTCCCTGTTCCTTAAATCTTGAGGATTGAATGGCAACATGCCGACTTGCACGTCAAAAGACAACCGTTTCTGTATGCAATTGGGCGGCAACACACTCTGAACGGAACTTCAAAGACCCCTATGTCTTCCGCCCGGAGCGCTAGTTTGATAGAGAGAATCCCACGGATAAGTTGGGAGCAAGGAACGCGTTCTCTCTTGGACCCAGAGGGTGTATCGGGCGAAAGTACGTCACTGCCCCTATCCGCAATCTCGACTAATCACTGACCGTTTGTCCTTAGCCTATCGTACATGGAGATGAGGCTAATAAGTGAGTATCCTTCGTAGCTCTTTTAGGGTTCGAGTGCTGATAATTCTAGTGGGTAAACTTCTTTGGCATAACGACGTGGAAATGCACGGTGATAACGAGATCTGGAACCCAGCGGGTGATTACAAGAACATGGTGGTCTACAAAAACTGGATCAAGCCATCGCTGAACTTGAGGTTGACGCCGAGGAAGTTCTAGAGCACAGGTTGTGGTTGAAGTATGAGAAACACTACATCAGTGTCATTCTGGCAATATGTTGGCATTCCCTATTTAACTTTAATCGAATGAAACTACCATCCTCTTCGTGCTTTCTCCTCTTCTCATCTTTTCCACCATATCGTTCACGCTCTCTAAACTTGGATACACCTCCACCTCGGACGCTATGCCATGCTTCGCCGAAAAGTCGATCGCTTTCTTCATCCGATCCGGAGTCCCCGTACTATCACCTCTAACTTGGAAAGTGCCTCTCGCAATGTCCAAAGCATCAAATGTTACTCCGTTTTTCGGCAAGCCCACAACCATGATGATACCGCCCAGCTTCACCAGCGGCGGAGCACTCCTGTAGGCGGCATCTGCAGCGGAGAATACTGCCACAGCATCGGCACCTTTGTTGGGGCCTCGGTCCATGAATGCTTTCACTTCGTCTACATAGTTCGGGTTCGTGACGGAGTTGAAGACTGCGTCTGCGCCTTGCCGCTTCACTGTTGCGAGAATATTATCGTTGATATCAACGCCGACGACGCGGAAGCCCATCGCCTTTGCGTACTGAGTTGCCAGCTGGCCAAGACCACCGCAGCCGATGATGACTAGCCATTGCCCTGGTTGAAGGTGGCAAGAGTCGACACAATGGAATGCTATTCGATGTCAACATCGAATTTCCCAAGGAACCCTGCTCGAATTGAATTGGGACGTAATTACCTGTGATGCCCGCGCAAAACATAGGGGACGCGGTCTTTACAGACAAAGATTCTGGTAGTAGAATAGCACTATGATAATCCACGAGTGCATAGTCCGCGAAAAGTCCCGGCGCAGTGAAGCCTTGCGTATGGCTCTCCTGCACCAGGCAGTGGTTGTTATGGACCTTACAACCTTCACATTCGAAGCAACAATCAATGATATAGGTGAAGCCTATGGCATCGCCAAGTCTGAAGCCTTTATTCTCAGCGGATGGGTGTAGCTTGTGAACGTATCCAGCACCTTCATGGCCGATAGTGATGGGCTCTTTGTGCGGCATAGCCGTGGACATGAAATCGCTGTGGCATAAGGAAGCTGATCCAATCTTGACGAGGAATTGGTTCTCTCCCGGCGAGGGGATTGGAATCGTGTTGACCACGACCTTCTTTTGGGACTGCGGCGAGTGTTAGCATGAGTTTGTATCAACTGAGTTAAGGGGGAAGCGGACTGGATCCCATTGCGCTGCCTTCATCATCTCCAAAATTCAATGGTAGAGTATATTGCGTAGAGCCCTTTCACTTACTGTCATGTCCGTATGCGGTAAATTACCTAGGACCAGAAAGGACACTAAAGCGGACTGTTAGGACGTTCCCCATGGATCGGTCGACGCTTCGCCAATTTGATACAACTACCTTGCTCCCAGCCTGATTCGAGACGGCTATCATTCTCCAGAGTGTGAGAGACAGGGGCAAGTCAGCCTTATTATCCACTTCCCCGCTACCCCACATTCCGCGGACGGCTATCGATAGCACGTTCACTAGATCTCCACTAGCCACTAGCGCCAGCGTGAACTGTTGAGCTTTGCATTAACCCCGCATATACTTTGAACTCCTGACTGCTTCATAAACCCCTCCTACGCGTCCAACAGAACTCATGACAACCCGCCTATCCGTTCCTCTTGGGAGGTACGGTCGCGGCGGAGAAGACATGCGGATATGCCTGGCTGTGCGAATGTACTTCTCCACACAGCACGCATCAGCTTTCCGGCTGGTTTTGGAGGACAGGTCGTGAGACCTTAGAATCGGGAATGCCGAGGGTTATCCGATTACGGTAGCTTGCTGCAGAGAATAGTCTAGTTTTATCTTACTCAGTTTTGTGAAGGTCGACCACTCTTCTACAATTATCTGATAACTTCCCTGCGTCGATTCTATCGCGTTCGTACCTTCCAAGCCCACTTTAGCCACTTCCAAACTCTCCTCATCATGCCCATCGACTACGACATCAAAGGCAAAGTCATTGCCCTCACAGGCGGCGCCTCAGGCATCGGCTTCCAAACCGCTCTACTCCTCGCCCGGCAAGGAACTCACCTCTCAATCTGCGACATCTCTTCCGACGCGCTCGCGGAAAAGACCAAAGAAATCGAAGCCGTCAGCACCGGCAAAGTCCTCTCCACAGTCGTAGACGTGCGCTCCGGCGCCGCTGTTAACGAGTGGATCGCCAAAACTGTCGAAGCTTTCGGCCAGCTAGATGGTGCAGTCAACCTAGCGGGCGTGGTTCCTAAGTGTATCAACAAAGAGCGGGTTCAGGACCTGAACGATGACGACTGGAACTTTGTTATCGACGTCAACTTGCATGGCGTAATGCACTGCATGCGAGCAGAGCTAGGGCATATGAAGGATAAGGGGAGTATGGTCAACGCAGCGAGTATTTGTGGGGTGATTGGGTTCCCGAAGAATGCGGCATACACGGCGAGTAAGCATGCGGTGATTGGGTTGAGCAGAACGGCAGCGAAAGAGGTTGGAGAGAGAGAAATCAGGATCAACTGCATTGCACCGTAAGTTGTACATTAACCTTTATCTGTAAGATAGTCTAACCTCTGGGTAGTGGCATGATTGAGGGTCCAATGCAGCAGAAATCCGTGGCTGCAAGAGGTGGAGAGCAAGTTTGGAAATGTCAGATCATGAGAAAAGGAGAGTCACAGGAAGTTGCGTCGTTGATTACGTGGTTGCTCTGTGATGAGACGCAATATATCACTGGTACTGTACAAGTTATTGACGGCGGGTGGGTATGCTAGTAGATGTATATATCAACGAGCCATTTGAAAAGCTCAACACCAACTCATCTGAGTTCGGGCACACGGATATGCCACTACGTACTTTGGCCCTAAAGAGATGACACGAATATACCCTCCAGAGGACAATCTCCGCCGTTTTATACCGGCCTCATGTCTCCCTGAGAGGCGGAGTGTCTCCAAAGCTGTACTGTTGAAAGAATGCGGGATACCTGTCGCCCACGACTTCGACCTTTTCAATCTCAGCTCGGATGTTCTGAATCTCGGTATGCGACAGTTTGATCTTGGCTGCGTTGACGTTCTCTTCCAAATATTTCACCTTCTTCGTTCCACTAGACAAGCGTTAGGAAAAGCATATACTCTGAAGTGAGTGTGCACTTACGGAATCGGGATAACATCCTCGCCTTGAGCAAGAATCCACGCCAGAGTTAGTTGTCCAGGAATGCACTCCTTCTCTATTGCAAGTTTCTGAAGATTCTCCACGAGGCGTAAATTCTTCGGGAAGTTCTCTTTGCTGTATCTTGGTGCATGTTTTCTGAAATCGCCTTCTTCAAAGTCATCCGGTGACTTGACTTGACCATTTAAAAAGCCTCTTCCGAGAGGACTGTAGGCAATTATTGCAATGCTTAGTTCCCGGCAGGTACGCAATACATATATTTCAGGCGACTCGATGTCCAGCATGAAGGGACTGTACTCAAGTTGTACCGCATCGATATGGTGGAACTTTTCCGCACGCCGAATGGTAGCAGCGGAAACTTCACTCAAGCCTATCGCTCCAATTTTGCCCTGCCTTTGCAAGTCAGCATCATAATGACCAGTGAAAGATAAGAAGGGTGGCATACTTCTTGAGTTCGGCCATCGCTGCGACTGTCTTCTCAATTGGTGTAGTCTTATCCATACGATGGCAATAGTAAAGATCGATCCTTTCAACTCCAAGCCTCTTCAAGCTCTTATCGCAAGCTTGCTTAACATAGCTCGCATCAGACCTGACCGTAGCCTTGCCGTCTGCATCTTTGGTAACTGCGAACTTAGTGGCGAGGAATATTCTCTCACGGTTTCCTGTGCGTTCAAACCACAACCGTAGAAGATCCTCACTATCTCCATCTAGCAACATTTAGCTTCGGTAACTTAGATCAGGGGTCATATCTAGAAATACTAACACACATCGGAGGTATCCCAGAATGTTGTTCCCAACTCCAAGGCCTTGTCTAGAACCTCGAAACGTGAGCTGTTTTCGTCAACCTTGCCGTATGAGACGCTTAGCCCCATGGCGCCAAAGCCTATGGCGGATACCTGAGGACCATTTTTCCCAAGACGACGGAGTGGTAGCGTAGACATGGCCACAGGGTTAAAATTCAAAGTGAAAGAGGTGTGCTGATTACGTTGACTTTGGCTTGAAACGAATAGAAGTATAGTAAATTTCCACTAGAGCATCGACAAACAACCTTGGATATGGATTGGAGCACCATAACCTACCTCGTTGGAAACGCGTTACTAGACTTTACCTAACCCGAAAGGAATGTTTTCGACCAGGACGTGCATCGCGTTGAACGGGTACTGTTTTCCGCCATTCGGAAGACCCTCACACTATGACTTCACAATAGTTCCTCAAAACACGTACGTTCGGGGATCTAGGCAAATTAACGCTGTTTTTAATTCATCCATCTTTTAGCTGGATACAGTTGAGACAGGGCACTCTGCAAGATGGTCGCATTAGTTCTGAAATACTTTTCCTCTCCTGAACAGGGATTTCACTACACTGAAACCATCGCATGAACATATGCGAGCCATCTAAGAGCTAACGGCAACTCATGACCCACCCCCGCACGGCCTAAGACTAGCCAAAGACTTACCCGCAGCATCGGTTCCACACCTGGGGTAAGTGGGGCATTGCTCTGGGGTAGCTGTGCAAAGGCTGGCGTGAGGTCTGACGCCGCTTTCTCTCAATCTTCTCGCGGGCTCGGCCCCCAAACCCTCTCATTGGAGAGTCTTGTAGTTTCGGTCTATCTCGGGCAATAACGTCTATCTGGGGCGCAAGGAATGGAGCGATCTCGACCCAGCCTGTTCAGAGAGGAGACAACCCCTGATCGCGGCTATGCGATACCGACAAATTGGTAGACGGTTCGGACTGCCAGGGCTATGGACACTCCGCGCTTAGAACGCGTGCCCTCTTGGAGTCCGTCGAGTATTTAACATCCGCGGAAATCCGGTGACCCAATCCCTGTGATATCTGTTCCGGTGACTTGGTGATATATTGGTATTCCAAGCTCAAACTCTATCATATTCGTACCTTGTAATCTCAAAGTAACTCCAGAGCCATAGATCATGGACGTCGAAAAGGAGCACTCAGAAGTTATCGAGCATGTCAACAACAGCAATGAGTTGCAGCGCGAAGACACTATCGCTGCCCATGGCTTCGCTGTCGAGTCTGAAGAATTGCCCGCAGGTTATTGGCGATCACCGTACTTTATAGGAACTTTCCTTGCCATTGGAATGAACTTGGCGGTAAGTGATTCCTCGTCATTCTCCGTTTTGAAGCTAATCGAGGTTTTCGCAGGCGTCGACTGCTGGTTTTGCGTTGATAGCACCAGTGCTTGGAGACATCAGTGTAGCTTTGGGTCCTTCAAGCAGCATCATCTGGCTTTCGCTCGTGTACACCATTGGTCTGGCCGTTGGCCTCCTGCTCGTGGGACGTCTATCAGTACGTTGGTCCCTCGCCGTCCGATCTTAGATTGCGCTGAATAGCTTTCGTATACGATATGCTGATACTCAACAATAGGACATATTCGGCCGCCGTTGGTTCTTCATAGGCGGAACGATGCTCGGCCTCATCGGTGCTATCATCGCGTCCACAGCTAAAACGATTCCCGTCCTCATTGGCGGACAAACGCTTGTCGGGCTGTCCGCCTGCACAGGTTACTCCTACTCATTCATCAGCGGCGAGATCGTGCCGGTGAGGCATCGTTTCATTGCCAACGCCATCATCTTCATCTTCAGCATGCCTACTGCTGGTTTCGGAGCTGCTATTTCGACCTCTTTCATTACCAAAACTGGTCCCGGATGGAGGTGGTGCTATTACCTCTTGATCATCTTGAATGGCCTAACAGCAATTTTGTATGCGGCATTTTATTTCCCGCCCAAATTCCATCAAAAGCACGGTAAAGACTCCAAGATGTTATATCTGAAGAATTTCGATTACATCGGTCTTCTCCTATACACTGCGGGCCTAATCCTAGTAAGTTCTATCTTCATCGTAATTTCAGAGTGCGAGAAGACTAACGGGTATAATCAACTCAGTTCATCCTGGGTCTCTCGTCAGGTGGTGACAGTCTTTACCCATGGAAAGATCCGAAGACCATTTCGTTCATCGTCGTGGGTTTCCTCTGCCTGGTCGCCCTCTTCCTATACGAGACCCTAGTCGATCTCAAGGAGCCTCTGATCCCGATGCACATTTTCCGAACCAAGGGCTTTACGCCAGCGATGCTGTCGCTCTCCCTCGGTGCTAGCGTCTACTACTCGCAAGCAATCATCTGGCCTCAGATGGCAGCAACTGTCTACGGCAACGGTCGCACCTCTTGGGTTGGAATTGTATCGTGCCTCGTTGGTATTGGTATCACAACCGGCGAGGTAATCGGCGGTACGTTTGTGTATTATTTGTGGAGTCTGGAATGAGGGCTAATTTGGCGGCAACATAGGGAGTATCGCGAAGAACCTCGGATTTTGGTATATTTACCCAATGCAGTCTTGGCGGTGAATTTACTGACGTTGACAGGAAATATCAATGTATCACCGTAATTTCTCTCGGCACCCTTCTCTTGGGTCTGATGGCTGTCTGCACTCCCGACACTCCGAACGCCGCCATGGGAATCGTCTTCATCGCGACCATTTTCGTCGGCTGGAATGAGTCTTTGGTCCTACCTATCTGCACCATCGTCATCACCGATCAGCAGGAAATTGGTACCGCTGCCGGCATTGCAGGATCCTCTCGCAGCGCCATCAGCACTGTCGCCAGCACCATCTACAGCGTCGTGCTTGCGACCCGAGTTGGGGAGACGATCCCATCTCAAGTCCCCGTTGCCGTCATCGCCGCAGGTCTGCCAGCTACTAGTGTAGCCGACTACATGACGGCCATCGCAGCCGGCGGGTCTCCCAAACTTCTTGCCGCCGTGAAAGGTCTGACCCCCAAGGTCCTTGCCGCAGGATCAGTTGCATACAAGCATGCATACATGGATGCGTATCGAACAATTTTCCTTGTGAGCATAGCATTCGGAGGACTGGCCATTATCGCTAGCATATTTATCCCAGGTTCGTTTACCATCACGAACTTAAGACTCGCAGTACTAACAGTATCCATAGATATCGACAAGTTGATGACGCGGTCTGTTGCAGCGACATTGCAGGGACGGAAAGGAGATGAGGAGACTGTTGGCGAGAAGTATCATCGGAAACATATCGAGGCACACCCGTAATCGTTTGTCTTGCCGGTTGACACGTTTGGAAAGGGGAGGGCTAATCGTACACCCCCTAATGACTAATCGTACACCCCCTACTCCCCTGTCACTTCACCGCCTTCTTACTGGCTTAGAGGGTTACTCCAGAGCTTCCGATTGGCTCGCTTCACCTGCTCACTAATTCCGAATGCTGTCTCCAAATGCGGCCATGTAGCCTCCAGCGCAGCCTATCTGATTTGTGCAGCTGTATATACGGCCGTACGTGAGCTCGTACGTGAGGCTGTACGTGAGGCTGTACGTGAGGCTGTACGTGAGGCTGTACGTGAGGCTATACAAATCGGAAAGGATGCGCCGTAAAACGGAGAGGCTGTATAGCCATGTCGATTCGTATAGCCTCACGTATAGTCTCACGTACGAGCTTACATACGGCAGAGATGCACGTGCAGATAGACGTAAGGGTGAATGTTCGGAGGCTTCCTGCCGGACCTCCGAGCCAATCAGAAGCGGTAAAGTAGGGGGTGTATGATCATTCGAAAGGGGGTGTACGATTATTCGTTAGGGGGTGTACGATTAGCCCTCCCCTTTGGAAATGGTCTGGCAATGTAGCTAATAAATGTTTTACGCGACTTGAATGTCAATCCTGACGCTCATTTTCTCACGTACCTAATTTCGACCGCGAGATTTGGTCTTGTGTGTGACAGAATTGATTCTCTGGTGAACTACCCAGTCGGCGTCCGAGGCCTCCTCAGATCGTTCAAGCACTTGTCAGCGTCGAACCTCCATAAGTTCAATACGTAGCCGGTACAATCGACATTCGCCCACCATCTGAGATGAGTATGTTCCCGTTGATATACGCCCCAGCCCGGCTGCAAAGAAACAGAAGTGCGCCGGCGGCATCCTGTAAGCATTAGTGGCAAGGTCTGCTTACATCCACGGAGTGGGAATTTACTTCATCAGTCCCGATTCTAGTAAGTGGGACGACATCTCCACTGACCGAACCCATTGCGGTGCGATCATCCTTACCCATCATACCCTAGACACTATCGTTAGCTAGGCCTTACTCGTATGACTGGCAAGAACTTACTTGACTCATATCACTTGGATAGATACCAGGGCAGAAGCTGTTGCACCTGATGTGGTAGTCCGCCAAGCACGTGCTCATCTGCTTCACTAGATGAATGACCGCAGCTTTACTCGCCGCATATGCATACCCCATTCCCGGTCTGCGACTAAACCCACTAATACTGCTCGTTGCTATAAACTGGCTCTTTACACTGCGTCCTTGTTACTTGCGTCGAGCAGCGGTAGGAACGCGAGTAGCGTGTAAAACGCCGCGGTCGTGTTGACAAAGAAGGTCTCGTTGAAGTCAGTAGGGGGCGTCGCCCAGAAGAAGTTATGAAGTTCCGCAAGAGAAGGCGGCGGCGACTTTGGAAGAGCATCGAGTCTAGGGCCCGCGGCGCCCGAGTTCGCAATCACGGCATTGACGAAACCAACTTCGGAGGTGATCCGCTCAACGATGGATGCGAGGGAGTCTTTGGAGGTGATGTCGCCTTGTATCGGAATTATGTTGTTATTTGTCTGCATTAGAATTATTAAGATGTCTCAGGTGATGACAGGAATAGAGAAGCTGAGACCCGGCAAATAATGTTAAATGCTCATACCGCTGATTGCGCGACTTCTTGGAGTTTCTCGAGCCGACGGCCGATGATGTAGACCTTTGCCGCGCCGTTGATGTCAAGAGCTCTTGAAAACATAGCTCCAATTCCGGTACCTCCACCGGTGACCTGTTATAGCGGTTAGAGAAGTCAAGTTCTCCCACGAGCTCTCTGATAAGACTGACCACAAACAACATGTCCTTGACATTGAAAAGGCTTCCGGCTTCAAGGTGAGACATCTCTCAATGGCACAGATCTTTCTTTCGGATGGTGATGAGACCCTCTTGAATTTGAGTAAAATCTCTGCAAGCACAGTGAAGGCTACAAGAAGAGGCTCAATCCCAGGAAGCGAAATTTATCAATTCGCTCCAAATCGCCCAGCATACTAGCCGTGTTTCGGATCTCCCAAACGCTACTTACGTGAGCATAAGCGCTACAGGTGGAAAGGAGCGAGTGGTTCAGAAGATCGGTAACGACATCCGTCGTGATGGCGCTGGAATGGGACGTCTACATTCGGAAGTCGATTTCCAATTGGTGCCCGCGATGTGTACCCATATTCTAGCCAACCGTGGCGGGAAAATCAAACGACTGTAAACTGCATTAATGGGCACAGCTTTTGGTACCGTGGATATTAGTCGAGTAGCGATCCTCTTTTGGACCCAAAGATTCGTGGGAGAAGTGGTCGGTGGTCATCTCACGTGACCTCAGTAGCCGTTTCTTGAATACTACTAGCATTTGTTGTCTTTCGCTACCATTTATCGTTTAAAATCTGCTGTACCTTTAAGCTCCTATATTAGATGAAGCTATAAGCAGTGTGATTGCAATTCCTCTCGACTTAGCTTCACGTTGTCCATCGTTCAAGAGGGCAACATTAAGAGTGCAGAATGTGCGAGGAAAGCGTGCAGGCATTCGAGAATTGCAACTGTCGATACGGTTTCGCTGATGCCATATCTGATTCTAACTTCATCAGCGGAGTTCTAGAGGGATGGAGATACTATGGAGCTTACCTAGATGCCACTGCTTCCAGTGGTATGTACAACATCGAAAGGATCGAAGATGGCAGCGGTGACGGCGGGTAAAACATATGAATTGGCGGTGGGATGTGCTAATCATCCAATACTTTTCTCAGTGATAAAGGAGCGATCGGAATATAGAACGCCCCAACCCCGGTGACTAAAACATTCAAGACCTCTTCCCCTTTTCCTGGCTTTCTGCATCCGGCCAAGGCCCGTTATAGCGGTAAGAGAAGTCGAGTTCTCCCACGAGCTCTCTGATAAGACTATGTGGGTTAGCAAAGGCGCCTTTATTGATAGCTGTAGTGTCAACTATTCAACGGTATAAGATCTCCAACTCACTCTGTAAGTGTGCGCAAATCCGCAATCACGGCCTTGCTCGCAATTTGCATAATTGCAAACCCCGAATAAGCTGGCTCCGCAACATGTTCTACATCAAGCACGTCCCTGTCCATGGTCTGCAGACGCTTTACAAGTTCGTAAGGCCGTGGTAGACGGAGATGCGGCGGGAGCGGCTGGGCGTTGAGAATACTCGAAGATAGAAGACACAACACGCTTGAGACATCATCGGCGGTATGCTGAAGGCTCTTGAGAAGGTTGGTGAGCGTAATTTGCCAAGCCGAATGTTCCTCTGATAACCCCTCCTGCGGAATCACGAATGACGTAGACGCATAACCAATAAGAGCAGTGTAAGTACACAAGTTCTCGAATACATTGATAATTGAGTCGTAAGTTGCCTTCGGGAATCGGGCATCCAGAGGAACCTGCCACTTCGTGAAGTCCGATAACTCTCTTAATCTGGACACTAGTATCAACTGTTTCGTGAACAGTTTTGTTCGCTCCGTTTCTAGTCTGCGGCCAGGGCTCGTTTTCAGCTTCATATCGCCTTCACCGCGATGAATGCGTGCCGTTATCGTAGCTTGAACCACCGCATGGTGACGGGCTCCAAGGTATAGTGCGGTTCCGAGGTATTTCCTGACCTCAGAACGCTCGGAAATCGGGAATGGAAAGCCGGTGAATATGAAGGCGACCGCGATGCCAGCCATACACACCACGGCCCGGTATGGCGCTAGAAGGTAAAGTGGATAGTATTTTTGGTCGTTGGATGTTGCCACAGTCTGTCCGATCTTCTTTACTTGGAGTTCGTACCCAATGATGATAGTGGTAGTCACGGTAGCCATGATGCCGACAAGAGCAAGTCGCGGTGCTTTGACTGGAATGTAGGCGAACATTGTTACACAGAGGAAGTAAATGACGAGGACCCCCGGACTGTGGCCATCGGTAATATAGAACACCGGATATGCTGCGGCTGCTCCGACAAGAATGCCACATACTCGGAGGAAGAAGATAAACATCGATTGACCTGCCGTTCGTACCATGGACAGGGCACAATAAATGGCCCCCCAAAATATACGCTGTTCGACATAGAAATGCTGGGTTTGTCGTATTAGGGACAAGACCGCGACCGACATGATGGCACATGCAACTCGGAAGCCAAACGATGAATGTTTAGATCGGAACATGTTTGCGATGGCTCGCAAGATCTCTCCGATCTCTTGCAGCCAGCCCTCGGCAGGAAGGTGTTCTGGGTCTTTACGAGAGTGAAACGCTTCGCCTAGATCGTGGATTGGATCAGGTGCTGATTCACAATCGTCGTCTTCGTCTTTGGTCACCATTGATGAGAGCCTCAAGAACTTCTTAACATTTTTGCGGCCTGGGAAAAGAAATCGTTGTTTAGACATGGTTCCTTTCTTGAATCGAGTGTCGGCGAACTGGACGAGCTTTAGCAGTGCTTGGCTTGATGCCCAATATAGATAGAGTATCTGTATGAATCGTCAGTAGAGACCACAAATAAATTTCGCGACGTTATTTGAGTACACTTATGTGTCCCTGTCGCTTGAGTCCGCTGAATTTGGACGGCGCCTAAATGCTCTTGATCGGACGCCGACACGGTGGTGCCTACCCAAACAAGGTCTATTCATTTTCAAACGCCAAGCTCTCCTTCGAATGGAGGGAATCATCCAAGCATTGGCAAAATAGTATGCACAAATAAATGGCAAGATACAGTAGCGTGGATTGGACACGGCCTGATGAAATAAGACTCACGTAAAGTAGTACGAAAAGCTGCCGTTGTTTATGTGTTGCGAAAAAATCGTCATTTTCCACGGATGTGTTTAGCCACACGCTGTTCCTGGTCTTGACTGGCGAGAGGGTAACGTTTGTGTCGTCAACCCAAGACTTCAGGATAATCTTGCGTTTCTCGTCAAACAAGTCAATCCTTCCTTCTAGATATTGCGAAAACCCATCATGGCCTGGCGAAGAAGTCGAATCGGCCTCTTCGTCAGCGGGTTGTGGCACGGGATTTGCAAGCTTGAGGACAGTCGAGACATGATCGATGGCTTCGTACATGGAATTGGAGATATCTCCAACGGGGCTATGGAGAGCTTGCATCATGCCCTCGTACTCTCCCATTATGATTCGCTCGCTCTCCGTTTCAGGATCCGTTCGTTCGTTTCGAGGAAGGGTACTCCATCCATGCATTTTGGCCAGCCTTTCAAAGATGTCAATCATCTGATTCATGCCAGCAATAGGAAGAAACACAGCGCGGAGCAAGCGATGTATCTCTGACAGATCCTTGGCTTCGAGATAGCCGTATGCTATTTCTTTCTTGGCAAATTTCATGTCAGAGAACAGCTTATTGTTGACCAGGCGAAGTTTCTTGAGCTCACTGCGGAGCGACTCGGATTCCGAAGATGAATGAAACATATTCTTGTTTTCTATACTTTTCAAAAACGTCGACTGGGCTTCGAGAACTTTCCGTATACTGGTCAGATAGTCGCTGATATTCCGTAGGACTAGCTTCCGCGAAGTCGATGGACGGAAGAGAAGAGATATACCAGTGGCAATAGCAAGGCCGAGCAGCAAGGCCCCGAACAACTGTCTAGCAATCCTGAGCGCTGCATCTACTTCGGTTATCTGAGGAGCCGAGGCTAAAGTAACAATTATTATTATCGAGGCCATAACGTAGGCAAACCTGAACTGTGGCATTGCTGATTTGAGGCACTGGATATGGTTCAGTCCATGGGCAATGGTACAGAAACACAAGAAAGGCAAAAGTGACGTACATTGATGAAATACACGGTAGCGAAAAGCCAAACACCAACGACGGCAGCGGCTGACGAGTTATAGTCAGATAATGGCGATCCTGGGGCCGTAGTGTGCTTCCGAGCCTGAATGGCACTCCACATTGCCAGCAACGCTACCGCGGTAGCCACTGAAATTGCAAAGACGTCTACGATGATATTCTGAAGGAAGGCCGCTCTAGGTGTTAAAGTTGAGGCTAGGACACCGCCCACTGCAACCAAGTAGCCCACTGTCGTGAACGTACTTGAGATACTATCAGACTGGAAAATGCATAGGCCAATCGTCGGCGGCAAAGCAAACTTTACCATTTGCAAAAAGGTGTGCAAATCGATGTCCAACCATTTCCAGGCATTGCGGAGCTTGGAGAATGAATTTTGTGAGCGTTTCGGTTCATCCTGTCCGGAAGAAATGCGGCTTTGACTCGTGTCAGAGTCTTCCGCAGGTGATTCTGTCATGATTTTCGCTCTGCCAAAGGCTCCCCTACCAACGAGCCGGAGTTCTCAATAATGCATCTGTGTCAGAGGTGAGTTAGGGATGGTAAGGTGTGAAAAAAATCGTGAGTCTTTGGCCCGTGCGTAGCTGCTTTGTGTCGTCATTGGCTCCGGGGTGTAGAGAATCGAAATCTACAATTATACCACATACTAAGGCTCAATATCTATGTTATTTTATACTCTATTCTATATGAAATAGAGGCCTAGTTACAGGTTTGAGCTCACTTCCAGTACTTCAGCTCTTCCGATGCCATATTAGAGCTGCCTAGGGCAGGTATTATTCAGGTATCGTGAAAGCGGGAAACTATGGAGACATCGACCGTAGCCAGCTCAAAATGGTTACAAAATAGCCGATCATTCATACATGCCACTCCAAGAACATGCCAGATACTCTCCCCACCCCTATATTAATTAGACCCACCGTATATCTCCAGGCAACAACATTTACACATCAAATAAAACCAACGCTCATTTGACGACCAGCCTGGCCAAAAAGCCCCTCATGGCCTCTGCGCCTTCTTTTCCGTCCTCGCCTAAACTTCGCTCTAGATCTTGCACCATGTGTCTCGCCTTGGCGTTCAATTCCTCTACACACCTTTTGCTGTACTGGAAGCTTCCCGTGCGCTCCATGTAGCTCACGGCGTACTTCTTAACTTCCTCGTCTGTTGTTTTCTGTTTTAGGATGTTGATGAGGACGAGGTTGGTGGGATCGGCACGGATAGCGTGGATGATGAGGAAGGAGAATTTGCCCTCGGTCAAGTCTTCGCAGAGCCCTTTGGCGGAAGAATAGGCGGAGAGGTTGAGATGGTCGTCGAGGATTTGAAAGAGGAGGCCGATGGCGTTGACAAGGGGTACGCAGTCACTGCAGAAAATCATTGTCAGTTGACCGCCGCTCAATAGGTCGGATGGGGAGTATGTTGGAACTAACATGTCAATCTTGCTATCCGCCTGCATGAGCTTTATTGCTAGCCTGAACAGCCCCCCTGTTTTGTTCCCCACCATCTCCAAGTAATCGGCCTCGGAAGGACAAGTCAGCGAGTCGCGCCAGTACAGGTCCATGCCTTGCCCACGGTGCAGGTTCAGCAGCTCCTCGGTGAAAATGTCGATCATGGCGGGATTCGAGAGTTTCGATAGTTCGCGTAGGGCGAGAAAGTAGACATAGTTTGCGCTGTTGATAACCTGGGCAGTACCGAAGATCCGGTTGGCCACCGGGACGCCGCGTCGAAGGAGGGACGAGTCTTCTACGTCGTCGACACTGTGAGGGTAGCTCAATTAGCTTTCTGTTCATGTGGAGTCCCTCCAGAAGCTTTACTTACAGCAAGGAAGCTGTGTGCAGCATTCCCACCACTTTTGTGATCACCTCCAGGCTTTCCGCTGGCACCTTGAGCCACATGTTAAAGGCGCCCACGAGCTGCGCCCGCATGTCCTTGCCTGGGTGGCCGTAGAGGTATTCATACGGCCCTAACAGTATCTTCTCCTTATCCTCGTCCCACGGTGCGTGCTTCTGGTGTATGAGTTCATGCCCAATGCCGCGAAGCGGATCCGGCGGCGGCGGCGTCATGGGAACTGGGTATGGATGTGTGTGCGAGACGGGCGACGTATGCTTCTTGCCCTGGGCTATCCAGTCTATTTCGGAAAGTGGGCGGAGGACAGATTTGGAGGGCAGGCGCGCTACACCAGAGATGCTCGAGATGCTGCTGGTCATGCCGTGCGAGCTGGTTCGCGGAGGGATGGCATTTGGGGAGCTAGGGTTCTCCACGACCATGCTGAAACCGAAGAAGATGGCCGCTGATGTCGACGGCAGCTGTATTTATAGGTGGAGAGGGTTGGGATGGCACTAATACGATGCGTGGGTGCTGCCTGCGGGCACGAGGCCGCGGCGCGATGCTATTCACGACTGCGGCACAAGCTGTGCCAGAACGCGTACCCTCAGCCCAGATGAGACTCGAAATTTGGGGCAAGATGGACGTAGATAGTCGGCCTGACAGACTCGGATTGCTGCGATATAGCTTAGTGCTGGCGGTGGCAGAGGGCGGAGGTGGTGATGTGCTGGAGCTGGAGCTGTCAATCCTTCAAGACAGCTACTACGTAGCCTGGACGCCTGCACGCCTCGCCGCGCTTTTCACATGCTCGGCGGCCAGGGTCTGTTGGGCGCGGGGTTGTTCAGATTGGCTGCGTAAAAACACCAGGGGTTAGTCCAGGGATTATCGATCTCTTCAAGGCGATCTTTTCTCGCTATAAAATTTGTTTCACTACCGTCTTCAAGCCTCCCAATCTAGGAATGCTACTCGCTTTTTGCTTCATCTATCTCTATCGGTAGACTACGATGGCGAGGAACCCGCGCGCATAATTCACTGCTGCCTCCACAAGAGAACACGACTAGCAAATTTATGCAAGACGCTTCTAGATCACGTGATTATTACGGTAGCGTGGCATCTTGCTCTCCAAACCTCATCTACCTGAGATATCCACATCAACACTCTCCTCACCGCCATCAGCACACATCATTCAACACCCCTCATTTAGCACATATCATTCAAGCACCTCCCTTAGCCCGTGCAATTGCATGCTTATTGGGGACAATCATTGAGTATGAAGCCACTGCACCGTAGCTAGAAGCACTGGAGGCTCACACCGCACAGATTGAATCAAAATGCATCCATCCAGAGTCGCACGCTACCTACCGGACCACAGCAACGTAGGAACAATACTCTAACTCGTCACACGGTGTATCTTACATCCGAGGTCAATGCTCTCCGCACTCAATAGGTTTTGCATAGCGTTTTGCACCGGTTCAAGCGCCTAATACTCTATCAGTCTCATCTACGCCTACGATGACATGGCGCCAGCCATCCGGAATTACTCCGTGGGGCGGCTGGACCATGGGTGCTACGCGTCTATCGTGATTGATTTCCACCTTTACCTTTGTGGGTTCCGCTATTTCATGCTCATTAATCCGAAAGTTCTAGAGCCTCAGATATCCCATTATTCGTATTTGTCTCCGCTTTCACCTAGCTTAACCTCATTCATCCTTTGAAGGGCCACATCTCGTTACGTCATTGGTTCCTTGATGATCAACTCATGGCCATGACGGAAGCTGTTGCGTTGGCTTTTCACTAAGTTTCGAGGATTCACCTCCGACAGCCAATCATACTGCTCAGATCTACCTCAACTCAAGACTGAGTCTAGATTCTAGATTGGAGAAGAGTTCTCCAACACCATGATTCATGGAACCATGACTGTGAGTTTTTCGGGAAAGACACAGACACACATCTCCTTATTTTGTCATTTCCTTCTTTCTCATGGCCTCAACTTTGATCACCTTTGCATCTTTCCTACTTGATATATTACGTCTCTCTATCTACTATGATTATGATATTACGTCTTTCTATCTACTATGACATTTCGTCTTCTATACGAGAACAGGGAATGACTTGCACCAGATTATCTACCACCGCTCGGGATGCTTCGATACTCGATGTGCTCAGGAACTCCCCTCTGGTATGATTTTGTCAACGGGCTGCCGTTGAGAAAATCGCAGTATTACGTATTCGTTGTAAGCGCAATAGAATAACTTGCAGATATCCTTGCTACCCAGCAACACGACCCGACTGTCACGCCGCTGGGGAGCCCGCTCTTCTCTTTCTTTGTCTGCAAAACGAATACCCGCATTACTAAATTCAAAAATACAGCACTAATTAGCATCAAATCAGTAACAATGTCAAAACGCAGGATCATCGGGTATCGCTCTTCGAAAACAATGCAGCCACGCGTCGAAAACAATACAGCCACGCATCAAAAACAATACAGCCGCGCGGGGCATGGAAAAGGTGGCACACTAATTCTAGAACAAGCTGTCTCGTGTGCACACCTGTCTGCCACTGTTTGGGTTGCTTCAACAAATTTCCACATAGCCCAAGGTGGAGAGCATCTATCTTCTTTAGATCCCTGAAAATACGTTGAAGCAACCCAAACAGTAGCAGACAGGTGTACACACGAGATGAGTATGCCACTTTTTTCGTGCCTAGCGTGACAGCCAAGTCCAGACGCCTAGGACTACATCAGCCGCCAGACCTGCTTTCCGCTTGTAATATCCACGTCCCACCTGCCCGACGGGACATAATGGCCGAAGTTCGCGCAGAGCTGCATTTCCACATAGTCGTGATGCGAGTCAGCACGTGGCTCCTCTCGAGGTGCAGGCGCCAGATGTGGAAGGCTAGTTGCTTGCGGCAGCTCACTTTGCTCCTGACCTTGGATATACGAAGGCCATGGATTAACATGATGGAAGCCAGCTTGAGGTTGCTGGTGAGGTTCCGCCGGACTATACCCGAACGGATTCGTGAAATGTGGCTGCTGGGTCGATGGATTCACGGAGGGCTTGAGACCGTCTTTCATGCCTGAAGGCATGCCGAGGTGTTGTAATTGCTGCGACTGACCCAAGGGACCACTCCCCTGCATAACCTGCACATGAGGAATCTGCGGGGGGAAGTCCTGTGGTAATGGCTCTTGCTCTTGTTCGCCTGGTAAGTGTTAGTGGATGGATGAAACCTCTTGTGAACGTATCGGAGTCAAGAGGGAATGGGAGACCACTCATGAAAAGGAACATGCAAGGACCCTACCATCACAAGCCTTTTCATGGTACAGCGACAGCCATGCACGTACGAAAAAAGTGGCACACTCATCAAGTACTTTGTCCGTGTGTACAGCTGTCTGCCACTGCATGGAGTGCTTCAACAAAGTTCCACATAGCCCAAGACCAAGGGCATCTATCTTCTTTAGATCCCTGAAAATACATTGAAGTAACCTAAACAGTGGCAGACAGGTGTACACACAAGACAGCTTGTTCTAGAATTAGTGTGCCACCTTTTTCATGCCCCGCGTGCCATGATAGTACAACTGACGAGCTCGCAGTGACATCTTCACAATAGTTTGCCGTGCTGCATTCAAGGCTAAATGCGGCCCTATCGAACACCAGGAAAAGATTGTTGGTATCTATGTGCGGATGAGAAATACAGGAAGAAACCCAGCACTTACGTGGGCTTTCTGCTGGCACATTCTTCCAGTTTGGGTCATGTGCTCGCCGAGCCTTCCTCGGATCAGGTTTCGGCATTGAATCGGACCTCCAGTAATGGGGAGTGGGCCCCTTCTCGGACAGCTCATAGAGTGACTCTTCGGAAACAAGGCCACGAAGCGACGTCCACAGGTTCAAGGGATAGCGCCTGCCGTCTGGCAAACCATTCTGCAGCACTCGAAGGGCATTTTCTGAGAAGTTGTGTGCGTATTGACGTTCCTTGTTGGCTTCGTCAATAATATTGTTCATATCCTGTTCTTGAACGTTTTCTCGACATCCAGAAGTCGGTCCCATTGCGTGTAGTTTTCGGAGCTCCGCTTGGCTATAGTAGGTGTTGAGCGCCAACCACATATGGAAAGGAAACAATGTACCGTCCGGTTTACCGTTCTGCATCTTTCGAAGGGCTTCCGCTGCAATTTCAGCCCCCTGCTTGTATCTCAGATGAGCCAGGTCAATGAGTTCTACCACCGTCTTTACCAGCTCTTCCATCAGCACGTCTCTCTCGACTGTGAGGTGGATCTGAAAAGTGTCAAGCCGAAGACCTGCCTCGTCAAGGTTGGCATTTTTGTCCTTTCGAAGCTTGCGGCTGCGGGCCGCCGCATTTCTGTTGCGTTCCAGGTTCCTTTCCCGCTTGATCGCTTCTACCGAGCCCGGGAGCTCTCCCGGGCGGCTCTTGGCTTTCCTGCCACCCTTCCTTGTAAGCTCCGATGAGCACGCGTTTTGGGACTGTATGGGTCGTGCGGTGGTCCGCGGTGAGATCGCCGTCGATGAAGGAGTCTGGCTAGCATCTGGGGTCGGGAGCTGTAGTCCGTGTAGCGCTTCTATCGAGAGACGCTCGACGTCACCGGTCACTCTTGAGAGCCTCTTGTCGGGAGGACGAGTCAATCCCGCAGTCTCATCCAGTGATTGAGGGTGATCTGGGACCACAGCCGCGGTTTCATCCGTGATATCAATGTCGTCGTCGGCCAAAATGTCGGGAGAGAATTCTAGCGCACCTGTTTCTGTCAGCCAAGGCAACGCCTTCAGGAAACGACGATAACTCACCGAACTGTTCCTGGAAATGATGTCCCAAGTCGTCCGGTTGACTGGGGATACCTAGATTTTCGTCAGGGCCAATCAGATCTCATTCTTGACAAGGAGGCAACCTGCGATTGCTTGTGAACAGATGATGGCAGACTTACCGAGAAGAGCAAGGTCCTTAAAAGTAACGTTGTTCAGTTGATTGGTAAAATCGGGGTCCTCAGGACCTACGAGGCTCCCATTCTCGTAGCGAAACCCCGGGGAGTCGTCTTCCATTTATGATGCGTAGTCTCTAAAACAAATCTTGACCTATAAACATCAGCCAATCCAAACGATGATCTGGAGAAGTTCAAACGATAGGGCTGGGCAGGCACAGCAAGCATTACGCGACTTCCGACACTATTGGGCGGCATCTCCGACGACACGAGCAGCCAGCGAGCAGGACCTTTCCGAGGAACCGACAGCTTTATAGACGAGCAAATCTACCGTGGTAGAAGCAGGTATAAGATTTCCGAACTTTGGGAGGATCATGGAAACAAGACGTACAGTGCCAACGTTATTCCCCTGGGCTTTAAATTTGAGGCTGTGGCCCAGAAAAGAACAGTGGAGAAGAGGAGAAAACAACTCACAGAGCGAAGAAAACGAGGCTCGACTCACGTGGGGCACGGTTCTGTACACCGTGTACCTAAGTAGGCTACTTCTGGATGGCGAATATGACAGATTTAGATCCTCAAATAATTTGAGCCTTATGGTAAAGCCACGCGAGTTTATTCGACCCGTATGAGGGCCTACAAGACATGAAAAAAAGAACGCCTTGAGGATAAGTAAGCCTCAGCAGTACACGCCGTTCGTGGCGTTGTATGGAGTATCAAGCTCACAAGCGACGAAATGCTTATTATTGGGCGTAGATACAGCGACCTGGAGAAGATTTTGAGGAGATGCTGGTCCACTCGATTTTAAAGTTTGTCGAAAATCAGCCATAAAGGCCCAATCTGCGCTCACTGCCCAGGCGTTGCCCTGGCAAACGGATAAGGCGCATAAGACATACGTTTTATCTCGTTCTCATGTTTCATTGGGTTGTTTGTTTTGGGCCCTTGACTAGTAGGCGGTGAATACTGATTTAATTTGGGCGAGGCCTCAAAAGGTTGGCTTGGTATTCTAAACTTGATTCAGCCCCATTTCGGATTCAATCCCAGGCACATTTTCGAGAAGCTTCGATATTCCTACCAGGCCTCATTCCGTCTATTAAATCTCTTTCACAGACTACTAGAGCTCAAATACTGCGGTTCAAACACCTCGACATCATCCAATTCCTCATACTAAAGCCGAGCAACACTGAAACAAAACAATGGAGCTACGACCGTAGAGACGGCGCTACCATTAGCCCAGGAGACGATTGCCAAATAGCTGCAGCAGAGCGACATCTGATTCGTTCACACCGACAACAAACTGTTGAGGAGTCCCACCGAGCCACAACTTTCTCGGGAACTTCCGCAATCTTTGCACGATATTTGTTATAATCACCAAGAATGGATGCTAAAACAATTCTCTCCAGGCAAGACCGAACAACAGCTCGTCTATACGTGATACTCTATCGAGACTACTAAGCGCACTTCAATTCAACCTTGACAGACTGAGCGAACATGGCCAACACTCCACATGTGAAGCTTCAGAACCATTTCCTTGCTCTCTCATATCCCCTGCTAGTCTACAACTCAAATGCCCCCTAATGGAGTAAGCCAAGCACTGTACCTTGGAAGAGTCCACGCCTTCGAACGGAGACGGAACAACTGTCGTGGTAGAGAAACCGTGGCGTGTTGAAATGCGCCATTGTATTGGTCAAAATCTATGGGCGAGGCTGCCAACTCGAGGCTGCGACTGAGCGGTTTCTAAATAGACTCAAGCCGTCGTCTATAGCGGCGGCATGGAAGGTTCGGGACGTTACGCTAACTTGCCGAAAGAGGGGCGCCCCTCTGCCGATGCTCCATACTGACGTAAATAGGTGCTTGTCATGCCTCAAGATAGACAGGCTTTGACCACATAGGGCTCTTAGCAGTCTCTAGCGTATTGGCAGCGGAGCAACCATTACAACAGCCTCTCTGTAAGTGGTCAATTGGAATGCCAAGAGCGCTGAGCATGAGGCTGGACATTCGATAGTAAAACTACTAGCACCTAACTAGCTATAACAGAGCAGGGAGGAATGACGCCAGATCAGGCCGCAATGCTAAAGAGAAGAAATGGGAACTAGGACAGCTCGAGGAAGAGGAGTGGCGATCAGTGTTCTTATACCTTAAGGCGATCTACTAGCGTGGCGTATTCCTTCGAGTTTATGACAGACCGATGTCGTGCGTTACATTCACTATACCTGAGTGTTGACTAGTCGAGGAAGACGACGGGATTATAAAGAAGGTACAATGAAAATGGGTGGAGGATAGCACAGAGCACCCCAAAATTGCTCTTCTGGTGAGCCCGTAGATCTCCGTATGAGGAGTGTCAGTGGGGGTTACTGCGGGGTAGTGTTCTGGCCCCAATATGGAAGCAACAGCCTTAGTAGCTCTAGAGCTGAGTTTTGAGGTGGTTCTTCGCGGCCAATCAAGGAGCTTCAATTAATTAGCCTTTCGCCTCAGCCGCGGGATGACCCGTGCTGGACTGGACCCTGCCTGAAGCTTAAGGCACGTGCAAGACAACCCTGAACACCCACCACCATCTCATCTTCAACACCACGCTTGCTACTGAAACGCCCAGGCCCACGTCTCATATTTCACCCTTTACATTACTGTCGCTATTGACTTTCGCTGCACACTGCACTAAGCATGTCCACCGCCGTGCTTACACCGACCCCATCAGACGACCCATTCCTGCGCGTGCAAGCGCACACCTGTCCACAGTGCGGCGCCGAATATGCACACACACTAGACGAGCACCACGACGCCGACAAGCGGCGGATAGCAGAGCTAGAATCACAGATCAGGCTCCTGACCGAGAAGGCCACCTCAGCCGGTACGCGTGGATCTGTCTTCCACTTTCGAGCTCCCCAAGAACCCTCCACAAGGACCCCAGCTAACGTCAAATCTACAGTCGACAAACTCGCCGACTACGAAAACGAGCTCCGCCGCCTCAAATCCCCCCCCCAACCACCCCCCGAGCCCCCCCGCTCCTCCACCGACACCGACCCCGCCCGCCCAACCACCTCCTCCAGCAATAAGACCTCCCGCTTCTCCTCCCTCCTCGGCACCCGTCGAGCCTCCCCCACCGAACCACCACCTCTCCCGCCCGTCCCATCCCCCGACCTCCGCGCGGCGCTCGAGCGCGAGCAAACCCTGCGCGCGGCCGCCGAGGGCCAGCTGCACGCGATGAGCGGCGAGATCGAGGACCTGAGCGTGCAGCTGTTCCAGCAGGCGAACGAGATGGTGGCGACGGAGCGGAAAGCGCGGGCGAAGCTGGAGGCGCGGGTGGCGGTGCTGGAGGAGCGGGATGGGGAGAAGCGGGCGCGGTTGGAGCGGCTGGAGGGTGCGATGAAGAGGATTGAGCGCGTGAGGGGGTTGTTGGTGGGTGGGTGATGTTGCGGCATAAGACGAATTGAATACCCGGAGAGGGAGTCACTTCGAGGGCCTGATGAGAGGACATGCCGTGAAGTGAAGAGGTTTGTGCTTGAGCAGGTGCTGCGAGCGAGCGGAAGAGTTCCAGCGCCGCGGTTTGATGATGCTGCGGAGCTTCAAGAGCCCATGAGGCTAAAACTCTTGTAATCATCCCGAGCTACCTCCGCGTCTGCATACGAGGAGAGGGCTTGGCATGGTTCTTTAGCCCTCGATGCCCTCGCAGACACGCTACCCGCTTTATGAGGAGTAAATCGAAGAGAACTGGCATGAAGAGTTGCATCATGTTATCGATGTCACATTTAGCGCTCATAGCATATGCTTGTATTTGTATTCATATATCATTATACCAATCATATTTCTCATTCTTACCAATACGTTCTCGGCGTGCCACCCCAATAACCGTAACCCTCTACGATTCGAAGCCTGTACTCACCTAGAAGTAAGCATACAGTGCCTTGCCATAGATACCGTATACTTCCCTCCCACTGTCTGTGGGGCTCCAACGTACTAATAGAAAACGGGGGCAGCGGATACACATCCAATCTGCCTACACCCTGTTGGCGCTGTCTGAGGTGGCCTCGCGAGATTACTAGTTGTCCAAAACACCGACTTTCTCTCTCATTTGGGATGCTAAAAATACTGTGAAGCTCCTTACGCAGCGGTAAACGAGTGGACAAATTTCGAGAACGAGGCATTGTACCACGAGAAAAGAATAACCACATCACAAAAAGCACGACGACAATGTTCAAGACCTGCCAGCTATGTGGCGCTCAATTCCCTACCGCTAATATATACACCATCCCACCTCATAAAACCCATCCCCGAACCCCTATGGTTCCCTCCGAAACAAGCACAGAAACGCCCACGATATTTATACATCCAAACCTCCATACCCGCCGTGCAAAGCACCGGTGAAATGCTTCTACACCTAAGCCCGTAACCAGAAGCGAAGATGCACCAAACTTCAGTTGAGAGTCGCCCAAAGACTTTGACGAAAGGAAAAGAAGTGGCTATCACGCCTCAGCCGCAACGAAGCAAAGAAAAAAAATTCTCGAAATGCAGGAGATGCATGAAAATGCTAAACCAAAGCATTATCCCCGCTTGCCTAGAATTCCAAATGCAAGAACGAGTTCCCACTAAGGATATGAATATCCGCCTGAGCAAAGAACCAGCGCCCCAAACCCCCCAAAAGTTGCAAAGACCGGGTATACCCGCAAGAAACAACACCAACTCGATTCAATTCAGTTCGTACAATCGTCCTCTACAAATGCATCCATCCAAGTCATTCTCTCGATATCACAATCCGCATTCCAAGATTCAGTATTCAGAATTTGGAACGTTACCGAGCTGCAACAGGAGCGGATAGCTGCTTCTTCCGTTTCCTGACCAACCACTCGCCAAGTAAAGAGTCCAGCCGACCACCCATATCCTTGACGGCGCTGCGTTCGTCTTGGAATAGGCCAGCCATAATGGGGTGCTCCGGTCCGACTGGCACCACGCCCGAGGTGTCGTGTACGACGAGGAGCATGTCGCGGATGTCGCTACCGTCGTCGAGGTAGGTGCGGAGGCTGGCGTCTGACCATGCGGGGAGGGAAGCGGTTGAGGATGGCGGAGGGGAGTGCTGCATCTCGTGCGTAGGGATCGGAGCAGGGCGACTTGGGGCTGCTGGGACATTTGTGAGGGGCGGCGTCAGGGTCGTTGGTGATGGTGTGCCCGTCGGGCGCGAGGCGATGAGATTGGGCGCGGAGGGCTGCGATGTAGAAGGGCTGTCGTGGAGGGATGGAGTTGATATTGGTGATCCTGAGTCTTGGCTTGAAGTGTCGCCCGTAAGGTCGGGAGGATTGTGTGCGTCGTGATCTATTTCGCGACCAGAGAGTTCGTTCTCTGGAGGTTGGGCATCTCTCGGAGAAACATGTACCGGGGATTCAGATAAACGCTCTGCAGAATCTGAAGGGTCGGTACGGCGCTGGGACGTCTCCTCTGCAGTTTCATGGGGGTCTGCAAAAGGATCTGTCTTCTCGTCATCTGCTGAAGAGTCGAAATCATCGAGCTGAATACGCTGCTTCGCCTTTCTAACCTTTTCAGGTCGAGGTTCGCTCGGACTGCGGCCCAACATGTTAGCGATGGGATTTGTTTTCGCGGCTGAGGAGTGGGACCGAGACCGTTGTGGCTCGGCTGTGGACTCGGGCGATTGTATGCGTCCTTGCAGAGACTCCTGCGGGGGTTGTTCAGGTTCGGGGGATACAAGACGCATGGTACCGGAGTTTTGTTGACCGTTAGGTTTGGAGTTCAGTGGAGCTGGCTGAAGCTGCGCTGTGGGCTCTGGACTTGCAGTCTGGGACGTATTCTGGGACGTATTCTGGGACGTATTCTGTGACGTATTCTGGGCGTTCTTGGGAGGAGAGACATCACCATTTCGGGGTTGCTTTTGGAGTTTGCCCTTGCTGGGATTCCTCTGGGGTTGCACCACAGGCTCCTTTTCGGACATGGAGTTCTCCGTCGGCGAGTCGTCAGAGTTCTTGCTCTGGGGTGAGCCCCTTCCGAGCTCCTCGGAAACCTTCTCAGTATCACTGTTCTCCGGATCTTGGGTCTTGGTCTTCTTGTCCTTCCTCTTAAACAGCCCACTGAGCATCCCAGGCTTCTTCTCCTTCTTTTTCTTCTCATCCTTGGCCTTGTCGGCAAATCCGTTCTTCTCAAGACTCTCCAGGCTAGGGCCTCGCTCCTTACTCTCAAAGGACCGCGTCGTTGAACCACTTGAATCGTCTCTGAGGAGATTTGGCGTAAGGGTGATTTTCCGTGTCTCTGCGTTGTCGTCTTTGAAGAACGAATCTGTGTTTCGCAGTGTCCCATTGCGCGAAACTTTCGGATCCACTATCACGAGTAAGCTCTTCGGTTCAATGTTACGTTCTAAAGAGGACTCACGAGGTCGATCAAACATCTCGTCACTGGTTCGTTGTTTGTCGCTATCTTTCAACAGGTCGTCGGTTGATTCTCGCGGAGTATCAATGCTATCCGAAGATTTGGCCTCCTTCTTGGACCCGTTGACCTTGAGTGGTTGGACAGCCAGTGCGTCCTCCTGCTCTGGCTCCTGGCCGTTTTGCGCTGCCTCGCCTTGGGTCTGTTGAGATGTCCCTTCGAACGAATCGTCCTGCTCATCGTCTTCGTCGGATGAGTAGTCGTAATCAGACGCTTCGACGTATGTGGGAGCCGTGAACTGAACAGTCTTTGCGTTTCGTCGCCTCATGGCCTTTTTCAGGGGGTTCTTCGTTTTCTCGGCCGTGTCGCCCAGCATGGTAGCAGATAGCTATATTGATTAGAACATGCCCCATTAAGCTCCAAAAGAACTTACATCGATATTTCGGTGCTTGTTCAGCCGTGCTAATCGCTCAGTCGGCGTCTCGATGTGCTCGGCGGGGAGATATCCTGAGATCGTAAGTGGATGACGTGGCGAGCGGATGCGGAAGGCGCATACCAATACTACTGTCCTTCACTACTCTGACCAGCCACCAATAGCTGTTACTATCGTCCAGGAGGACCATGGTGTCGCCTTTGGTGGCATTGGCTTGGCCTTCTACCGTCGCAACAAACGTATGCAGAGCGTAAACGAATTCAAAATCAATGTCCTCTGTGTATCGTAAGCACTCTCCGCCCCAGCCAGAGTCAATGAAACGTGGATCGTCAGAAAAAGAAACGTCACTGTCATCATCACCGCCAGAGTAGTCCATGTCCAGGGCAGAGTCGGCGTCGCTGTCGGTTATCCAGGAAGAGTCGGAGCTTGTTGGAGATCCGAACGGCGTAGGAAGCGGAGTGTCCAGGACCAACATCTCTTTAGGGGTAAACAAGGCCCGGTTGATCTTGGGAGGAACGAGGTAGTACTCGTCAATATCAGAGCTGTGTTCCAGTTCAGAACCGTCTTCAATATCCAGGAGCGGGTCGTCCGAGGGGAGCAGCATCTTTCGAAGGTCACCAGAGTCAAACTTGACAAGCGAGACATTGGAATCCTGGCGTATGCTCTGCAATCGAGCGTCGATCCTCGTCAAATAATCCGGCTGCGGTTTTGGAGAGGCGTCCATGATTCCGGCGAAGCGGACCGTCTTGGTTCCTGGTTTCGATGCCTCCAGCGGCGTATACTTACGACCACGATGAAGATGACTTGGTGACTGTGCCTGGGGCAATCTTGACTTGAGGGAGAAAGGAAATGGTGTAGGGGATGGAATGAGAGAAGATGTCCGCCGAGCACCCGTTCCAGCTGCTGTGTCGGGATCGTCTGAACCAGCAGAGGCAGCGAGCGGAAGGTGGACTGGCGTGGATCTGTAGGGCGAAGAAGAGAAATCGAGGCTGGGTGAAGGGGTGGCCGACTTCGAGCACCGCGGGGGAGTCGGTGTCGAATCCGGAGTGAGAGAAGAGCGGCGCGGAGGCCGGGACGTAGGTAGAGAATACACACCATCGTCAATGGACGGCGAACTCGAGATCTTGTCCATCATGTCGTCGTCGTCCATGTCGTCAATGTCGGCGTCGGTTATGTCTCCGCCGTCGCCGGCGCTCGACATGCCGCCATTCATGCGTATCGCCTGCTCGTCTTGCAGCTGCTGTTGCTGATCCCCATTGTTGACGAGGGTCGTCTCGTCGTCGGAGCCTGGGTCGTCGCGCAGAGCAGCCCCCGAGTCGTTCCACGCCTTCTGCAGGTTGGCATCTTCGGCGGCGCGCTCGTCGTCGGCCTGCTTGACCGCGGCAGCTTGATGGGGCGCGGCGGGGCCAATTCCGAGGGGTGCTGGGTGTGCGGGCTGGCGAGAGTGGTCCTGCGCGGTGGGAGAGGTCTTTTCTTGCAGGTCGAGCGTATCTGCGCAAACCAATGTTAGACAGTGCGCCAATTCGCATCGTTCAGCGCAGACGTACCGGCTCGAATAATATGGGGTCGCGTCATTCTAACTCATGTCCAAAAAGAATCCAACGGGTGGGATATTGCTGCCGCCGTCGCCAAATCGACCGCGGGCGCCAAAGAATGCGAATGTTGGGGGGCGTAGAATCCAAGATGCCCAAGAGCTAGGGAGCAAAGAATTGTAGCCACTGCAGCGAGCAGCGGAGTGGTGAGTCGGGAAAGAGGGACACAGGGCGGTGCCACTGGTGCGGCGGTGCAGGTCGGGGCTGCCGAGGGACGCCTCAGATCATGCCGCAGCGCCGGCAGACGAGTCGGTATGGATATGCGAGGAGCGTGGAGCGGGTGCTGGAGGAGACGGCGAGCGCAATCGTGTATGAGGCTGCTTGGGCGACGATGGGGTCGAGAAAGGGAGTCTGGGAACTTTCGTGTTTCATCCCCTGGCTCCCCAAAATAGCTGCCCCGTGCGTTGATTCTCGCGGATGGGCATCCCCACCCAGGGTGCCAGGCCACCAGGCCACCCACGAGCCCGGCGTCCATGACCGCCGTCGACGGCAAACTGCGCCCAAGGACCGCGTGCTATCACAAGCCGGATGCTGTGTCCAGAGTTTATGACGATTCAGCCCACTTCTCTCCCTCTGCTCAGCCAGAGCCGTAGTGGCCGGGCAGTCACGGGCTGGCGTCGGGTCGCCTAAACGAGCCACGGAGCGCTAATCTTGTTCCTGAGCAGCCAGAGATCGCAAATCCAAGGCTGCTGGAGAGGCTGGGGCTGGGGCTGGGGAGTGGCGGCCATGGCTCCGCGTCCGCCTGGCATCCAGAATCCAGTCGTCGCCCCCCACCATGGCAGTCTCCGCTACCTCACTCTTGTTTGCTGCGGCTTTGTGCCATCAAGTTCCCCGCCCGATTGAAACATGCCACGACGACGCCTGCATGCATGGCTTGTCTTGAAACGTCATTTCCAAAGCAGCACGAAAACAAGGTCGCGTAGTGCCCTGTATGGAACTAGGAGGTACTCAGTAGCTTCCGTGTATATCTTTCCGTTTTACGGACCTAGCTTACGAACACCCATATGATACATTCCTCTTCCTGCATACCGAGCTCTTACATTCTGACGCCATTGGCGATCTACAAACACGTGGTCGGGGTTGTCGACTACTTCATTTAAATACAATCATCATTCAACCCGCGTAAGCTTCCCATAAATACTCTTTTTCGTGATCCAGCCGTTAGTTCCGCCGACGTTGTTACCAATGAAATACCGCACTCCCGACTTTGCCTTCACGAGGTGGAGGTAATGGCTGCCTTTGACTTTGCACAGCACGACGTCATCGACTGAGATATGTTCTGAAATCGGCTCGGCGGTACATAAGGACCGATGAGTGATTTTTCCGCGCATAGAGTGGCCGGAGGGTCGGAATTGTACTGCGAGGCCTTGCTGAAGCTGTTTGATGAGGTTGGTTGCCCAGGTCATTGAGGATGCTGGAGAGGCTCGGTTGACGTAATTATAGGTGTAGAATCTGGTGCTTCTGAGTTGGAAGCTCTTTTTTTGATAAAAGGTATCTCGATCTGATGCAATTTGTAAAGAGGAAGGGTGCAATGTGCCTGATGGCTTAGCGTATTTCACGATCACGTGGGCAAGTCGCGATTTAGACTTCAGTGCATCTATTATGCTCCAAAAGCGTGATAAGAAGTTCACATAATCCAATGGATCAAGGTGAGCTATTTCGTAATAGATTGAGCAAGATAGGGTAATACTAAAGCTCCGATGAGGACATCATCACAATTTACAAGGGTGAATACTGCTTGACTCCACGGGTCGGCGCTTTGTAGCAACTCCAAAACTTTATCTGAGTTATGCCTCTCATATTTTTGTACATGCATTCAGTGTCTACAATCGCGCTTCTGCACCTAATGTAGATATTTCGCGACGTGGAATGGCTGCTTTTCTATTGTTCACGCTGGCATAACAAATGAGACGTATCTAACATGTCGTCTGTGGCGCTTGCTCTTAATTAAAATAGCGACCCAAGTACAGATATGATTGTAGTCTAACACGGGATAAATTCCTTACCTGCCCACGGCCTCCGTGTGATCCTGCATAGGCTTGCTCGTCGCTTGCCCAGGCTAGATTTGGAAACTATGAGCGTACCGAGCTTGCAATACGATGCTAAGATCTTCCTGAACTCTATTAATATGTTGACAGACCTCAAACGGTGGAAGGCTATTGTGCTGTAGTCTTGTAATACAATGTAGTGTTTAACTTAGTGAACCATGTATGGAAGCTTAAGTATGCAACCAAAACTACTGGAAATTGAAGAGGTGACGAAGCGGTGAAGCGGTGAACGAAAAGCCCGCCGCATAACAAACCGGTGACAAAGCTTTTCACAGCCCCGATTCATCAACAAACTTTGGCCGTCGAATCAACAAATCTCCTCCTCTCGGTCGGAACGCTAGCAAAGCCCTGCAGCGGCCTAGCCGAAACACAATGACGGAACCACCCAGAATCATACAATGCGTATATGACCATTCGCTCATTGGGCGTGATGCTGCGCTGACGAGCGACGGCAGAAACGGTGTTGAGTCAGACCAAAGCAGCAGACCGCAAAATGGAGACCATGCAGGAATCTCTGCTCCGGACGCTGGAAGCCCTGTCCGCAGAGCCGGTCAGCCCGCAGTAACAAAGCCAGAAAGGAGCCAGGCTCGGCTCACAACGATCTACAACCCAGCCGAGGAAAACGAAGCTGGCGCAGGGAGAGCAGGCGGCGAGGATTCGAACGTCGCACTACGAAAAAGACAATGTTCTCCGGGACGGGAGGGCGATAACCCTAATGATCGCCCAAAAAAGGTTGTAGTCCGGGAAAGAGGGAGCAAGAAAGATGACACCGATGCTAACATGCAGGAAGCATCGGTCGCCAGAACTATACCAGAGCCCATTGTACGGGGGTTAGGCAAGCCTTCACTCCACGACAAGACACACGGTGGTGCCAGGCCAGAGACCGGTTCTCTTGGTCCACAGGCGTCCATAGTTGCTCCGCAGCCGCCCATAGTTGCTCCGCAGCCGCATATACAACCACAAGGGGACACATTATCGCTTTGGCCGGCTTATCTCCATCTGTTATGGTACAACCGCAAATATGGCACCCATCCGTTCATCGCAGAGCATGAGGGACAACTGGATCATGACGACCGCGGCTGGAGAGAGGCTATTCAGTACAACGAGGAAGAGCTTGTTCGGGAAGCTTTCGATGAGGCACAGGAGCTTGGGTCGGGAAGCTATCGGTGAGGCAGAGGACGAGCTTGTTCGGAGGATGTCGATGGGGCAGAGTAAGAAGGCTCTATTCTACCACTTCGTGTCGTGTAGACACATGACGTCTTGGACGGGCGTGGGAAGCCAGACTATTCGTGCGGAATCATAGGGCAGGATGATCTATTGAGAGCAGGATATGGCACAAGCCGGCGATTGACCAGAATATGTCAGGTAGTTTGAGGCAAAGCACTTCGATTAGAATACCAGTCTAGCACTCACGATTGCCGCCTTCCCATCATCATCTTGCTCTGTGTTGTGAAGACATCGTCGAAGCTCTGAGAGTGCGTTAAGGAGTATGATTGACGGTCACGATGCAGATAGGTCCCTAGATCTGTAGCATCTTCGCTACCACCGAGTATCTACGGCAGCTGGCATCGTGGTTGGAAAAAGATGCCCGCTCAGATTCGGGCAGGTTGTCGTCTGATAAAAGGCTAGAAGCTAAGGGCCGGGCATACATATCCAGATCGCACGGCCCGGTACGGCATACCGGAATCGTTCCGTCGTAACTATCCGGGAGGCGACGTGAGTGGCTGTCCTCATTATGTGGGTCCCGGATCGCCTTGGGCTGTTGGTACCCTTCTAAAGAAGACTTGGAAATCTCTCCCCGCCACACCTTAGTATGTCCATACGCTATAATCGCTATGTTATCCTTTAACAGGCGAACTCTCTTATTTTGTTGCGCAATGCGCCGCTCTTATGGTGTTGCTCGCTTCCTCGCCGTTACTGTGACTTCACCATATTCTACCTTTGTACGACATTAGACACCAGTACCCGAGCTCCTTATCCCTTAGGCACCACGTTGCAGATCCCAACAGCCAGCCAACAATGCCACAATCCTTCCGAGGTTGAGCGGACTCACGAATTGCATGCGTCGAGGGCCGCTCTTTCTCTCATGGCGTGTAGAATAAACATATACTGTCTACGCAACGATGGGCTTGCCTGTCTTCACACTTCGATTATGTTGCCATTGCCATCCTGCAAGGCCGATCACTCGTTTCCCAAGGGTCGGCCCATCGCCCATCTCGAGCGAGCTCCCTTTCAGTATAAGGGCAAGGGTGGCTTTTGCTTATGTAGATCCAACCTCGTACCTGCGCGATACCAGGCGCTCCGACCGTTCGAGCCTTTCCTCTCTTTCGTGTATATAGCCTCAGGGCCCTCCAACTGTTCCCATTCGTGGCTATCAGCTCTCAATTGTTATCACTCCGAATATCCCCTCTCTTCATTGCTCTCATCCTCGTAATGATGCGTCTATCACTATGCCTTCTTCAACTGATGCTCTCAACTTTTATAACAATGCCGACCTCTTTGCAGCAAGACGCATCTCCCCAGTCGTAAGACATTGTGCCGATTCCTGAAAATTGGTACCCATATTTACCGTTTGAGCGCCAAGCAACCTCTCCAAAACCCGTCACCAATTCGCAGCCTTCAGCAGGAGAGGGTTTTACTAGCTGCGCTGCGCTGTCAAAGCACCACCACTGGCTGCCCCAGTGCAATATACTCCCGATGGCTCCCTCATGCACCAGGATACAGGAAACACTGGAAATAGCGGGAACGGTGGCCCACATGCAACATTGTCAATGTGTCAACTATCGCCTCTGGCTTAAGACTCCTGGTATTCGACGCTCAAGGCGAATTGACGGCAGCTTTTACGTATCTAGCCAACGGCTCAAAAACACCAACTTACGCTCTAGCAGCAGTAGATCCCGACACCTTCGCAATCTTGTCAACCTGGTCATCCCCAAGGAGCAACCATTTAAATACCGAGTATATGGAAATCGATCTCAAAAGTAACACGATAGCAGTGAGCTCACGCCACGGCCCAACGACAAGGAACACAGTGTGATCTTCCAAAAACCACCATCGATCTCGCTGCCCTGGGCGTCGTGGAAGTGTATGAAAAGCTGTTGAACAGCATGTTCGATGCTCAAGGAAATGTATGGTTCTCCACAGGTGGAATTGTAGGCGGCGTAGGAGACGCCCCTCAGAACACCACTCTCTTCGGCTATGTTGATTCTAAAGGGACTGCCCATTCCCTTCCCCTGAAAAATCAAATGCAGGATAATAGCTTGGCTGTACATGGGACATCATCTATGCCGCGACGGGGCCTAGTTCAGGCAGCCCAGCGGATACATCAAATGCTACCGGCTACATGCATGCCATCACTTCGGGTCCTCGTACCCACATTACGACGCTATAGAAAGCTTCTTATGATACAGGTTCAGCTATCGAACCCGGTTGCTGCTCCCGCGGGACTGGAGCGACTCCGGCAACAATTACATAGTCATCACCGACAAGTCAGATTTCCAAATCAGCCTTTCGGTCTACCGTCAGGGCAAGAAACCAGCGCTACTGGTGTTCCAGCCAGGCACAACCGCCACGGACAGCTCCCCAATTATCGACATAAATGGAAAAACGTACAGCGCAACGATTACATCGCCCCTGTGCTATATCTAGGAGCTGGAAGCATCAACGGCGCTTACAACAACTTCAACCCAATGGCACCAAGTCTTCTCCGTGTCAACGTTCCCGCCGACGGCGGCGACTGTAGTATAGCTTGGATAATGACGAGTTTAGAGCCACCTCTGTCTCTATACTGTCAACCTAGACAGGCCTGTTCTACACTTACCTTCAAGATGCCGAGCTTTCAAATCAGAAACAATACATATTTTACTCCTCAGGAACGAGCTATGAGACTGAAGAAGTTGCATGGAAGGTCAGGGCGGCACACTGTAGGTAAGTCTAGATAGATACTATACATGCAAAAGATTCAAATATCTATCAGGCGTCACTGTTGACGTGCTGTAGATAGTACAGGAGAACTCTAGCTTCAAGTACACGTACAACACAGCATCTAATACTGAGGCAGTAATGTGTACACAAATCTCCCTCCTTTCTAAGGATGAAACCCAGCAGCGGAAATCCCCATATAAGTTGCGAGCAAATATACACACCCTTTATAGCCCGCTTTTAATAAACGTAACGTAGTCGGCAAGCATACTGTTACAACCCGTAATACGAACCACCCGAGCGCAGAGGCACTCGCGGAGACAAGCAGACAAATCAGGCTGATCACAAAGGACCAGGTCACGGGACCAAGGGGGTCACGTGTAGGACGCATCGGTATCCTGGATTCCCCCACGGACTGCTGGTGGATGGGAACGATACAAGGATAGGAATCACGGGATGAGAGATCCACGTGATGGATCAGTGGGATCAGGAGAATCAGGGAGTGATCCCCAGGAGCAAGGTCGCGGACACAGGATCTGGAGGATCAGTGGCCGAGCGTGACGATCCAGACTGAGCCATAGGTTTCTTAGGGCGGAGCTTTCATATATAAGGACGCTCCTTTGCATAGATAGGAACCTCGTGTTCAACTCAAGACTTCAATACTACCTATTGGAAGTGACAACCCCGTCTTGTACCTGAGATTGATCTTGCCTCACCTTTTGAAGACTATTGCACCCCGACGACGACTTGACCTATACCCTGCCTTAGTGCGTGGCACTTGGAAGGTATAGAAGAGACGACCCGTTACACATACGGCCCACGCAAGCCTGTGGCCACCCCCAATTATGGTGCGATTTGGACCTTTTAACACCGGAGAAATCTCACCAACTACTAAATATTAAGTGAAATTATATAAGTGCACATGTTATTTAGCCCTTTATAGTTGCTAGGTAGAAAGTTAGAGTAATAAGTACGTGTAATTCTATTTATTGTATTATAAATCTTACCTAGCCTTAGGAGCTAAAACTCTTCTACAACTATATAGGGCCTTTAAAAGACCTCGAAAATTAATAGATAATATTATAATAGTTACTATTAAATTTATTCTATATTATAGCCCGAAAAACACGATGCAATCGACCCCACAGCATTTTGGAAATACAACCTAAGGAGGGCCCCTAGGGGCTATCCAAGGCCCTGCGAACAATTGTACGCAGCCTCAAAGCCCTACGAGTAGTGCCGGCGGCGTCGCGGTAGGTACACCGCGAATTGCGACCCCTAACGCGCAGCCGCCCCAGCAACA